CCAGAAAGATCATTGTACGACGCATTAAAGCTTTGAAGACTGTTGGGTAAGTTCTCCGGCAGTGGGCCAGTGAAATGATTCTGGGAAATTTCTAATGACTTTAGAGTAGTGATGTTACCGATTGAAGTAGGAAGTGAGCCCGAGAAATTGTTTCCTCCAATGTTAAGCATTTGAAGTCCAGTGAACGATCCAAATCCATCGGGGAAGTAGCCATTGAGATTATTGTTAGAGAGATCAAGAACGAGCAGATTTGTATCATTAGAGAGAGGTGAAAAATCGATGGTTCCAGAGAGTACATTGCTCTGCAGGTGAAGTTCTTTAAGAGTCGATGATGACAAAAGTGTGGTTAAAAGAGGTCCGTCAAACTGGTTGAAGCTGAGATCAAGGGTTGTGAGTTTCGAGAACTGTGTGATAACTTTTGGGAGAGAACCGTTGAGAGAATTGCGAGACAGGTTGAGGTAATTTAGACGCAAAAACTGAGCAGTTACCTCCGGAATGGGCCCCGCCAGATAGTTTTGGCTGAGATCAAGGATTTCAATGTTTCCCCATTTGAGGAGCCTCGTTAAATTTCCACCAAACTGATTTCTCGAGAGGTCAATTACAGCACAGCTACCCGTTAATAATGGAAGCTCACCGGAAAGCACGTTGGAGGAGAGGTTAAGGGTGTGCAATGTTGTTGACGTAATCATACCCACAGGCCCTGTAAAAGTAAAATAAATTGTTGTAGTCGTAAATAATTGGTTTTTTCGATAATAATTAGAAACCACCTCCATTAAGTCGATTCAGATCTCAAAAGATGGTACGAACAAATTATAAATGCAATGCTAAGTTATCAGAGTAGATGTACCTGACAGATTGTTTTCGCTTAAATCCAACTCGGTTAGAACCAAAGAATCTCCTTTCAAAAGGTTGTTCGGGATAGGACCAGAAAATATGTTGCCACCTAGTTTCAGGACTTCAAGATCATAAACAAAATTGAACCCAGGTAATTCCCCGGACAGTTGATTGTAACTCAAATCAAGAACTTTCAAACTTCCGAAATCCTGAGCAGCACCGCTGCTGACAAGTGATCCTGTTATCTGGTTACGGCTGAGATTTAAATACTTGATCGACGGAGAAATACCCACCAGAAACTTCTGCTGCTCCTTAGCGGAACTAATCAGCATATTCCCACTAAGATCAACATGGCTTGCTGTAGTAAGCAGCAATAATTCGGGATCAAATTTACCATCAAGCATATTACCATGAAAATCGAGCACATCAAGCTGTGCCATCATCTCAAACCCTTTCGGTATGCTTTTCGTGAAGCCATTGAGTGACAGATTAAGATACACCAAACCATTCAACCTAGTCAAAGACGAAGGTAATGGGCCAGAGAGAGAATTGCGGCTTATGTCTAAAGACCGAATCGAGGCTAACCCAGAAATTGTGTCCGGGATTGAACCGGAGAAGTTATTACCAGCCAACGATAAGTTTTTTAAACTGGCAAGTTCACCGAGCCCAGGTGGCAACGAGGAGGAGAAAAGATTATCGGAAACATCCAGGTACTCAAGGCTTTTGAAATCCCCAAGGTTGTCGGGCAATTTACCAGAAATGGAATTATTCGAGATTGAAAGCTTTACGAGCATGGTAAGATTTGAGAAGACACTCAAATCTGCTTCGGCAGACAAACCTAGATTGTCGAGAACGACCGCTGCAACATTACCACCGTTGCACATAATCCCATTCCAGGATGAAGGGCAGCCATTGAAATCGATCGATTCGTCATTCCACGAATCGACAACGAAACCAGTTGGGTCATGCTTGATTCCTTTCTTGAACTCGAGCAACGACAAAATATCCTGGGAAGGAAGCTGCCCCAAAGAGGAGACAAGACAAAGACTCACCACTAAAAATCTGAATACCCTCATAATCACCCCAAATAATCAACCACAGATAACACTACACAACTTGGAATTTAAGGAAAATGCACTAGGGTTATAAAAGCATTAACAAGATATACTGAACTGGGTTTTCAAGACAAAAACACAGCCCGGACAATGCCTCCTTCTCTTACCACAAGCAAAAAGGGAAATCTTTGAACAGCGTAACTTCAATGTAACACATTTTCAGACAACAACACAGTGGTAAGAAAAAAAGACAGCAAAAAAAATCGCCTTTAAGCTGAACAAAAATGACAACAACAAAACGGAGATCTAACAACAAATCACCATTTTTCCGGCATGGCAACTCTGGGGGAGTTCAAGAAGCTTGTAAAACAACAATGTACTAACAAAAAATCAATTTTCTCACTTTTTCAACTGAGTTGGGAGGCGAAAGCAAAAATGGGGTTCTTGAAAAGTAAGAAAAGGACCTTCAAATCTGGAATTCTAAATGGGTTTAAGACAGTGAAAAACGATTAACCCAGAAAAGCTTTGGCCTTTCGAAACCCTAAAACACAATGAAAAAAGATTAGCCTTTTCTGGTAATAGACAGTGAGCAGAACTCCTCCACTCTGTCTTTGTTGTGCACATATAAACTTTGTGAGGTTTATCGAAACACCAAAAAGGCAATGCCTTTTGTCTCTTCTTAATTTCTTAATCAATTCACACTTTTTTTTTATTTTCATCTCTTTATTTTTAAACATAAGAAATTAATACTCCTACCAAATCAATCACTTTCTCTCTCCAAAAAGACACGTGGGTATCCCAACACAAAAAAAACCTTTAATTATATTTTGTTGGATTCCTTTGAATTTTATACATAAAGACTAATTAATTAATTAATTAAAAAAAAAAAAGTGGTGCTAAGGTTTAAATATTGATTTATTTAATTAGAATATCAGATACTGCAAAAAGATGGTGGGAGCAGCAAGCAGAATACAGAAGAAAAAAGAAATAGTAATAGCGGGAAATGGATAGTGAATTTCATTTTTCGTTTAATTAATCTGTGAGTAAATAATGAAATCTGCCCGCCAAAAAGTAAGGGGAATCTTGTCATAGTGGACGTCAAGGTGAATCATTAAATCTAGTTTTGAAGATTGTTTGGGATCCATTACCATAGAAACTGATGCTAATTAGACATAGAGTGAAGTGCATCGGTTATTGTAATATTTGTTGTGGTCAGCAAATGACACCTTTGACTAGGGTTTTTATATTCTTCGTATCCTATTTGGATCCTTTGTCATACTTCTTTTTTGTATAAAGACCCGGAAATAGTTTTATTGTCCATTTTAGTCCTAATATTTTCCATGCTTTTGTTGTTTTGTCGTTGGTTTGATATCAGAATAGTTGTGACTTGTGATTCTTTAGGCAGACGACAAGAATTTCAAGAAATAAAACAAATTACAAAAATACTTGCAAATAATTTACCAAAACCACTTGTTTATTATAAATACATCAAATTATTAAATTACAAAAAAAAATTGCAACAAAAATGAAAAAAATAAATATTTTTGTATGATTGTTAAAATTATCCACAACCACTAGAATTGCACGGGACAAACTTCACCCTCGTGCAATAGCTCGCATTGCAAGATAGATGTAAATCACATAAACTTGACCACGTGTGACGAGTTCGGCTTAAAAGATGTTTATGGAAGAATTAAAATTCGAATTAAATGCACACTTTCTTCTTCCACCAAGACAACTCCTAGGATTTAAAAAATAATAATAAATAATAATTAAAGGTGAAGCAGGTGAAGATGTAATGAGAGGATTCGGTGGGGGGCCTAGAGTAGAGCATATTCACAACTCAGAAAATCACAAGTGTGGGCAAAGATTAATAATATGGTATAAATGGTCCAACTTACAACCAGGAAATCTAACCCTAACTGCTGTAAGATGGGGATTGCAGATTAAGACAGGATCATATAATAAATATAATGCATTTATATTTATTTATTTTTACTTATCCAGAAATAAACATTTTCAATGTACACTTCTTATAATTTCATATACATTTCTTGAACAACTTTTCTAAGCTTATAACACTTCTGCAATAATATATACCAATCACATATAATATCAAAATTAATCCGATTTCACATAATCCAATTGATCCAATATAGATAACGGTACGAGGCATAAAACAGTTTTAATGGTGTTATTGCAAATAGTCAAACCTTCATGGTAGTTTTTGTATTTTATATTTTATGTTGGCATCATATCTATATAATAATAGGAAGGGTTATGAGGGAACTCACTTCTCCATCGTACGAGATTGTACCTTCAAATCGAAGTCTCCATGCCGAGACCTTCAAATTTCATAACCTACTGCATCGTAGGATACAGTATCAGCATATATGAATATTGAATTCAGGTTGTAACTTTCTCTTACCAGGAAGGCATATATAACATTTTCATGAAGCCAACAAAAAAACAGAACACAGCAAAACTAGACTTCATTTTCGTTGCAAACGGAGATTACTCTTACCAGGAAGGCACGAATGAATGAATGAAGCAATCCATCTATATTCTGTTCGGAAAAAATCAGCAAGGAAAAGTAACCAAAATATATCAGCTTATGTAAGACAGTGAAAATACGGGGACACAATTTCACTCACGCCACAGACATTCATTCTATGCAAGGGAGCCCCGGAGAAGTAGATATAAGTGATGAAACATAACAAGCATGGATTCTTGAATGAACTTTTTCTCTTTTTTCGATAATCTCTCTCATACTGACATGTTCCAGATCACCGCCCGAAGCATAGAAACAAAATTTTAAAAGGGATAAAGACAATCCATAAGCAGGGAAAAACTTTAACAAATCCCACTTTTTGGTCGCTCTGCGAGAAGACAGAGATATACTAAATACTAACAAATCCCATTTATTTCTCAAACCAAAAAATTTCATTTCATGTAAAAGAAAAAATTTAAAAGAAATGATGAGCAATCATCCTTCGACTTAGTCTTGAAAATTCAAGTGATGTCGACTAAGAAGTAAAGCCGGGTAACTAATTTGTGAACATGAACGGAACAAATAAATTGTTCAATTTTCAATCAACATTTTTCTTTTCATAAAATCCATGTGATGGAGCAAGCGTTCCTCTCTCAAGTTCAATTCTACTGACAATTCAATGGAGGAAACCTTTAACATGCGGGAGAGATACATAACAAGAAACAACGATACCGTCAATCACCCTGGATGCTTTGTAAAAAATGCATTATAATCTAATAAACTTACCACTCGTGCTTGAGCAGCAAGCAATTGCAATTTGCAAAGTATCCAAAACATCCTCCATATCAGAAGCTTCCGACTCCAACAGACACTTTGACCTGACATCAATTATCAAGAGTCGGTGCAAAATCATCCATGTCCATCAAATTTGCTTAGTAGTACTGAATACGACTTGCTGAATACATTAATAATTAGCAACTACCGAGCAACATTATCACTTAGATAAAATCTGCAAATAAACCTCACAACAAAATGTGTTATGAACTACTGAACTCGAGCGTCGTTGTAGTGCAGAAGGGAATGTTATCAGCCTGTGCGGATAACTTGGTAAGCGTGTTAAATTGTTAATTCGTGTATTCGCCAAGACAACCTGAAATCCACTACACACACCACCACTCAAGAGAAAGATATTCAGAGCTGTAATTTCAGGTTATATATATTCCTAAAGCAATCCCTAGAGATATCGTGAAACAAACATGATATCCATCAAAGCAAATAGCATACAGCATATATGATATACAGTTGACATGTAGCAATTAGTTCACTCTGCAAACAATTCGCTTATAAGATGAAGAACGATAGACAGAATCATGAATCGAGAGATAATTAAACAAACGCATATAAGATGCCGAATAACGATACAGAGAATAAGGAATCGAAATTAAACGCTTAAGACAGAAACTGGAAACCTATTACATATACAATCGCACCATTAGGAATTGGGAATCAATTGTAAACCTCTCCGCTAGGGTTTCCCCTCACATTTTCGCAGCATTGCTTCCTCAGATTATCGCAACGGCTATATTTAACCTCGAGAAAGGAAAGTAACTTGTTTTCGTTTCTATTAGGAAAGCAGACTGTGATCGGCGTTAAATACTACGGGTAATTACCAATTGCAGCTAGTAGCGGCTAAAATAAATAACGTTTTTTTCTCACTTTAATACCACCAAGATAAAAAATAAAAAATAAATAGATAATAAATAGGTAATTTCATTATTATATTTAATGAAAATTAATTCCACACACAAAATTTGTGTTGTATTGATTTTATTAAAGGTATTAATGTCATTACCTATTAATTTTCTATTTTTTATGTTGGTGCCTTGGTGGTATTGAAGTGAGAAATAAACGGTATTTGTTTTAGCCGTCCCGTTAGAGCTGGTAAGTGGCAACACTGGTTTAAAGTTTAAACGGCGCATCTATAATTTTTACTACTTCACTTTCATTAAAACGTGTTTTGACTAACTTAACCCATTGAAATACTAATAAATAGTTTTTAGAATATCTATTTTATTTGTATCACTAGATACAAGATTTGAAAAATAGATAAACAGTAATTTATAAATTAACATTTATTGAATTTTTTTCTTATATCTATTTAACTAATAAGACTAATAAGTTATGAATTAAAATAAATAATTCCGGAAATAACTTATAAAAAACATAGAGAAATAATTACTTAAAGGTAATATACAAAAATTGGGTGATATCATATGTCACAATTCCATTAATAAAAGAATATCAGTGTGCGACCAAGAAACAAAAACTCATTACAACTCATATTAAACATAAACATGAAATAATTAAAAAATAAAAAAATAAATAAATAAATCACAAACCTATAAACACAAGAGAAACATCATACATTCCTCACACAAGAAAATGTGAACAAAATAATCCCATGAATATGCAGCTGATCTTCATCTCCCCCGTTGATCCATCACCTGTGAAAATTCCCCATCTTCGTCGTCTTTCATCTGCGACTGCAAGTCGGGATCGGAATTCACGACATCCTTAACAGAATCAACATTACTACGCAACCACGCCTCGTGAAGCTGCAAGACGTACTCCAAATGCCACAAAACCTCCCCCATCGTCGGCCGACTCTTCCCTTCATCACCAAGGCACTTCTCTGCAATCTCACCGAATCTCATCAAAGATTCCGGACAATAATGCCCTTTCAACCTCGGATCAAGAATACTCTCGATCGACCTCTCCCTCTGCCAACGCATGGCCCATTCAGCAAGATTTATCTGATCCTTCGGCAAAGTCGGATTAATAACCGCCCTTGCACAAATAACCTCAAACAGAACCACACCGAACGAGTAAACATCCGATTTCTCAGTCAACTGCTGCCTCCTAAAATACTCTGGATCTAAATAACCGAAGCTCCCTTTAACCGCTGTACTCACATGTGTGTGCTCCAACGAAGGTCCCGTTTTTGACAACCCAAAATCGGACATTTTAGCAACAAAATCCTCGTCCAGTAGTATGTTTGTTGTCTTAACATCTCTGTGGATAATACCTCGGTCGGAACCTGTATGAAGGTAATGTAGCCCTCGCGCGGCACCGATGCATATATCTAACCGCTGCTTCCAGCTCAGTGGGGGTAAGTCGCTTCCGAATAGATGGTTCCGGAGAGTTCCGTTCGCCATGTACTCGTACACCAATATCATTTCACTCTGTTCGTCACAGAATCCAATCAAGGAAACAAGATGCCTGTGTCTTAATTTAGACAGCAGTTCGATTTCAGTTTCGAATTCTGTTAAACCCTGCTGTGATTGTGGGTGGGACCGCTTAACTGCGACGAGGCTACTTTCGTCAATCTCTCCTTTGTACACCTTACCAAACCCTCCCACACCAATCACTAAACTTTCATCGAAATTACTCGTTGCTGCCCTAATTTCGGTTAGTGTAAAACGCCTTCCAGATCTAATAGTGCCGCCGTTCGGATGATTCTGATTGGCCGATGATGTCCCTTTTGCGTTGGCAGTGCTGTTTGTGATGGTTCCGTTGAGGAACAAAGGCCTCCATCCATTAGGGTTCTTCTTCGTATCGTTTTTCTTCTTACAGAAACAGATTATTACAGTACATATAGCTGCAAGAATTACAATAGAAGCAATAACAACTCCAATGCCCACCCAAAGAATCAAACTTTTTGAATTTTTTCTCGTTCCGATATTCGTGTACGTCTCCACGTAAGCTAGATTCCCATTACGGCTGATCTTGAAAACCTCCAACCCGTTCAAGAGGGCGTCGGTTCCAGCAGAACCCGTTGTGGGGTCTGGTCCAAGCTGTATCCAGATAGCATTTGTCTTGGACGAAACAGAATCTAAATAGTCCTCGTGATAAGCAATGTTCATTCCACCGGCTCGACTGTACACATCAAAGTTGTCCGCTGCGGTTTTATTGTCTATGAATATTCGGAAAATCCTCTGGTTCGGCTTATCGTACACCAATTCGCAGAAGTGGAGGCGGATTAGGTACTCGAAATCCGGATCGATTCTCAACTTCCAAGACATGTTGAACCTCTTCTCCATCACTTCGGTGTTGGTCAAAGTTCTTGCTGATTCGTACACCTCGAGCGGGCCCGCAAAGGTGTCGTTTGGATTCGCGTAAGTTATATTCGACCGGTTTCGAATTTCGGAGCCAGCATCTGCATTGATCATATAACCCGAATCCGCTTCCCATTTTCTCCACAAAATCGAATCTTGCGAAGGACTAATAAATGAACCGCCCACATTCAGTCTATACATAGTTTCAATCCCTCGTTTGCTCAAATTCAACGAACTATTGCCACCGTTAGCACCGACTCTTCTCACCGAGTCAACAAACACCTTATTTCCCTCGGGTATAATTTCTACCGCATTCAAGAACCCAAAAGAACCCTTTGAAGGAACAAGATTCAACACGATTAAGTTGGTTTCGACATAAAAGAAATACTCCTTCACCACGTTGGAATAACTGGAATTGGCTGTGGGCCCCATCAAGTTTAAATTCTTGTCCGAAATCTCGCCGGGAACATTGAACTCCGTAACTAACTTCAGACCGTTTGCCTCGACGGAGAAGTAGGACTCGTTCGCGTTGTATCCACGGAATACCAACGGGTAGAAATGGAGCCGGAGGAAATAATGCCCGTTCGGTACTTGAAAGGTGTAATTCAAACTGTCTGTGAATAATCTGGCTGTTGCGTAAAGAGGCTCGTAGGCTGAATCACCGTTGAAAACAGCGGTGGAGGCCTCGATTCCCGGAGAACTAAGGGTGACATTGTTCGCCGGAGATGTGTCGCCGACCCATCTCCTTCCATCAACAGTTACAGTTGCATTTGACCCGCAATTTATCAGAAACGACGCCGTTTGAGCCTCTGCAGAGCACAAAAGGATAAACAGAATCACCACTGTGCTCTGGACCTGCATCATACACCCACCCCTGGTTGAACCAAACTATGGCTCCTTTTTACCCTGTTGTTTAGCTTTCTTTTTCCCCAATTCAACCGCCAATAATAATAACCTAAAATTATGCATATTTTGAGTACAAAAATAAATTGCAATTTATCTTAATGAAAAAATTTCAAAATTGCGGACCAATTGAAAGCATAAACAGTAGTTACCTTCATACAAAGTAAGAAAGCTTGAAAGCCCACCAAGAACTGTGCTGAATCAAGCACTAATTTCTTCGGCAAACCAAACCCTAATCAGCAAGCAGATCTGAGCTAATAAGCAGACGAAGAAGAAGAAGAAGAGGAATTAGGGTGTTTGAAATGGTAGTGAATACTTCGCAAAAGAGATGCAGTCTTATTCTTCAAATAAGGAAATATGCTACCAAATTACTATTTTGCAGAGAGAGAGAGAAATGCCGAGAAAATTATTGCAGAGAGGATTGAAAGATGAAGCGAAGGTTGGCTTGAATAAAAGAAGTTTGAAATAAACAGTCTGGAAACATTCAACAGAGGATGTAATCTCTTTGTTTTATTATTATTTTATTTTATTTATTTATTTATATTAAAAAAAGGATCAAGAATCTTGTCTCAGCATCTGTACTAGCCAAACTTTATTTTAATTAAACTTGTGAGAAGTAACTACTGCTTCAGTAAATAAATAAATAAAAATAAATAAATTGGAAATTGGGGTGAGTGGGTGGTGGTGGTGGTGCCAGAGAGCATGGACCTCCATTATTTGGGTTACCATCACATGCATTTGTCTGTAAGTAAATCAACATTCAACATTTCCAAATCAAAGTTTATTGTGATTTACCAATAATACCCCTGAGGCACTGTGCATTAAACAAAGTGTAATCTTGTCTTCTTCTTCTTCCGTACCAATAGTACCCTCTTGTACCTGGTGTCACATTTCAACGCGGAAATACGGATAAATACAAATTAATTGACATCTACACGTATTTATCCATTAATTAACAATAAATATTTTTTTTATTTATTTCAAAAAAAAAAGAGTAATGAACAATCCATGTGATGGGATTATTATTTATTATAATAATAATAATATATAATTTTTAATTAATAATTAATAAATAATATTTTTTTCTATTAATGTTTTTGGATGTTTATTATGTGATCCAATAATACATGCTACTATTGATTAAGGATTATCTACTCTATTTTGTTTTTTTCTTTTGATTATTTGAATACTGCACCGCCACGACCAGTTAGTGATTTAGTGTAGTGTTATTGGATTAGATTGCCAAACATAAAGCAGTATCTAGGATTGCATATAATTAAGGTAATTAACGTTAATTAATTAACAATCAATGTTGGTCGATTTGGTGGGAAACAGTGTTCCCTTTCGAACATATGCAAAACAAAAACTGCTCCCGCGTAATTTATTAACGTTGTATGTGTGTTTCACCTAATACACTTAATCATGGAGCTGGTTCAATAATTACAAAAACCATTATTATTTATTGAATGATGATGGCAAAAATTCAATGTGGAAGTGATAACAATTATTATTATTTTTATTACGTCCTGCATTTCAAAATAAAACATTATAATTTATTATCACTGCAATTTTAATTAATAATTGAAAGAAATAATATCTTATTGATAGTGTCAATTTAACAAAGTTGGGCCAAATTCTCCACATTGGGATTATTAAATAATATGAAGCCAAATAAATATATGGACTGAGATTGATTGATTAGGCCTAGAGGCCCAATGCGCATACAAAACATGGATTCTTCTAAAAGTTCGTTGGAAGAAAGTTCATTAGTACCTCCTCCGCTAAATATATCCTTGCAGTATGTAGTTATCGAGCTCGCCAGCTCATCAAACATGCAACAAGCAATAGAAGGGCAGGTAGCGAGTTGAACGTTAGAAGCGTAAGACTCGCAAAACGTGTAAATTGAGAGGAGTGATTGAGCAATCAATGTAATCAGGCGAATAAATGGATTATAAATTATGAAATGTCTAATTAGAAACTATCTATAAGTGAATGTAAAGAACCTATTGGGATCACGTTTTGATCAACCAATACAATTTTGTACTCTCTTCAAAACTCTTTCTCACTCTTCAAATTTATATCTTTCGATCGTCGAATTCATCTTCTCCGGCGAAAGACCGGCGTTCAGTAGATTTCCGGCTATCAAGGAAGTTGAACTCGGAAGAAGATCTTAAGGATGTGTATATCTTACATACACCATCACTTAGGGCAACACAATTGTGCAATATAAGCCTTTGGACCTCTGAGCCTCTAGCCCAGAATATAATGGGCTTGGCCCATCATTTCTTATAGAAGCAAGGAAAATAATAAGATTGGGCCAATTGCGGTTTTATCATAGATTGGGCCGCCAAACCCATATTATACTAATTCAATTATGTTCTAAAACAAATAAATTAAATGATTGTGACGTAAGCTAATAGTGTAATTATAATAATTAAATAGGAAGTCTAATTGGGCCGTCTAATAATTATTGAATATAGTCCAATTATAATAAAAGTCTGGCAGCAACAACCTTTTTGATTTATTATGATGATCAGTGAATAAAGACAAACAAATTTTAATTATATGAAATAAGAACTAAAATCAGTTTTAATTATATAAAATTTTAAATCAATTTTAATTATATAAAAAAATAAAATCCGTTTATAAACCTAACAAGGACCGACTGGTATCCGTGTCAAGGAAAAGCCGGTTCTTCTCTCCAGTTACTTCCCTAAAGTTCTCTCTTTTTTCCCCATATTTAACTTGATCCTCCACTTCAAACAGTACAAAAGCGTAGCACGTTTAATAATAAGAAGCGGTATTTTTTTTTTTTTTTTCTTTTTTTTTCTGAATGACCATAATTCCTATAAGGCTGACTTTTCCAGTCACCAATGAAATAATCACAATACACGCAGCAACAATTTACACAGTGATGGGTTCCGAGCCTGAAACTGAGGGCTGTAGCGCTGAGGGGGTGATCCTGGGGGTGGACGGCGGCACTACGTCCACCGTATGCGTATGTCTGCCGCTTCTCCCCTTCTCCGACCACCGCCAATTGCCCGATCCTCTCCCCGTCCTTGGCCACGCCGCCGCCGGTTCCTCCAACCACAACAGCGTCGGAGGTAAATATTTATCATGAAGATAATTCAGTTCCTACATCGTTTCTTCACATTTTAATCCATAATTTTGCCTAGTTTCTTCATATGCTTAAATGTTTGATTCACAATCCCCTTTTGGTTTCACAATTTTCATGGTTTCATGACCTATTTATTTCCATGCCTTAAGATGAAAATTCACAATCGTCCTAATATTTTTATTTCCATGCCAATAGTAAAATTCAACTTATCCAAAAGAAGTAAAATAGTAAACATTCCCAATTCCTCAGTTTCTGGACATTTGTTGAATGTAAATGATAGACTGTTCTCGTTAAACTAATTTGTGCGCAAGTGTACAAGCAAACTTGTTTTGCAAGTTGATTTGATGAAATTGTATCTTACAGAAACTGCAGCCAGAGAAACACTTGAACAGGTTATTAGTGAAGCTCTTTCTATAGCGGGGAAGAACCATTCAGCAGTTCTTGCCATTTGCTTAGGGGTTTCTGGTGTGAATCATCCGTCCGATCAGGAGAGGGTATTTAACTGGATGAGGTATATTGCGTGTCTGTCTAATTTCTTAATTTGTTTCCCCTTTGAGTGAAAAGAGATTCTGGTTCTTCGTCTCCTTCCTTACAATATGGCTTTGAGACGTGTATTTATAGATGATTAACACACTGGCAAGTTGATATCTAGAAAATACATGCGGGAAACTGTGACTGTCAACTATTCAGATTTTTTTCTTAAATTCTTTGCTTGAACTGAAACAGAAACTGGGTAGGAAAATAAGACCCCTGACTGAAAACCAATAAAAGGCTAAGTCTAATTGATGGAATGTAATGGGATTGTGTAACTTGGATATAATAGTCATTCTGGTGTTGACTGAAAACAAATTTAGTAAAGTCAAAATTTGGTTAAAACTTCTTGTTGTAATACTCTGATACATATGATTCCATACATGTGCCGATTAATCATATTCTCAATCTTCAAAACTGGTTACTCATTGTGTGTGATAGTGTTATAGGAACATATTTCCGAGTAATGTGAAGATATATGTCCAAAATGATGCTGTAGCAGCTCTTGCAAGCGGGACAATGGGGAAACTTCATGGGTGTGTTCTGATTGCCGGTACTGGGTGCATTGCTTATGGATTTGCGGAAGACGGAAGAGAAGCTCGAGCTGCTGGTGCAGGACCAGTATTAGGTGACTGGGGCAGGTGAAAATTCACCGTAGACAGGTTACTTCGAGTTAGATAACACGTTGTAAATGAATGAGCTCTAAATTTTGTCAAATGAAGTGTTCTGATCATACTTGTTTCGGTATTTTCCGTTTGTAGAGATCATGTTCATGCAATATAATAAGTCAGCAAACCGAAGTTGTTTAATCATTATTAATGGGGATAAGCTTTTTCATGGGCTTGATAGCCCATTGTCTCAGTTTGCGATATATATAGATATTAGATATACAAGTAATGTATTTTTGACAAAATGGTGGGCAAATTAGTGAAATGTGCCAAAGGTTTTCCAATGTGACAATGTTTCTGCTTCTCTGGAGTTCGAATTTATTTATTAAAGTAGAATTACTTAGTCCAGACTTCCAATGTGACAATGGTAATTTGTTGCTTCTTCCAGTGGTTATGGAATTGCATCTCAGGCACTAACAGCCGTGATTAAGGCTCATGATGGGCGTGGTCCAGAGACGACGCTTACAAACTGTATTTTGCAATCACTTGGTCTTTCCGCTCCAGATGAAATTATAAGGTATCTATCTCTCTTTAGGAATTTATCTCGTATGCTATTTTCCATGTTGGTGCTGCTAAGAACAAACCAATTGGGTCCGGATATTTTTTCTTTTCCGGTCAGATTTCTTGGGTTTCTCATTGTGTTTTGTTATTAGTGGATACTTATGTGGCAGAGGTTAGGAGGTACTTTGGACAATGAAGATATTAGACTTTTCTGCTGGATTTCGGACTGTATTCATAAACTAACGTAGAGAGCAGCTGATTGGTTTTTATAATTTTCTATCCCATTCGCACATGCTAGTTGAGCATTTATGAAATGCTAGTTCTATGTCAGTTATGTAGCAGCAAATTGGCTGTTATAATTTTCAATCCCATTGGCACATGCTGGTCGAGCATCTACGAAATGCTAGTTCTATGTCGGTTTTGTCACTCAGTCTCTTGCTGATAGAACTTCGAGAGAGATTTTGAGTTCATGAGGGAAATCACTTGCTTTGTGTGTAAAATAACATCAAGGTTCTATAACCTTAGTAAATGGCGATAATATTTTTATTTATACTTCTTTTCTTTCTGCAACAATGAGTATAAATTTAGTAACAGGGAAACCACTTGGACTCAAGTTTTGTTAAAATTTTAATAATTATTATACAGAACAATTCCATGTAGTCTAACAACAGTTGGTTGTTTAAGAATTGACAGCAAGAAACTGAAGTGATTCTACGGAAGTTGCACTTTTATAACCATAAATTTTCAGCATCCTTTTTAATTCGTTGCTTATTGGAATTTAGGTGGACCTATGCAGATTCATCTTGGGCCAGAATTGCAGCACTAGTTCCTCTTGTCGTATCCTGTGCAGAAGCTGGCGATCAAGTTGCAGATGAGATCTTGAATAATTCTGTCCAAGAATTGGCTCTAAGTGTAAAAGCTGTTGTTCAACGACTACATTTGGCTGGGGAAGGTAGGCCCGTATTTATGTTTATATTGAATACACATGAAGCAAAATGCTGTCTTCAGCTCGGATAATATCCCCTAGTCCTTGGCACCCTGATTCTAATTTTTTCTTGTAAAAATCTTGAAACATATATGGGTTACAGATGCTTGGCATGCCGTCTTGTCGCATTCATATTCAATGTGTCGCCTTTAATTTGAAAACCTAGATATGAAGAATTTAGTATTCTGCAATTGTAATCCTATAAAATGTTTTGAATTCTCAATCTAGTCAACTGCCTCAACTAGCATGGTGGCCACACCACTTGTAGAAAACAACTAAAAGTAAACCCTTTTTTTACAGATGGAAATGGTTCTTTCCCGGTTGTCTTGGTTGGTGGGGTCCTGGAAGCTAACAAGAGGTGGGATATAGGGAAAGAAGTCACATCCTCGATTTTGAAGGCCTACCCAGGGGCTTTTCCTATACGACCAAAGGTTAGCTTTCCTCGTCTGTGGGAAAGTAATTAGGGATGTACTAACAACATTCATTTGATTGCAAACTTACTTTTCAGCATAGTAGGATAATTTGGTTTCCTTGATCTTATATTGATGTTGAATAACACTTGCTCTTATGGATATTTTAGAACCATGGTTTGACTGTTTATTAATCGTACGTCTTAATCCAGCAGCCTTGATTGGTCTTGGTCCCTGTCATGATTGCGAATAATGTTTATATACATGGTCCTCCTGATTTTTAGTCCCACGCTGCATTTTCAGTTTTGTTGAGATAGGAAAATGTTTATGCCCTGAGTGTTTGATTGTCAGGTAGAACCTGCTGTTGGAGCTGCATTATTTGCCTGGAATACCATGATGAATGAAGCTCAAGTTAATGGTCACAGATGACATTTTGAATGTAAAGAAGATGCCTCCCTCACTTAGTAACAGAAATTGTACCATCTTGCATATATTTATTTTCAAAATATTATCAACTGGTTGATATTACATATTACTGGACTAATCGCTCCATAATATGCTTATGCTGTGGCTAATAGTAACCAAGAATATATCTGTATGAAACGGTTGTTTTCAGATTTTCTTATTTCACATGCTCTTGTACAAAATTGTGAGATTAGATTCTGCTATTACGATCTAATGGCAAAGAAGATACTGGTTTTTACAGTAGAACTAGACGCAGTTACTATTTACTGCGCTCGATATCTTGAAGCATTAATACAGGCTTTCAGTGGTAAATTCTTCTGCTACGTATAATGGGAAGGGTCGTTGAGGCGTTAATTGATAGCTCTTTAGTGCTGCCAAACTAAGTTAGCTGACTCAAAGTGGAGAAAAAAAAAATATGACCACTTGAACTTTTTGAAGTTTTGAAATTTATGGCAGTAGCTAGGGCTGCCAAGAATTCTTGGTACCTAACAATTTATTGCTAACTACTACTAACTTGTTTGTTTTTTTTTCCGTTGAAGTGAAATAAAGGCCTTAGGCCTCGTTTAGTTGGTGATAATAGCCATTACTAACTAATAATCGAACTTTGTTTAATGTTTGGTGTTTCCAATAACTTACTGGGTCGATCCGCAAATACTAAATAATCTAACGAAAACCCAATAATTTTATCAGACCCCATGAAAACACGTATTAATTGTTTGATGTAAATATTGACCTGTTGTACCCCATCACCAGCAAAAGGTGGTTGAAACCTAATTAAAATCACAGATGAAACCATTTTTGGTTAATTTATTTGTCACCGCAATTACAGCTGGAGAATGACCCCCCAAAAAAAGAAGTTGACAACTAATCTTAAAGGGTGATCTAATTTCATTACATTGTGCGGAGTCTGAGAGAGAGAGAGAGAGAGAGAGAGAGAGAGAGAGAGAGAGAGAGAGGAAAGAATGTCTCATCCAATACATGAAGCCAATGAGAACAGTCCTTATGGTGACCTAACAAAGGAAGAGTTCTACAAGAAACACCACATCTTCCACCAACAAAGCTTCATGCTCAACAATCACAACATGAAAATATTCACCCAATCATGGCAGCCCGCCGACTCGAACCCGAACCCGAACCCGTCTCCTCTAAACGGGTTCGTGGGCATGATCCACGGATACACCTCAGAAAGCAGCTGGCTCTTCGAACTAAACGCGGTAGCCATAGCCAAAGCAGGTTTCTTCGTCTGCGCATTAGACCTACAAGGCCACGGCTTATCACAGGGCCCACACGATCACATCTCCGATATCAATCCTTTAGTACAAGACTGCCTCCAGTTCTTCGACTCGAAACGGGCCGACTACCGGAATATTCCCCATTTTATGTACGGGGAATCGTTAGGTGCCGCGATTGCCATACTCGTATGCCTGCAGCAGAGGACAATGCGGTGGAGAGGTTTGATAGTGGCCGGAGCTATGTGTGAGGTTTCAAACAAGTACAAACCTATGTGGCCGTTGGAGAAGTTGCTTCCTATTGCAGCTCTAATTGCACCGAACTGGAGGATATGGATCACCAGGGCTCCTACGAGCAGGTCGTACAGGGAGAGGTGGAAGAGGGTTCTGGTGGAGAGGAGCCCTAACCGGAGGAGCTGTGGCAAGCCAACTGCAGGAACTGCACTGCAGCTTCTGAGAGTGTGTGACTGTGTGAGGGAAAAGTGTGCTGACCTGGATGTGGCGATGCTGATTCTGCATGGTGGTGGTGACGTGATATGTGACCCAAAGGGTGCACGGTTTTTGTATGAAACCGCGGCGAGTGAGGATAAGACGCTGAGGATCTTTGAGGGTATGTGGCACCAGCTGATTGGTGAGAGTAATGAGGGTGCACAGCAAGTTTTCGACACCATGCTGGAGTGGATTCAAGCCAGAACTATGTAGTATATATACGGATTTAAACAAATCCAGTTAATTAAGTAATTATTATTGTCATGTAATCCTTAAATTCGGACATGTTGGAATCAATTTATTTAATTTTATAATTCTAAATAAGAAATTGAGGGGGAATAAAACTTTGTTGCAATGCACATGCAACAAAAGAGAAAAAAGGCAAGATAAGAGGACGAAATGGAATACTTTTTGGGTAAAGGTAACACAACTTTTGGAATCACTATTAATTGCCCTATCTTACACTAGCAATTAGAGTTTAATTATATCTAAATGGTCGGTAATTAACAATTATCATCCACTAATATTAAATCAGTAAATATTAAAAAAAAATTATTGGGCACAATAAAAATTAAAATTTAAAATAATTACGTGTCAATCAATTGGGCAGAAACAGTCAAAAAGAATAGTCCTTTTCAATTTCATCGCATTAAATTGGGAAAGACAAAAAAAATACCTTGGTGTGGGGCCGTGACGCGTTTTTACTATTACTGAATTTCTCAGCCCAAACTACAGTACAACAGTTTCAGCACAGTGTACAACTTTTTCTTAAATTGATTAAATGTAAAAATCAGACGCATTTATTTTAGCATATAGATACATGAATTCTTTTTTGTATCTCTCTCTCTCCGACAAATACTCACGAGTAAACTGTCAGACAATATATATTGACAAAATATATAGTAGTACTAGGACAAAGAAAAAAAACACAGTCCCACCACACACACACTTACCTCCATCACTCCTCCTTTCACTTCAACCCCAAATCGCAGGATAAGAAACGACGTCGTATTTTTCTCTTCATTCCAATATGGCCCACAGTTTCGGCGTCGCCGCCTTCTTCGTCGTTTTACTGGCTTTACTCGGCCAGTACTCCTGCGGCCGTGAGCTTCGTCCCTCCGACCACGGCCTAGCCTATCAAGAAGAATCTTCGCCGCCGGTGCAAAACGGCAGCGACGCGAAACAAATGGTTTCGTTCTTCGGTGCGACGACGTCGTCGTCTTCGCCGGCCGTGCAGCTGCCTGAGGCGAAGAATATAAGCGACACGTGGTGGAGCGCTCGCGCCGACGATGGGAGGTCGGACGGCGACGCCGGCGGCAGAGATCACGTGAGGCTGGGGTTTTTGGTGGCGAGCGCCGTTTGTGGACTAACCGGCGTCTTAATGCTGGCTATCTCCGGCGTCGTTTTCATATTTCGCCTCCAGAAGCAGAAGCAGAAGCAGAAGCTGAAGCTGGAAGCTGAAATGATTCCGTCCACGTCAGCACAAAATTCAACTGTGCCACGTGATAATAGTCATGCAGCCATTGAATTAAAGTAGTGGTTAGTGATGATTATTAGTTTATTTAATTTAATAAATTATATTTCCAATGGGGGTTCTTCAATTTTTTTTTATCCCCTTTATGTTATTTGTGTATAATTAATTATGAGCTGTCAGCTTAATTGGAACATAATTCTCACCTTTTTGCACTCCAATTATCTTCTTCAATAATATTTCTTTTTTTCTTGATGATTTATTCAATAAATAAATATTAGCAAATATAAATAAATATTAAATCTGCAATATTTGTCAATATGAAGTAGAAGACAATTCAAAAACAGGTCCCCCACAGAATAGATTCAGATTCACCATCAAACAAAAGTTTCTGAGTTAATTAAACTTGTGACAAAAATATACAACTCCCGTGACATTTCTCAAATTTAAAAAAAAAAAAAAAAACCCAAAGTCAAGAAATGCAAGTTTCCGGTTAAATAACTTACCGTACACAACGAAATAAATTTTCGAGTAAAACGGAAAAACGAAAATGTATATACACACACAGACACAAATTATTGATCAAGGGGAATCCACTCAAGTTCAAGATCTATATCTCCAGATTCGACGTTTTGGAGCTTGAGTGAAACGGCCTGCTTCACTTTCCCGTCGACAATGTTAACAGTGCTGTCTTCGATTAGGGCATTATCGTGCGATTTTAACCATTTTCCAATCTGCATATTTCCAAACATTCCAATGTCTCCAAACGCTGTTGCAGAAGTTATCATCGACTGTATATCTATCTCCGCCTCCCCCATTATATCATCAGATGAAAACGTGTCGTAATCATATACTTGCTGTATTTGCAGAGTAAGAAAAAAATTAAAATTGATTATATATGTTTTAGCGGCCAATTGGAGACGAGAATGGGAATTACCAGTTTTATTGGGCCATAATTTTGTGGGACAGAAAGCATAAGTTCCTCGTTCCAGACGGGATTTAGATTGCTCTTCACCACAGTTGTTTGTGCTTTCTAGTAATAGAAAATGAACCACTATTATTAATATAATTTCGACAAAAAAAATATTTTAAAAGGTCAAAAGTGACATTTAATCCAAAAAAGGTGGAGGGGTTTGCGGACCTGCTGCCCGAGTGTCAAAACGACATACGGATCACTTGATAGCATATCTCGAATAGCTAAATTTACTCCTTTAATTACTTTAATCTTCAACATGCCGATAAACTCCACCATGCCTACCTGTGATGGGATTTCACATTTATCCATAAAATTAACAAGAACCCAATGCAAGTTATATAATCTCGATGAATTTGTCCTGTCTTACATGGCATTCTATGTATCTATTTATGAAACAGAGATCGTCTAAACACGATAGATACGAAGTGGGATTGAAAGAAACATACTGATTTTTCTGATGAACCCGAACTTCGAAAGCTGTCCATAATCTTTCTTGACAAGCTTGCTTGCAAAGAATGCTTTGTTGAAGAAGAAGTAGAATGAATTCGCAGGCTAGGTTTCAAAAATTCTTGATGCTCGTACTTAGACCTAATCAGATAAGCAAAAAAAAAAAATGAAGACTCGTTAATAGTTAGCCGTTAGGTGCTTTAAGGACTACAAGGTTGGATCAAAATGAATACTTAGTAGTTTGTATATGAACTGACCTGATAAACTTCGAACGTACTTCGTGGCTAGCATCGGGTCCAGGCTTTGACACCCCGTCGGGAATATAAGCTTCGTAAATGGAATTTGCAGACGCATTTCCACCAACCTCAATCATTGAATCAACTTCATCATCGGACCATTCATCTAATGTCACAGACAAAACCTGCAAGAACATGATCAAGTACTAAATACGACAAACAATTTCCAAAAGCAGAAACTTATGGAGAAGAAAACTACGATATATTATTATTACCTTTGAAATATGTGTACCAAGGCTTCTGTGGACACCACAGCACTTCAAGCATATAAAAACTCCGATATTTGCCGACCTGTAAAGAAAAAGGTTAGTTAATAAATCACAAACAAATGAACAAGATCCGATATCTCCGTGCCTCCGATAAAATAAATTTAACAAGAAAAAGGTAAAAAGAAAATCAAAATTTTCCTAGAGAAGATGTTGCTCTGAGTCGAATTATAAACAATTCAGTGAAGGGTTAAAACGAAAATGAAATAGAAAGATTTTCGAGAAACTTACGCCCATTTTGGATCTGGAGAACCACAATCTGCGCATACACGATTATCTCGTTGAACCAAAAGATCTTTCAATCTTCTTTTACCTGTACAATTTTCATGACAAAACCACAACTAAGAAAGGGGGTTCTAAGGCGATGAATTTGCTCATGTATTAATGATTCATAATTCAACTTAAATGGTAGCGACATTGAGGAACGATTGTTAATTATAAAATGAACCACAAGTCTGAACATATCAACATGAAGTCTAAACAAAAGCCGATGAGTTCAAACTGATCACACGGGAATCATTCATAGCTTTTTATTAATCAAATACAAGCAATTCAGTTTCAAAGCACAGTTGCAAAATCGGATATAGAATTTTTTTCGGGGGTTAGTTTATATACTATTGAATTACAGCTTCCATGCGCAAATTACAAGGAAAATACGCAAGTAATCGAATATTTTACACACCTGAAGTTGGTCTCCCCAAAGATGATGAGTTGTGGCTCATTGCTAACTTTGAAGAATGATATCATTCAACAAATTAGTACTTATTAAAACTAAAACCTGCACAATAATCCCCTGCAAAAAGATTAACAATAAACCCAAAGTTATATAACTCCATCATAAGTAAATTCAAAACAGATAGATACATTTTCTCTAATTAAAACTCAATTAAGCCCATTTCCTGAATGATTTCTATCAAAACTAGACACAGAAATATGCAGTTACATCAGAACCCTATAAATTAAATTGAAAAAGAAAATCGATTTTTTTTTTTTTGGAGAAATCAGCGTGAACCCATTTATAAAAATTGGGAATTCTACCAAATTTGACAAAAAATCGAACACGGAATCTGAAAAACTGACGACTAAACTCAAAAGTCAAAACTCTGATCTTAATCAAATTTGACAAGAAAAAAAAAATCCAAATTGATGCGTATCATAAGTTTTATATCAGCTGAAAAGGGGGAAAGAAAGATCTGCAAAAATTGTGGGGGAGTAATTAATTACCTTTACCTGAATTATTTTCGTAAGAATTTGCTTTGACGAATGGATGAACCCTCAATCCTTAGCAGAGAGGATTTTGGGTAAATTGTTTATGGTTATATACAAAACGAAGCGGTGCCTTTTTAATTTGATTTGAAATCAACGATAACAACTGTTTCTTTTATGTAATTAATCACTATTTATTACTACAGCTTCTTTTTCTCTGTTTCTTTAGATATATATATATATATTTGACTTATTTTTGGCAATCGCTACTGATGCCAACTGACGCAGGACGGGAGCACAAAAGGAATTAATTTCTACGAATTAATCCTATAGAACAAAATAACATTCGGAATCCACCGAAAACTCTGGAATCCACCAGAAAATTAGAGAAAACTCTAAATATTTTATTAAAATTCGAAAATCTTCTTAAAATAAAGACCTAAGGCAGCTATTTATACTAAAAAACTGAAAACCCTAATTAAACTAAGAAAATACTAAAAATTACCAAAAACGGCAAAAACGAGTTAGAGTTTGATTCTAGTAGATCTCGTAATTTTGGGAACAACCCAATTTACGGAATCCTAATCCGATTTTTCTATGATTTGATATTAATTTTCTAAAACTTGCCTAAAATAGCAAAAACGAAGTTTTAGGAGTCCAAATGACGTTGGATTGCAGAAATTTGACGTGATTCATGAGCTTTGCTCATGAGTTTTGTTCCTTGCGCCGTTTTACTTGAGATAGAGTTCGTTTCGTACTCAAGTACAATTTGAGTTCGTTGAAAACCCTTATTTTTCCGTAATTTCTTTCGATATCTCCACCGATGCCCATCAATAACTCTTCTACGAATTAAATAGTTATTTTCCAATTCGAATCCAATTTGGCGTTCCTTATCATTTAATGTAATAAAAATTCGAATTTTAATTACGTTAAATAAATAATCTCCATCTTGTAATTGTTTATTTCCTAAATTAATTTCAATAATTCTTTTTATTTTTTTATTTTCTAACTTCTATTTTCATATTTAATTTTGTATCTAATTGCTATTTAACACCATTTTCAAAGGCTTTAATCGTGTTTAGCACATCTGTACATAACCTTGGTTAGTGACCTACACCTAAAGTGCTTGGATTTAGAAGAAATGGTGTTGGTAATTAAAATATAGGCAGCTCAATTTGAAAAATCCCAAATAAATAAATATATAAAAAATAATAATAAAAAAAAAAATAAATCATTTATGAATGCAAGAATTTTATCCATCAATTGTGACTCATCAAATAAGAAAGTTGACTTTGGAGACAAGAATCAGTGACTGCCTTACAAATCAATAGACAAATTTCCCAAGAACAATAATAGTTCAGACACTACATAAATAAAAGTATTTGGACATGAAATACAGACCACAAATTGTCACCAAAAAACAACACAAAGATACCCCCCCACCACTTGCATTTTTATTCGAATAAAATCCATCAAGAAATGATAGTTTCAGAAGAATTTCAGATAAGAAAAAATCCAACTTCATATTGCTCAATACACTTCAACATGCCACTGTTTGTTCTTCTTGAGCTGTGACAGCTTCTCGTCCCAGCTCTCACCTCTCTGCTCCGCCACCTTCTTCAACGTGTCTTGGATTCCGGGCATCATCCCCTTCAGCCCGCAAAAGTATATGTGGGCCCCATTATCGAGAAGCTTGAAAATCTCGTCGCTGTACTCTTCGATCTTATCCTGTACGTACATCTTGCCACCGTTTCTGTTCTTCTGTTCTCTGCTGAGAGCACGGTCGAACCTGAAATTGTCCGGATAGTCTTGGAGGTACTTTGAGAATTCTTCGTCGTAAAGAAGACTGTCGGTGTTTGCCACACCTAGGAAAAGCCAGGCGAGCCCGCCAAACTTGAATGTGGGGACCGCCTCCATAAACATGCGGCGGAGATAGCCTCTAAAAGGAGCCACACCTGTGCCGGTAGCAATCATAATGTGGGTTGCGTTTGGATTGTCTTCCGGCAGTAGCATTACCTTGCCAGAAGGACCTAAAAAGACAAAAAATGATTTTACAAGAATGCCTATTAAGTCATTGCACAAAAAAAATATCGGAAAGAATGTGTGTGTGTGTGTGTGTCTTGATAAGTTTGTGTTACCTGCGAGTTGAACCTTGTCACCGGGCTTTGAATCACATAAAAAGTTGCTGCAAACACCGTTTTTGGAGGGGTCTTCTTTTCCGGTTTCTGGGTCGTAATAGACAGCTCGTCGAACACACAAACTTGCTGTCTTGCCATCAAAAGAATCTCCATACCTGGTCGATGCTATTGAATACAGCCTAACATTGTGGGGAGTGCCTGGCTTTTTAGGGTTCTCACCCTGGAAAATAAAACAGAAAAAATTATATATATCTTCTCAAGAATCGTGTGCATAGATATAACTTCCCTAGCACAAATACTCCTCAAATGTGGTAAACTAGACACGAATAGTTCATGATACCGTAAAGAAGCAGAAATCAAGAGCCTATTGCATTTTGGAAAGGTTAAATGTAAAAGAAAGTGGTAGAGATAAACGGGATTTGGAATACATACAGGTGGAATGACTCCATAACTTTGTCCTTCCCAGTAGGGAACATTACCACCATGATCGATGACAATGTGGCACGTCTCTCCAGGAGCTTTTGGCCCGACAAGCCTATCGACAGAAACAATAGTAGCTGTATACGGTTGCTTGTTCTTGTATAAGTGAAGTGGTGGCTCTTTCACGTCTTCTAAATCCAGAGGCGAAACTCCAACCTTGGGTGTGCTGGCTTGTTGAACCGACATGCAAACCGCGAATCGGTTTTTCGACCGTGAGCTGGCAATTTTCGAGTCCAATGTCCATGATTTATTGCGAAAGGAAACATTGTTTGTCTGCAGCAGTACAATGAGATGCAATTTTTGTATTAAGAAATTTATAATTCTTTAAGCATCGTAGCTTGCAAAAATTATAATGATCTGTTTTACAACGTAACCAAATAGAGAGACATGCAGCTTCACGGGCAGAAGGATCAAAGAAACATGGAGCACATGCAATGTACCATATGTTTAAAGAAAATATAACTAAGGGGTAAAAACGGGTAAAAACTGGAAGAATCCAAAGAAAGAGTTTTAATCAGAACGAACTGTGACATCGAATGTTGGGCGTAAAGAAATCATCAAATCATACAATCACTGTAAATTAATCCCAATTGGAAATAGCGCGAGAAACCAGCAAGATTAAGCAACGACGGTAATTCTTATATATATATTTTTTTGAAATGACGTCTTAACAAGTTTAATTTCAGAAAACTCTACAAGTAGAAATGCAGAGCCAACAAGTATTTGGAACTAATCAAACAATGGCCATGTGTTGTTTTGTAACGAAAGGTACCACATCAGCATAGTACACTGTACTCGAAAACGCGAGAAGTACCATACCGGAATTTGCCACCAAAAAACATATGGGAATTCAATTATACCCAATGAATTTGAGCCAGTACAATAATCTAACCAAATACTTGAATGATCTTGAAAAGGTAAGGTATAAAACTAAAGTCAAAGTAGACGAGTAAGGTTTCAAAGAAACTAATTCATGGTAATTACGATTAACTTTAAGAACAATTAAAGGGTAGAATTCAGAACCTTAAACACGGATCTTGGTAGAGAGGTGTCACTGTTGACAGAGACGGCAGCTGGGACCTGCACATCATTTCCCACATATTTTATTTTAATTATTAAAACAAAATTCAAAATCAGTCCAAAAAAATCCATCAATTTGAGAGTAGAAACATACCTGAGAAAGGGCGGAAGAAGCCATGATCGAAAATTGAAGATCAACGATGTCTAGTAGATGTTTGACAAATGCACCCAACCAAAAAGGGTGAGATCGCAGAGTTGAGGAATCCAATAGGAGTATGTATGAATTAATAATATATATATATAGAGAGAGAGAGAGAAATGGGCGGCGGAGGAGGGTGGCGATTGCTCTTGACCCTTTCGGCAGAGGCAAAAGACGGAATCTTTTTCCCTATTTCAACGCCCCTCTCTCTTCTTCCCCGATGCTGAGTTGGGGTTTTACTCCTTGTCATACCAAATAAAATAATTAAGTTTAATACATTAATTGAAAAAACAAAATACATATATATAATATTACTATAACGAGTCAAAAATTAATTCATTGGTCCACCACCTTCATATACGAAACAAATAAATAAAAAAATTGGTTATTATTATTTATTTGGTAATATTCCATTTTTTTAAGTATTATGATCTAATTTCTTGATTCATTAATTAGGTATTTTAGCCTAAGTTAAGTACTATTGAAGCATCTATTTTTTTGATGCATTTGTTGTAAAACTAACTTATAAAGCCTAAAGTTAAAATAAAATAAAAATAGGCATTATAGGTCCTAAAATAGTTGGTTCATTTTTTTTATATGAAATAGTTCTTAATCACTTAATTGATAAGTGACTCTTAAGGCTGGGTTTTGGTTACGCCTTAATTAGCCCCAAAAGACGTTTATCGGTCCAAACCCCGTTGCCACCTGGAATTCTTTTTCTTTCTTTTTTTTTGGCAAAAAGAATTCCGTACATTTGGGCTTAATTGGGTTTTTTATGAATTCATTAGATTTGGGCTTGAATCAATCTATTGTATAAACAAAGCCCAAATTAACATTTAAAAATAAAGCCCAATAACTAAAAAGACTTGAGTCGAACCACCGTCTCAATATTGCACGAAAAATAGCCCAATATTGGCTAACTAAAGTAATATGGGTCGGCTGTTCGAATACCAAAATTTGCTTAGTCAAAGTCCATTTAAAGGAAAATGACATTTTTACCCTCAGAAAACGAAAAGACCACAAAATATGTGAAAGTTGTTCGACGCAGGAGGAGCGTTTGTACGGTTATGTAGAACCTACACTTGGTGTAATACACCATGTAGTTGTACACAATTGATCTACACATAATAGCACACACAATCATGTATATATGCGCTTAGTTCGCTGTTATTTTTATAGATTTACAATTTAAAACCACATGTGTATTTCGTGCGTAGCTACGTCGATTACTTTGTCAACAAAAAATTGTTTTGATTAATTCGATTAGTGACACGATCGTTGCGATATCAAATATTGTATTATACAAACAACCTAAACACGTGTATTATTACAGTAGTGGTTGATATATATCTATATATTATTTAAATGTGTATTATTACTAATCAATCGTCTCAGATCAGATACTCAAATCCCCAAAATATTTATATAATGTGTATCTGTAAATAAGGATTATTAGTGAGTACGTTATGCATGACAGGTGTTATGTTTCTTTTTAAAATGTTTTTAATCTGAAATTGAAATCCATATGTATATATATTTTAATAGAGACAAGATGATATATTTGCACATGTTCATACATTGAAACCAAATGAGAACCGCTCATATCGCTCTCTTTACCCGGGAAATGGCCAGCCTGTAGTTTAAATCTCACCATTTCTTAATTGAATTAGTACTTTTGATTAATACAAGGCTGACAATGGAAACCTAAACTCCAAATTTCGCCAATTTCGATCCAAAATTTTCCGATATTAGAAGAAATTTCTTCGTTCCAAAAAAAACATTGAATTTTTTTCGAAAGTTTTATTTCCGATCCATGTATACTTCAGATCTGGAACCCTAGTTTAATTGATATACGCGCTTGCATGCACTTACATCCATTGCCTAATGAAGTTCATCTCTTCAATTATATTAATCGACTACTATTACACGTGAACGAAATCGAAATATGAGGCCTGAAATTAATAGCCATACGATCTATGGTCCCAATTGATTCCCCCTGATCCGCAATTGATATCCCTAACAAAGTCGCATGTGATGTATCGACAAACCATACTGCCTGAAAAACGTGGTACTGTGCTGAAGACCCACAAATAAATAAATAATTTAAATAAATAATAGAAAAGGAAAGAAAAAGAAAGGAAGAACGTGTATAATGCTCAACAACAACCGCCCTCAATTATACATAATATCAACTTGTAACTTGCCTCATCTACCCTATATATATATTTCATGCATCCATTCTTCTTTCCAATCTCATCAGAAACAAATACAATCTCCTCTTTCTTTCTACATATATATATCACACTCCACAGAGCTACATTACCCGGATCCGACCCGAATAAATGGGGAGCCTCCAGAACCAGAAACCCGACAACGGCTTCTCCGGAACAATGAAGCCACTTGACCCGGAAGAGTTCCGTAGGCAGGGCCATTTGGTCATCGATTTTCTCGCTGACTACTACAAGAACGTCGAGAAATATCCGGTTCGGAGCCAGGTCGAACCGGGTTATCTCAAGAAACTGATGCCCGATTCGGCTCCGCAAGATCCGGAACCCATTGAAGAAATCCTTCGCGATGTGCAGAAGGATATCGTCCCCGGTATTACACACTGGCAGAGCCCCAACTACTTTGCTTACTTCCCTTCCAGCGGAAGTATCGCCGGTTTTCTCGGTGAAGTTTTGAGCACCGGTTTCAATATTGTCGGGTTCAACTGGATGTCGTCCCCCGCCGCCACTGAGCTCGAGAGCATCGTCATGGATTGGCTCGGCAAAATGCTCGACCTCCCATCGGAGTTTCTCTTCTCCGGTGGAGGCGGCGGCGTTCTTCAGGGAACCACCTGCGAGGCTATACTATGCACTCTCGTTGCAGCCAGAGACCAGATGTTGAAGAAGATAGGGAGGGAGAACATCAATAAGCTTGTCGTGTACGGTTCCGACCAAACTCACTCCGCGTTGCAGAAGGCGGCGCAGATTGCCGGTATCAACCCGCAAAACTTCCGCGCCGTCGCCACCACCAAGGCCGACGCCTTCGGTCTCACGGCGGAGGCGTTCCGTGAAACTATCGAATCCGATATCGCATCCGGGCTTTTCCCGCTCTTCCTCTGCGCCACCATCGGTACGACGTCATCCACCGCCGTGGATCCGCTGAGCCCGCTTTGCGCGGTGGCGGAGGAGTACGGTATATGGGTGCACGTGGACGCTGCCTACGCGGGAAGCGCGTGCATTCTACCGGAGCACCGTCATTTCCTAAACGGAGTAGAGAACGCGCACTCGTTCAGCTTCAACGCGCACAAATGGTTCCTAACGACGTTAGATTGCTGCTGCATGTGGGTGAAAGACCCAAGCGCGTTGGTGAAAGCACTGTCGACATACCCAGAATATCTAAGGAACAAAGCCTCCGAGTCAAAGCAGGTCGTTGACTACAAGGACTGGCAGATCACTCTCAGCCGTCGATTCAGATCTCTGAAACTGTGGATGGTACTCCGTAGCTACGGTGTGGCCAACCTCAGGAAATTCCTCCGCAGCCACATCAAAATGGCTAAGAACTTCGAAGGCCTGATCGGGATGGACAAGCGTTTCGAGGTTGTGGTCCCCAGAAACTTCGCCACCGTATGCTTTCGTATATCGCCCGTGGAGTTCAGCGGGAACCATCCGATCGTATCGAAGGAAGACGCGGCGAATAACTTCAACGCAAAATTGCTGGAAACAATAAACGAATCGGGTAAGATTTACATGACACACGCGATCATAGGTGGAGAGTACGTGATGAGATTCGCAGTCGGGGCAACCCTAACAGAAAACAGGCATGTTATTTTGGCCTGGAAAGTTGTTCAAGAACATGCCAATGCTCTGCTCACCAGTTCCTGATTAAAATTCAGAAGAGGCCAGGGAGAAATATCCACTGGAATTTTTGTTGCATGTTTTTAAGTGTTTGTGATATTATTACATTCAATTGTCCATTTTTATATATGTTTATTTAAATTTTATAGCATGTATAGATATATGATGATCTTCCTATGTATTAATAATATTTCCAATCAAGGAGAATTAAATAAATGAATATTTCACCTCTTCATGAAAATGCACTTTATATTGGTATATACATTCATAATATATATTCATAAGTTATGGTTGACCTTTTTTCTTCCAAATGTTTAGGGTGTTTGAATGTATTGTCCCATTTTAATGAGGTTCAATTCCTATGTGGAATGAAGAATACAAATTACTCTTTAATTAACAATTGCATGTTGATCGAGTCAAATTTGTTTGATAAATTTTATTATATGTTAGAGAGTTAATTAATATTTAGCTCAACGTTTCAGAGTAAATTATATTGCACGGATCGGACCCTCTCATGAAATCAAATATATATATATCCCTTTTTACGCCTCAAATCATGAACTCCACACACTGAAAAAGGTGTTGATTTTTAATAACGACATAAGATTTTGTGATTGAGGCCCGACATTTCAAATACGGACATCCATAATTTGTGAGTATTCGAATAATTGAACGAGCATCGTCATGTTCGATAGCACATGATCCGAGTCATTTTTTTCGTTTTTGTCTGAGTTCGAGTCAGCCACCACCTAATAGTCAAACTGTTGAATGTTAGATCTAGACGCATCGAAATTTAGATGTTAAACCTGATTATTAATTTTGTATACTTGTTAGGAGTAGATTTGTGGAATTCTTTTTAGGGTAAAGTACAGTTTACACCACTGAACTATGGAGTTGTACCAGCTTGCTCCCTTGAGCTACAAACGTCTCAAATACCCCCTTTATTTAAATTTTGTTTGTAAATGCTAATGTGGCACTTTGACTTTATGATTTCTAGCCATTTTTTCCACATTTGGAAAATTTATTTGAGACGTTTTGTAGTTGGGGGACAAACTCGTACAACCCCTATAGTTTAGGAGTGTAAACTGTACTTTGCGCTTCTTTTTATTTTATTGGCGCAAAGAATTCGGTAGACATGGGCTTGAATCAAGTTATTGTATAAATAATGCCCAAGTTAACATTTCAAAATAAAGCCCAATAAATAAAAAGGCTTGAGTCCAACCACAGTTCCATTATTGTACGAAAATAGCCCAATACTGGCCGACTAAAGTAATATGAGTCGGCTGTTCGAATACCAAAATTTCCCTAGTCTCTGACGATTTAAAGGAAATGACATTTTTACCCTCAGTGAAACAAAAAGACCTCAAACACATTTTCTTTGTGCAAGACATATTATATATATCTTGTTTTCTTATAACACATTATATTTCTCAATAAAATTATTGAAATTATTTACCATGGGTAAGGTATTGAAACAAAATTTTCTAGTTTAGATCCAAATACTCTCGATATCCCAACAATAATTTCCATGTATAAATTTTACAAAAATCCAATTTCCATTTAGATAACAATAATGGTAGAGAGAGATGAAGCAATAATGAAGAGAAGTGAATAAAAATATAAAAAAAATAGTAATAATGAAGCTGACATCATATTTTCTCGGGACTTAGCACAGAGATTATTTTACAGATGAAGGGATCATATAAAAAAAGTGGGGCCCACGAGAGATAGTGGCTGAGATTAGCTCAGCCCGTTTCTCAGAAGCAGGAAAACTACTGGGGACCACACACCTCTCAACCACATATTCCATTTTCTCCTTAAAACAATTAATTAATTTGCCCTTCGTCACTTGGGTTTTGATTCCCTGCGATGCTGGTGTACCTACACCCTCCCCGCTTGCCTCTTTTTTACCAATTGACAACCGACGCGCTTGTTCCCCTATATTCCAATTGGATATTCCCTGCCTTAGTGTGGAGTGCATATTCCTTTTGTGAAGCACCTTTCTTTTTTTTCTTTTTTCTTTTTCCTTTTTTATTTTATTTATTTGTTTGGTGCACCTAAATAATGATTTGACATAATTATGTATGTATTAAGGTAACTTAATCACATAATTATACACATGCAATAAGTTAAATTCAAAGATACATAAAAATGCACCGGTTGTCCTATTGGATTTGGATTTGTGTTCTCAATTATTACAAAATAAATAAATAAAATATCGTGATGAAGTGTTTTCATTATACTTTTTATAAACACTTTTGTACGAGTTTCCGTACAAGTTGTATGATTTGGTGTTAATATTTTTTTATTACATTATTGTAGTCAATGCCATAAAACATTACCATGATTTCCATTGGCTCTGTTCTGCTGAAATACTATGTTAGTAGTTTTGTGATTGCATTTTATTGTAATTTAGAAAAATGAATTTTTACTTTGTAATGATTTGGGAAAATCAAAAAATAAAATATTGTGAATAAGCATTCACATAGGTCAAAGCATTTACTGTATTTTCAACCTAATTTGATTATTTTTTATATTAGTCAAATCCTAAGTTGATTATTCTGAAATCTTCTAAAAGCTCGTTTTGTTTGTCAAAATAAAATTAGTAAAAAAAAAAAAACAATTTAATGAAAACTGAATCAAGGCCTAAATGAATTATTGAGTTTATTGATTTTTGAGCAAATTTCTTCAATTTTGTCAAATCACTATTACCCATATTAAATTGAACTGAATTTTGATATATGACGGAGTAATTAATATAGATTTATGGATTATTTTATTACTCAAATTAGAGCAGCTAAAAAAGGGTAAAAAGACCAAAAAACAACGTGGCAGTCAAAGTACAGACGGTGGTAAAAATGGAAATTCCAACTTCCGTTGCAAAATTCAGAGTCGTCCCTTTTCTCTATTGACAGATACGGACAACAATTTCCATTCTGCATCCCACCGCAGGGAATGACATCTCCAGCAGCTATATACGTCTAGAGAGAGAAACTAACGGAGAGAGAGAATTCAGAAAATTATTCGCAGTTTGGCGAAATCCGTGAATTCGTCTTCCTTCTAACCCTGGTAAATTTCTCAATCTACCAAACCCTAAATATCAGTTTTTTTTTTAATCATACAGTTCGAAATCCTGTACGAAATTCGTCAATTCGTTTTATCCTTTTGTTAATTTTAAATTTTCATAACATTAAAAAAAAAGTCGCCATCTTTGATATGCGGTTCGAATTTTGTCGAAGGATTGATTGCATTAGTGGAAAATTAGGTGCTAATTTTGAGTTGAATTTCCTCTCCTTTTTATTGTTTAAGCGGAAAATTTATGTGCTAAATTTTGCGGATTTAATGTTATTGAAATTATGAACTGATAATCTATTGGAGATTCTTCAGTATTACCTATGTGTTTGTATTGAGCTTTTTGTTCTGTTTATATTATATGCTGTTTTGGGTATAAAATTTATTTTCCAGGTCTTAAACGATTTACCGTTATTGATTAATTTCAGGTTTCTGTATTGCCCGGTTCTCGTGTACCAAATCGACATTATGACATCGTCGGTTCAGAGCCTCTCTGGTAAGTTCATTGAGGACTTACTGGTACATGAATTTATAAAAAAGCTGTCATTTTTCTCTGTTTCCAAATTGATGTATCAATATAAGAATTGACAGGTCACAGGCGAAATCGGATAAATCGGCGTGCATAACTTACTAAAACATGGTTTAATGGTTAATCAATTTTTATAGAACTTGCGGTTTTGTAGATGGGTGGAAATAGTTGAGTTAAATTCAATGTGATTGTTGTAACAAGGTTCTTTTATATACGGATCATGGTATGCTAATTTGCTCGAGTAGTGGAACACCTTCTAGGAAGATACAATTACAATAGCTCGGTGAGAAGTTTGTGTAATTGCAGATGTGCGGGAATTTTATTTGACAGGATTAGATCCACCAATTTCAACGCTTTATTAGTAGTTTTTGTTAAACTTAAGATACCATTCTAACAACAAAACAAGGTTAGATTCCATTTTATAAAATTTCTAGTGTTATTGTATAGTTTGGCAGTGAACTTGTTTTGACACTTTTTACATATTATCCCGTTTATTTGCATTTTGTATCCAATTTTACGTACTAGTATTAATAGCTTCCATGGTATGATGATTTTCAGAAAATAGTGAGGGCGATGAGCAACAAAATCACTCAGAATCTAATATCCAGCCTTCATCTCCGGCTAATGGGATGTCTCTTCCTGGTATTCCACCAACAATGCACTATGCTGCACCTGCTCAACTTGGAGTTGGAAATGTAATGGTATTGTATGGGCTGTAATAGTTTTCTTTTTATTTCTCGAGTCTACCTAGATATCTTGCTAGAATTAAAAGTATCGGTGTCTAATTTTGATTTGCAGAGTCCTCTGTTTCTAGCTTTTTTCTTCTGAGTAAATCTTGCTCTTTACTGATTCACTATGTTTTGCTGAAAATTTGGATGTTGCAGGGGCAAACAGCTTACCCATATCCAGATCCTTACTACAGAAGTATATTTGCTCCTTATGACACACAGCCTTATCCAGCACAACCTTATCCAGGCCAACCTATGGTACTTTTTTTTGTCAGATTCTTCTTCATCCTAGTGGAATATTCCTGGAGGTTTTACTTTTTTCAAATATTAATTCAGGTACACATGCAGTTGATGGGAATTCAGCAAGCTGGTGTTCCTTTGCCTTCAGAAGCAGTTGAGGAGCCTGTCTTTGTCAATGCAAAACAATATCACGGCATCTTACGCCGCCGACAATCTCGTGCTAAGGCTGAGATGGAAAATAAACTTGCCAAATCTCGAAAGGTAACTTGTTCATCTTCCCACATGATGTCGTCAAATGACGACTCAAATCCTCGTGCAATAAAGATCTCGTGTCTGTGTGGAAACCTAAGTCTAAGAATATCGTTCATATTTGAATAATTTTTGCAGCCTTACTTGCACGAATCGCGGCATTTGCATGCACTGAGAAGAAGTAGAGGAAATGGGGGTCGATTCCAAAAGAAGAATGATAACCAGAAAAAACAGACAGAATCAGGTGAAAGATCACACTCACAGGACAACATCAATCTAAACTCCGAAAACGAAGATCCTAAAAATGTACATCCTCAAGATATAGCCTGAAATGCAAGTGGATCATATATGGGAACAAGTCGACATATGGTCAGTGGTTATAGATCAGAGCACCACCCAATAGGGCTTTAAATTATTAGTTTGTATGTATATTATTATAAAGTTATAGGTTTTTGGTAGATTTCAGCAGATTGTGAATTTCGGAATTGGAGTACTAGTTTATACTATCAGGCGATGATGTAACTTAAGCTTGGTTTCTCATCATGGTTGATTTATTTATTTTTTCCTCCTTTTAATAGCAAATTAGCAATTGAATTTATCGAGTTTTAGGTATCTAGCATAGAATCGGGGGGCTAAGAATATATTTGTAATCAGCACAACCACGGCTAAGAGCTTACTACAACCATTTGAGAGCAAGAAATGATCTACCCTGATTTTTTTGTTGTTCAAGAAATTTGAATGCAACCCTTCAAACTTTTTGAAGAAGAATAACAAAATCGAACCCAACTATATGGGGTTTGCGAAATTTAAGAGGTTTGAAGGAATCTACGGTGCAAACCTACAAGAATCGAATTTTAGTTGATGCAGCTGTTTTGAGGAAGAAGAGATTTGATCATCCCAGTTGAATCCAATGAAGCAAACAAGCATTGCGATCTGTCCTTGAAGAGTTGCCAATGAAAACCAAACACTTCAACACATCTACAATAGTATCTTAAACAGTAACAAATAATTCAGATAATCCTTTCTAATCAATCCGATGAGCAAAACCAAAAGAATTCGTTCAGACAAGCATTGCAAGGCCTTGCTTCTTGGGAGGTACAGCGGCCTTGTTTCCTGGAAAGGCGGTACGAGATACGTCTACAAGGGCCTTGAAGCTGTATGGCTCGTGCATTGATATCTCTGATAGAACCTTCCTGTTCAGCTGGATATTTTCCTTCGTCAGTCCATGTATGAAGTTTCCATAGTTCACCTGTCGTGCAAATGACGAGTGAAGAAAAAGTTACATCATAACACATCTTCAGCAAACACAAACCAAAACAATTAACCTGAAATTTACGACATTGCCGAATACTCATTTGAGGATCAATAGCAAAAGAGTTTGGTAACTTTAACTTTCTATTACTACAACTACTGGTTGTAAGAAACAACGTCGAGCAATAACAATAACAAAAACAACAGCCTTTGCCTGCCCATTAACCTTTTTTTTTTCTCTCGTTAAATAAACCTCTCTTGTTCTTTTCCATGACACATACTATATCTCATCTAAATGAACCTACTTGCTGTAAGTTCACATTTGGACTTTAACCTTCGGGACATTCGGACTGAATCCCGATTTGGCATTTAATTAATTATCCTATTTAATTATGCCGCGTCCATTTAATCTCATCTTTGTCGCACGTTAATTGTCACCAAACGCTAACCCTACAGCTCTGTGAAAGCTTATAACTGTGTTGCCAGTGATGATATTTACAGGACTCAGTTTACTTTTATTTCACAAACCACACACTCATAAATCACACCAAAATGCAGTGTGACACACTGTATGCGAAATTAATTACAGCAAACAGTATTTTAACATAAATTCCTTCAGACCCATACCAATTACCAAACAACAACTCATAATAAATCCCTGGACCAGTAAGAAGAAACAGCAGCTATTCGAAAATTGATAGGAAAAGAAAGGGAAGAAAAACAAACGGACCCCGTACTGACGAGTGCCGGCGTTGATACGCATGATCCAAAGGGAACGCATATCACGCTTCTTATTGCGGCGATCTCTGTATGAATACTGTAGCGCCTTCTCCACTCTCTCCCTCGCTATCCTTATGCAATTCTTCGCTCTCCCTCGAAAACCCTTCGCCAATTCGAATACCTTCTTCTTGTTCATCGATTCTGCTTTCTTCTTTCTCCTAGGTTCCTGGGTTTTGGGTTTGTATAATTTAGGGGAAATGTGCTCTTTTTAAGGGTTTTAGCTCTCTCTCTGAACTGTGCATCTGTTTTGTGTTACATTACACGTTTGGCCCCCAAAGTATATGCATATTTCACTTTGACCCCGAAATTCTTTAGCTATCCTCAATTTGGGAAGTGGGCTCTACCCAACGAGCCCATCAGGATTAGGCCTAATTTTTGTAATTCCCCCATCAGTGGACTTGGCCCAAGAGTGGTGAAATGGATGCAAGAAGAGTCCACGTGGCCTTCAGGCGTTGACCAACGTGGCAAAGATATAAGAATGTCTTATTCGAACAAACATGATATGCCAATTATCTCCCAATCAACATTAATCAAGGATAGGCTGCTTACTCAATTTTCAACCAAACCACTATTACTTCACTTTTGTTCTTTTGTATATTATCCAAATTCCAAAGTTTTCTTCCCTTAAATCATTTCCAATTTGTCTCAATTATTTTCGGGTTTTGTCTCTTTGAAACAATTCGAGTAGTCTGAGTATGTTAATATATACAATTAGAGGAAAGAAAGAGTGTACAAGAGGATAACCAATGTCACAAAAGCAAGAAATATAAATACAATTAGCAAGAATAAACCATAAAGATCATAAAGCTAAATTGCGAGTGGCAAAATTTGCGTTACTTTTTTTAACTACTTCATTAAGTATAACTATTATCCCTCTATCTATTCGTCCGTTTTCTCAATAAATGTATCCCGAAGTGCACCATAAATTAAATAATAAATTAAAGATAAAATAGTGGTTATAATAAAGTTGAGATATAAGGCTTTGTTGTTCGAATAACATTCACAATCTTTGTTATCACTCATAAATATATAATTAATGGACTTTGTATTTATTATACCATGATTTTGTGCTATTTATATTATATGTATAGTTTGTTTGTGGCATGTTAATCATCAACACAACATATTTTGAGTGATTCTCTCTCTCGATCGAGAGAGAGAGAGAGAGAGAGATGTAAAATGGAAGCAAAGGCGTTAGAAATTTAAGAGAGAGAGAGAGAGAGAAGTGCATGTGTGGGGCTTGAACGAGGCTCGACTGATAATGGATATACAGAGATATAGAGACACACTTTTGGTGCATGAGAAAAGTGGGGCCGGGCCACGCACTTTTAAGGTGAAATGGGGAAGAAGGAAGGCTGGAAAAAAAAATTATAGTTTCACTTTTATTTAATTTTGCAAAATCACGCAACCGGATTTATGTATAATGTATGTGGGGAACATCTCCAAGTGGACCTGCCCCATTCCTGGGCCATTCAACCCAGTCCCACTCTCCAATCAACTTCTTTTTTTTTTTCATAAAACAGATATATATTCAAAACAAAACAAGTCATCATTCAGCTCCATGGATCCAATTACACATGGACACGGGGCAGGTCGGGCTGAGTCCGGGTCCGAGTTTGAGGGGACTCGAAACCAGACCCCCAAAATTTCCAATTTTTTTTGTATGATTTAGAAATAAAATATATTTTGTTTTACGAAACTAAATTCGAATGGAGTAAGGTAAATAGTGTTTTTTTCTTTTCTATTGAAATAATTTCTCAAATTATCTTCTTAAACCCAAACTCCCTCTAAAAATAACACACACACACAATCACACACTTTAGGGAGCTACCTACTATGTGCTTTGGATACTTTGAAAAAATATGAAACCCTTTATACCAAATGTCAACCTAGTGAAAGAAATATTTTTTAAAAAGTCAATTGCTTTTCTCCCCTCTTGGATTCTTTTGAGTGAAGGCAAACATACATATACATATATGTTGGTGGGAAACACTTTCAAGTGTTACAAAAATTTATGGTGGTTGGTGGTTGATTTTAACCATTAATAAACTAGTAACAAAAATTAGCTACATATGTATCCTTTTTTACTACTCTTTTTATTAAAGTGCTAATTAAGCTTTAATTAGAGAACATCCTAATAATTAATAAGTAAGTGTAAGCTTCAAGCCCTACTTATTAGATTAATATATCTTAGGTTTCTCTTATCCATTGACATTTTATATACAATAATACATTTAGATAAAAACGTGACAATGATCTCATGATTATGGAAGCATGCTCTTATATTTAGTGCAAAATAATTACAACAATTAATTAAAACAATTAATTAATTATTAAATAAAAAAAAACAGTTATATACTACTATGTCTGAGGCTTGGTGTCAGCAAACCCCCGGTCAAACCATGTGGGCTTGTCACTGTCTGGCCCATGTTCAAATCCGGTTCTTAGCAAACCGGGTGGGTATCCGGTTCAACCACATGAAGAGATCAAATATATTTTGTATCATCCTCTGTTTTTTGCAATCAATTTGACACAGTAATATGTCTGCGTACAGAGACATAAGCAAACTGATGCAAGTTAAGTCTGTAGTACTAATTTGCCCTGTCCCCATGCCTTCCATGCATGTCAATGCATGTATGTATGTACATCATCCACATCCACATGCATTCATCAATATATATATATATATATAAATATATATATTTTAATTTTGAATTAATTAATTCCCTAGAGGAAGCTAGGGAATTAGGGTAAAAATGGGGACTGGGAATCTGCTACCAATAAAGGTAGACCCTCTGCCTTCCATTTACTATCTTCAATCTTTTCACTGTTTTTTGTTTCTTTAATATTTCCTCCTTTGTATATATAAGCTTTTCTTGCCGATTTCTTTTTCTATTTAATGTATACCCACACTCTTTAATAATTAAATACTGGTAATTTAAAAATAAATGATTATTATGCCAGTAGTATTGAACGTGGGTCGATGGTTTTTCAATTTTCACATATCAACTTTTAAAATTACCTAAAAAAGAAGTCTTGATTTTCCTTAACAAATTCAAACTCACTTCTGTCAGAAACAAATTTTTATTTGCCGAAGCCTCTTCATGAATTCTGATATCATATTAATGGTGAACTGCGCGTAGAGAATTGGTTCTCTCTCTCTCTCTCTCTCTCTTTCTCTCTCTAGAGCTATTTCACCGTTACCCCTTCCTTTCTCTGTCTTCTTTGTGTGGGTTGGTTAATTCTCTCTCTCTCTCTCTCTCTCTCTCTCTCTCTCTCTCTCTCTCTCTCTTACTTTCTCTCTCTAGATTTCACTTTCTCTGCAAATTCTCGAGATTAGCGTCTTGAGATAAAAACCAGGAGGGGGACCTCTGTTCCAACACCATTCCATTTTCTTTCGCATAATCACTCCAAGGAAGGAAAAGAAAAAAAAAACAATCTTGATGAGTGAGAGAGGAGGCTCTCAGTGAGAGCCTGCCTGTTCATCATGCAACCACCAAAAACCCACCATTTTCTTTCCCACAAACAACCTCAACCCACGATTTAGTCTTCTGGGATTTGTTCCTTTTTTATTACAGTGTGGGTTTGTCTGAATGGCCCATTCTACATACAGAGAGAGTAACAGCAAATATCAACAACAAATGGACCCTAGCAAATATGTGAGATACACACAAGAGCAGGTGGAAGCTCTTGAGAGGGTCTACGCAGAATGCCCAAAGCCTAGTTCTCTAAGGAGACAACAGCTCATTCGAGACTGCCCTATTCTTTCCAACATCGAGCCTAAACAAATCAAAGTCTGGTTTCAGAACCGCAGGTATATTTATTTATATATATATATATATATATATATATATATATATATATATATATATATATATATATATATATATATATATATACATTTCTGTTCCGACAATTTATTAGGATATCCAATTTTGAATGAAAAAAATTTGTTGTTTCTTCAGATGCCGCGAAAAACAGAGGAAAGAATCGTGTCGTCTGCAGACAGTTAACAGGAAGTTGAACGCCATGAATAAGCTGCTTATGGAAGAGAACGACCGCCTCCAGAAGCAAGTCTCCCAGTTGGTTTACGAAAACGGTTTCATGCGCACGCAGCTCCACACTGTGAGTGTGTGTGTGTAATTTTCTTGTTTTTTTTTTTATAATTAAAGTTCGGTTATGAATCAAGATTCGTTCTTTATTATTTTCTAAAAACAGGTAAGCACAACGACCACAGATACGAGCTGTGACTCTGTGGTTATGAGTGGTCAACAGCAACATCAACAACAACAACAAAACCCCACATCTCTTCATCCATTGAGAGATGATCATAGCCCAGCTGGGTAATTATTATTCTTTTTTTTTTTTTTAAATCTATTTATTTTTGGTTTTTTTTTTAATTTAATACAATTTTTAATTTTTTTGATGTTATAGTCTTCTTGCAATAGCTGAGGAGACCCTGGCAGAGTTCCTTGGTAAGGCTACTGGAACTGCTGTCGACTGGGTCCAGATGATTGGGATGAAGGTTGCTTTTTTATTTTTGTTTTATTTTATTTATTATTTTTCTTATCAACTTTTTAGATTTTAATTTATTGTTTTGCAATAATATGTTTAGCCTGGTCCGGATTCTATTGGCATCGTTGCTGTTTCCCGCAACTGTAGTGGCGTAGCAGCACGAGCCTGCGGCCTCGTGAGTCTTGAACCCACTAAGGTAATAATTAAAAAAAATAAAAATCCAACAATTTTTCTGTATTCATTATATTATTTGATCTAAAATTAAATAAATAAAATCGGTAGTTTAGTTTTCTTCGACGTGTTCTTTTTGTAGGTCGCTGAAATTCTGAAAGATCGCATTTCGTGGTTTCGTGACTGCCGTTCGCTTGATGTAGTGAGTGCAATTCCCGCTGGAAACGGAGGAACAATAGAGCTTGTTTACATGCAGGTCGTTTTTTTTGTAATAATCTAAATATTACTATAGTGTAAGAAAATACCCTGCATTGCGTAACGTAGATTTGTAACTCGTTTCCTTATAGATATATGCGCCCACAACATTGGCATCGGCCCGCGATTTCTGGACATTGAGATACACTACGAATTTAGACGATGGCAGTCTAATGGTCAAACCAATCTTAATCACGTTATTAAATCTTTTACTTTGCTATGTATTCTCTTTTTATTGTGAGATGAATGATTTTTACAGATCTGCGAGAGATCATTGGCATCTTCGACAGGTGGGCCCACCGCACCACCCGCCTCTTGCTTTGTCAGAACCGAAATGCTTCCCAGCGGATATCTTATACGCCCTTGTGAGGGCGGCGGATCGATTATCCACATTGTCGATCACATTGACTTTGATGTAAGAACTCATCGAACAATGTTTTCAGCTGTTCATTTTTTTCGTCTTTTTCTCGTATTACTTAAATTAAATTTATCACGTCACAGTCTTGCAGTGTACCTGAAGTTTTAAGGCCTCTTTACGAATCTTCCAAAATCCTTGCTCAGAAGATGACTATGGCTGTGAGAATTTCTGATTATTTTTATTTTTATTTTTATTTTGCAATGGTCTTCTTTCTCGTTTATCGCTTTAGCGAATGGATATTCTGTATGTATAGGCTTTGCGCCACATAAGACAAATTGCTCAAGAAACAAATGGAGAGATACAGTACAGCGGCGGTCGTCAGCCTGCTGTTCTCAGATCATTAAGTCAAAGGCTGTGCAGGTCAGCAAAAATTAGCATCAAATAATTCTTACTTAAATTTTACTTAAAACGAAAATATTTAATTTACTTTTTACGAAATTACTGTTTAGGGGTTTTAATGATGCTGTCAATGGATTCGTCGACGATGGTTGGTCAATAATGGGAAGTGATGGTGTTGAAGATGTAACCATTGCTGTAAACTCATCTCCAAGCAAATTTACCGGCTCTCAATATAACAATTTGTCTATGCTCTCGACTTATGGAGGAGTCCTCTGCGCACGAGCATCAATGCTTCTCCAGGTATAATTTTTTTTAATCATTTTAATTAAATACAAACGTATCAGTAGTTGCTAAAGATTAAAAATGATTTAACTATATTCAGAATGTACCGCCTGCCTTGCTTGTTCGTTTCTTGAGAGAGCATCGTTCGGAGTGGGCCGATTATGGAGTTGATGTGTACTGTGCTGATTCGCTTAAAGCTAGTCCTTACGCAGTTCCGTGCGCAAAAACCGGTGGTTTTCCTAGTAGTCAAGTCATTTTACCTTTGGCGCAGACAGTTGAAAACGAGGAGGTAAAAATAAAGCTATATTTGTTACTATTATTACAACCTTATCCGTGTTTCAAAAATAAAAAAAAAAGTTTTTTGATGCAGTCATTGGAGGTGGTTCGTTTGGAGGGTCATGCATTTTCCCCGGAGGACATTGCTCTGTCGAGAGATATGTACTTACTGCAGGTTTGACCATTAAAAATCGTATTTTTAGTTAGTTTTCTATTTATTTCTGTAAAAATGTTTTTGTCTAATTACTTTGATATAAAAAAAATGCAGTTATGCAGTGGGATCGACGAAACTACGTCTGGTGCCACCTGTGCTCAGCTCGTTTTTGCACCGATCGATGAATCTTTCGGTGATGATGCTCCTTTGCTGCCATCTGGCTTCCGTGTTATACCCCTCGAACCTAAATCAGTTCGATCACATTTCTTGCTCCGTGGAACATTACTTAAATATGAAAATTAAAAAAAAAAAAAAAAGGTCAATATCAGATACTAATTAAGATTTGGATTTTGTGTAGGATGGGGGCCCCACAGCGAACCGAACGTTGGACTTGGCTTCGGCTCTTGAAGTGGGCCATGGCGGAGCTCGTTCCAGTGGTGAAGCTGATGTGGCAAATCAAAATGTTAGGTCTGTGTTGACAATTGCTTTTCAGTTCACTTTCGAGAATCACTATCGAGACAGTGTGGTTGCTATGGCCCGCCAGTATGTAAGAAGCATTGTGGGGTCCGTTCAACGAGTTGCCATGGCTATCTCCCCTTCTCCACTTCACTCTTCCCATTTAGTGCCAAAATCTCTTCCCGGTTCGCCCGAGGCAGTTACTCTAGCACGTTGGATTTGCAGGAGCTTTAGGTATATATATGTGTATATATATATTTATTTACTTTGGAGAAAATAAGTTATTGTTTAGTGTAGTAAATCTGTGTTGGTATGTTACAGTGTACACACTGGTGGCGAGCTTCTTCAGCCCGATTCGCCAGCTGGGGATGCTGTTTTGAAACAACTTTGGCACCACACCGATGCTATTATGTGCTGCTCTGTTAAAATGAATGTGCGTTTCGTTTTTTTTTTTTTTTTTTTTTTTTATAATTGAACTTGTTTATATATGATTATATATAAACGGCGTTTTAATATTGATTTTGCAGGCATCGGCAGTTTTTACGTTTGCAAACCAGGCAGGGCTCGATATGCTGGAGACAACTCTGGTGGCATTGCAGGATATAATGCTCGAGAAAATACTCGATGAAGCCGGTCGAAAGATTCTCCTTTCCGAATTCTCCAAGATCATGCACCAGGTTTGTAATTAGTAATTAATTATTCCTCGAATAAATTTAAGGTTTCGGTAATCCTTTTAAGGAAATAAGTTTGTTTAACTATGCCGTCAATTTTTGCGCAGGGTTTCGCCTATTTGCCTGCTGGAGTGTGTGTTTCGAGTATGGGTCGACCCGTTTCTTATGATCAAGCGATTGCATGGAAAGTTCTGAACGACGAGGATTCGAATCATTGCCTAGCTTTCATGTTCATGAACTGGTCTTTTGTGTAGTTAATAAATAGATTAATTAATCCTTGTCTATGCAGTGTACTAAATATATATATAGCTGCAGCAGCTTAAGTTATTTTGTATCTTTATTTTGACAAGAAAAAACACTTATCTGTATGACGTATTGATCAAGTGAGGGTTATTTTGGTCATTTGAAGTAGTAGTCATCAGATTTTTAATGTTTATAATATGGTAAACCACTATAATTATGAAGTGGCCTGAAAATTGATATAATGTACCATTGTACTATGTTATTATTGTTATTATTATTATTATATGTGTGGTAAATTTGGAGAGGATTATTTAATTTTTGAAAGAAACAGGTAAAGAAGATTTAATGGTTGTGAGTGAAGGTCAAAGGGGTGGGACCAGTAATCAGTAAAGGTCAAATGGTCATCTGTGCTTACTGTGTGTCTGTGTGAACCGGCCAAACACGCCCTAAACAGAATTTCTCTACACTGCATTTCACCCCATGGTCCCCTACTGTACGCCACCACCCATCACTTTTCCCACGTGGAAATCTGTGAAATTAATTTATGTTACACATACAAATTCACAAGTATGTATAATCAATAGTGTATGCTAATTTTTTTTTTCAAAGAAAAAATCAGAAATATTTAATGAAAATTATTCAAAAATTACAGCATTGCAAGAAAGTAATTAAGAATGAGGAAATGAAATAACCGAAAATAGGGTTTTCTAGTATTCCAAAAAAGCCCATGAGTTTTGTCTGTATGGTTAATTAACAAACCTGCCCCTCTCACGTCAATCAACGTCTTTTCAATATCAATCTTAATTAATGACTCACGCTTTTTGCATAATGATTAAATTAATATTAAAAATTGAATTATCCTATTTTTCCTGAATCTGATGTATTGCATGCATGAATTTATGCATGCCCATGCTATGTCCTATCATGTGTTTCACATGGGCATTCAACATGCCATGCTCATAAAACGACGTCGTTTGGATGGGCTGGCGGTTGTAGCCTGTAGACATGATATTGTAGCATCTTGGGGATTTATTTGTAGGCTTTACTATTACTGCATTTGATCAGACAAATTGTCAGTGCTAATTGTTTATTATGAAATTAAAAGAGTAATCAAAAAAATGTTTTAATTAGCATTTCATTTAAATATTCAATTTCTTTTTTGAAAATTTAATTTAAAACAGCGTTACATTAATTTTTAATTTTTTTCATTAAGAAAGACATATATAGAAATAAATAATGTTTATTCCGCGTGTGAAAAAGTTAAAAACTTTTTTGGCAAAATGGCTTTTTTAGTTGAAGAAGAAATGGGTACACAGACGCGCGTGCTATTGAAACCTCCCTTCATTAAAGTTTTGCTTACAAAATTGGGTTTTTCAATGCAATAAAGATTAAAGACCCCACCTGCCACTGCCACCTCCAATTTTATTTTATTTTTTCCAACTTTAAATTTTTATTATTTATTTTTTGACAATTAATTTTGTTTATATTTAAATCAGGGAGAAAATATTAATCATGATTTTATTTTTACAAACCAAACATAAAAGTTAATTTAGCTTTACGTTTGTAGGTGGTCATAAATTGCAGAAAAAAAACAATCATCATTTTGCTTTACTGGATTGGGTTGATTTTGTGGACAGAAAAAAATATAGACATGGTTTTGTGAATAGACCAATTTCTTGGTAGTTACAATACTAGGTAATTACTAGGGTTCATCATTGAACTGAATCGTCTTCATTAATTTATTTTGACAATTGCTTTTGTTTTCAGAATCTTTCTGAGTCCCACAATTTTAAATGGAAAAATTCTATAGTGGAATTAGATTTTTATATATCAGCCCAAACCTAAAAAACAGCCCAATTGAAAAATTACTCAGAAAACCCCAATAGATTATTTAGCCCAAACCAAGGTCCAATTTTTCTCTGCAAAACTCAAATAACCAGTAGCTGATAAAACTCAAGTAAAAATGGCGGATCAGGTGAGAGAGCCGATAAGATCAGCATCCGAGGAGATTACGACAGAGTTTCAAACCCTAGTAGATTCTCAGGATTTGGATTCTATCAAGCAATCACAGAACCTCATGTACGTATCTATAGATCAATCGTATGTAATTTTTTGTGTGTGTAATTGTGTAATTAGCCCTGTAGTTATAATCATAAAATTGCAGATTGGGAAGATTGCAGGATAGTAATGCAGTATTATCCCACTTTAATGATTATTCAGAGAATTGCTTTGCGGATGTGTCTGCTGATTTTTCGAAAAATACACGCCTCTTGCGAACAATGAAATCTGACCTTGATTACATCTTTCAAAAGCTCAGGTTTGCAAATTTCTCCCTTTTGCCCTTTTCATCATTATAATTACGACATGAAAATTATTGTTTTTTTCTTTTCTTTTTTTAATGTTTAATTGTCGTAAATTGTTATTCTATTGATTTCTCTCAAGTCTAGGTATTCTAGGTTGTGTTTGACTCTGAACATTCATAATTCCCAGAACTTGCATATGATACAATCAATTTGGTTCTATTCGATTACAATAGAATGTTTAATTAAGATATTTTTTTTTTTTAAATTTCTTTAAGGAATACCTTAATGTTTGTCTTGTGTTAATTGTTAATTTGATACTCGGTTAGGTCAAGATTATGTCGAACTTGAATTTCTGGTATCATCGAACACTACTTGTGCAAAATACGTTAATGAGTTTAACATCTTCACTAATAGGATATAAATGGTTATATATTAATTAACTTTTTGTCAACCTATATACTTTTCCTCCTCGTCGTTAAGAAGGAAAGAAGATTGCTTAATCCACTTAACCTTACTTTTGGTTGTGCAAGAAACTTTTTGCTTCCGGTTCAAGTGTTATTATAGTTATAAATTATTACAGTTGAGGATTAAGCATAGAGATTTATCATTTATGGATTTCGGATCGTTAGTATGTCACCCAAGATTTTGTATTCAATTTTAGGAGTATGAAGGGAAAGATTGTGGCGACGTATCCGGATGCTTTTCCTGATAATTTAACAATTGAGGCACTCGAACAAAGACCAGACCTCGAGTTGGCCAAGTGATTGTACGTGTTTAAACTTTTGTGTATTATAACATGGCTCTCTGTTTGCAAGCAACTATGTGATTTTGAATGTGTGCAATATAAAGGTTGGGATTTGGTAGTTGTAAATTCAACCATTGAACTGGATGTGAATGAATTAAGATTTGAACATTGTAAATCGAAACCAGAGTGACAACATTTTTTCTTCTGAATCGGATGTTGTTTGGTTGTGAATTGTCATAAGGTATGTGGGAATCGACGTAGGTGATGGAGCAAATCAAACTCCTTTTTATATTTTACCTCAACAAATTTTACCAAAAAATATCCAAATTGAATTAAGAAATGAAAGGAAAAGGAAAAATAAATAATAAAAATAACAGTTTGAACGATGCTGGACTTTGGACTTATCTTAGCAGTACAATCCACTGGAACTTTTACAATAAGCCCATAAACCAGAATAGCCCGTAAATTGATTTTTTCTTTTTTTAAATATCCAAATCCTAAAATGAACCTAAATACCTCTGAGATCCACTTCTCTAATGTATATAAATTCACACTATCGTGGTTCAATCACTTACTTCATCCTCCTCCGCGTCACTCATCTGTATTTCCCGTTCTACAACCTTCCGCCGCCGCATCTATGGTAAAATATTTTCAATTGATTTTATTTATGTGCAGTGAATGAAAAAAATGAAGTACCGATGAGGAAGAATTCCCAAGTATAGGAAGTGCCGTATGACACTTTTAAAACGCAGCTTTACGCCGTCGTCAATCCTTCCCATCCACCGCTGCCAATTTTTTGTCTATGTGACTAATTTTGCGCATCGGTCGGGATTCTGTGGTTGCCGGCGGCGGCTGTGTGTGTGATTTGTAACGGGTTTCTGAGGTTTTATTATTTTTTTCCTTTTTATTTATTTATTTCTACAATCAGTTAGATCTCGGCCGTTTTCTTCGTTTGTGGTTTGATGCCACGTCGCCGGTAGCAATTTGCTTGCAGTGGCCGGCGGTGTTCAGATTGAACCTAAATTAATTTCATGTTTCGCATATTGATAGGAATCTGTGATGATTTATATACATTCATACACAGAGCCGTTTTTTGCGATTACATTTTTTCAAAAAAAAAAAATAGTTCTTCGTTAGATCATTTGGCCGATGACGATTATTTTATTATAAATATGGAATTACCGTCTGAACAAATCATTGATGTGATCAATTATCTGAGGCCTCTTTGTAAATAAATCAAAGTACTATTTTTGAATTGTACAAATTTTTATTTAATTAATTATGAGCTTGAGTGTATTTTGTAGTATAAGAAAATTAAAATGCATATATGTTGGTGGTTTAATGCCACGTTGCCGGTAGCAATATAATTGCCATGGCCGGCGGTGTTCAGATTGAACCTAAATGAATTTCATGTTTCGCATATTGATAGGAACCTGTGATGATATATAACCATTCGTACACAGAGCCGTTTTTTGGTAATGATGTGAACGATTGTCTGATGCCTCATAATACGAAATTAACCCCTTCAAAACTACAAATTGCACATTTACACTTCAAGTTTAGATATTAAATATTATTTGAAATGTTGGCACTCTCTTAATTCTTATTTATTCAAGAAGAAAATGGTGTTACTTATTGATCCAAAACTAAAGTGATGGATGTATTGTTGAATTGTTTTCAGATTGAAGAATGTGTTGCTTTTATTTATGATGTTAATATTTCAGTAAAAATGGAGGATCAGGTGAGAGAGCCGATAGGATCAGCATCCGAAGAAATTTCGACAGAATTTCAAACCCTAGTAGATTCTCAGGATTTGGATTCTATCACGCAATCACAGAACCTCATGTACGTATCTATATATCAATCGAATCTAAAAAGTAAATAAATTGTGTAATTGCTTCTATTAGCGCCTGTAGTTATAATCATGAAATTGCAGATTGGGAAGATTGCAGGATAGTAATGCAGTATTATCCCACTTTAATGACTATTCAGAGAATTGCTTTGCGGATGTGTCTGCGGATTTTTCGAAAAATACACGCCTCTTGCGAACAATGAAATCTGACCTTGATTACATCTTTCAAAAGCTCAGGTAATCGAATTTCTCCCTTTTGCCCCTTTCATCGTTATAATTAAGATAGGAAAATTATTTTATAATTTTTACTTTTTTATGTTTAATTGTTGGACATTGTTAAGTTCTTGTAAATGTATTAGTTATTCTATTGATTTCTCTCAAGTCTAGTTATTCTAGGTTGTGTTTGACTCTGAACATTCATAATTCCCTGAATTTGCATATGATACAATCAATTTGGTTCCATTCGATTACTATAGAATGTTTTTTTAAGATATTTTTTTGCAAATTTCTTTAAGGAATTCCTTAATGTTTGTCTTGATTTAATTGATAAATTGATACTAAGTTCCGTCAATATTATGTCGAATTTGAATTTCTAGTATCATGGAACATAACTTACTTGTGCAAAATATGTTATGAGTTTAAAATCTCCACTAATAGGATAATAATAGTTATATGTATTTACTTTTCAGCAACATTCATATTGTTGTGGCTGGCTGATAGAGATGGAGCTAGTCTGAAAGTTAATTAACATTTTGTCTACCTTTATACTTTTCCTCCTCTTTTTTAAGAAGGAAAAAAGAGTGCTTAATCCACTTAACCTTACTTTTGTTGTGCAAGAAACTTTTTGCTTCCAGGTCAAGTGTTATTACACTTATATATTATTACAGTTGAGGTTTAAGCATACAAATTTACGGATTTCGGATCGTTAGTATGTCATTAAGATTTTGTTTTTAATATGTAGGAGCATGAAGGGAAAGATTGTGGCCACCTATCCGGATGCTTTTCCTGATAATTCGGCAATTGAGGCACTTGATCAAAGACCGGACCTCGAGTTGGCCAAGTGATTGTACATGTTTAAACTTCTGTGTATTATAACAAGGCTCTATGTTTCAAGTTTGTCAAACTATTTTTATTACTTTAAGATGCAAGCAACTATTTTGTTTTGAATGTGTTCAATATAAGGGTGGGGATTTGGTAGTTGTAAATTCGACAATTGAACTGGCTGTGATTGAATCAAGATTTGACATTGTAACTCGAAACCAGAGTTACAATATTTTTGCTTTTGGATCGGATGTGGTTTGGTTGTGAATTGTGATAAAGTATGTGGGAATTGACATAGGTGATGGAGCAAAATTTGCACCCTCTCACGACCTCTTCCCAATCAAACTCCTTTGTTCGTCAAAGAGTACGTCAGGTGCCGGTATTTGGCCGACGAAGACGATCTAATCGATCGGAAAATATTTATGTTGATTGCACGATTATCGCCATAATGTATGTACTTTCCTTTTTTACTTCCGAAAAAGATCTTCACATATGTCTCCTTGGTCAGCTCGCCACCTACCTATTGTTGCTCCTCTTTTATGCAATTTGAAACGATATCATTTTGGCTCGACATCACTTTACCTCATTCTACTCTCAATTGCATCGATTTGCCCCATGCACTTGAAAAATTATCTCAATGTGGTCTCGCCGGTATTTTTCAGACCTTTGACCTTAACACCGTTTGATTTAATTCTGAAAATTACTAAAATATTACCCTCGTGTTTAAAAAAATGAAAAAAAAATGAAATAAAAAATAATAAAAAATTCAAGCCAGTAGTCCACGACTACGCCAGTCACAATTTTTTTTTTATTAATAATAATTTAAACTGGGAGGGGTGGTTTTTTTGTAATTTTCAAATTTAAATCAAACGGTGTTAACATCAAAGGTCTGAAAATTAACTGTGAGGCCACATTGAGACAATTTTTCAAGTATAGGGGGGCAAATCGATGCAATTGAGAGTAGAAGGGGGTAAAGTGATATCGAACCAAAGTACAAGGGGGCAAATCAATGTAATGAGAGTAGAAGGGGTAAAGTGATATCGAACCAAAGTATAAATGGGCAAATCGATGCAATTGAGAGTATAAGGAGGTAAAGTAATATCCAACCAAAATACATGGGGAGAAAGTGAAATTTACCCTCACTTCAATGAGTTTCTGGCCCATTTCAATAAATCCACACAAGCCTGCCAAATTGATCGTTATATGAATCGAAAATGTCTATTTAAAAAAAAAATTAAATAATGACCTTATAAATGTTATACGGCCGAACCCAAAGGAAATTGATAATCGACCCTCCATCTCAATGGTTCCTTCGATCCTACACTCGGTGAAAAACACCGGGTAGGTCTTCTGCTGCCACGTGTTCTTTTTTTATTTTTCTAAAACCCGTAAAGGTAAACCCTAGCGGGGAATTTATTATAAAATACAAAAAAAGAGACACGTGGCAGCAGAAGACCCACCCGGTGTTTTTCACCGGGTGTAGGGTCGAACAAATCCCATCTCAATATCAGTCCTTCAAAGCAGCTAATTTATTTTCTCACCACATTACTTAACATCATCTTAACCTAATTCAACATAAAAATGACAAATAAAATCTTTTTTTATATTTAATCATCAACAAATTTTACCAAAAAATATCCAACTTGAATAAAGAAATAAAAGGGAAAAATGAAAATAAAAATAAAAATAACAGTTTGAAGTAGGGGTGGTTTCGGTACGGTTGCCGAATATTTTGATCAATACTGTGTACCTACCGAATTATATGGTATTGAAAAAATTCGATACCGTTACCGTACCAACAAGTGCGGTATACCGTTATTCGGTATACCGTTACTTTCGGTACGGTATATCGGTATATGGTACTCTATCGTTAATTTTAATTTGTTATACTTTGAAGACGATCTTTATAAAAACACAATACTTGAAACAAGAACATTGGCTATTTATATAATCTTATTCAATTTTTCAAAGCTCCTTCGATATTTATCAAACTTTAACTTCATTGATTTAGTGACACCTTGCAAAATAAGATTACTAGAGTCATAATCTTTTTTTTCAATCTCAATTTGCAGCTCTATTATTTCAGTGAAAACCAAATGGGATGTACGTTTTTTTGTTGCACTAAGCTTCAATGTTTTCTCATAATTTTTTAAGAACTGTATTTTAACTTTTTTAAGTTTCGACCTATTTATTTTATGTAGTAATTTTAATTTTAGTTAATTATTAACCAATATAAAATAAATATACATTAATTAAATTATAAAATTCAAATTTGTGCTACGGTACGGTATTCCCATGGTACTGAAATGCAATACCGCTACCGTACCGTATAATAGTGGTACGGTACTAATACCGTACCAAATGTAATGGTTACCGAAGTTTCGGTAATTTTTCGGTATTGTTTGGTAGGTATACCGTGGTATTCGGTAGGCGGTAATTATTTTCCAGCCCTAGTTTGAAGAATGCTGGACTTTGGACTTATCTTAGCAGTTAGAACTTTTATTTAAATACGTTCATTTCGGTCCGATGGCCCAAAACCAGAATAGCCCGTAAATTAATTTTCTTTTTTAAATATCCAAACCCTAAAGTGAACCTAAACACCACTTCCGCCGCACATTCTCCCCCAAACTCTCAACGGCTGCCTCTTAAATCTGCTCCGAGATCCACTTCTCTAATTTATATAAATTAACATTGTCGTGGCTCCAATTACTCACTTCACCCTCCTCCGCCTCACTCCTCCGTATTTCCCGATTCCCCAACCTTCCGCCGCCGCCTGTATGGTAAAATAATTTTAATTGATTTTAATTATGTGCAGTGAATGAATAAAGTAAAGCACCGATGAAGAAGAATTCCCAAGTATAGGAAGTGCCGTATGACACTTTTAAAACGCAGCATTTCGCCGCCGTCAATCCTTCCCATCCACCGCTGCCAATTTTTTGTCTATGTGACTAATTTTGCGCATCGGTCGGGATTTTGTGGTTGCCGGCGGCGGCTGTGTGTGTGATTTGTAACGGGTTTCTGAGGCTTATTTTTTTTATTTATTTCTAAACTATTTAATTAGTTAGATCTTCGCCGAAATTGTTTTCTACTTTTGTGGTTTGATGCCACGTCGCCGGTAGCAATTTATTTGCAGTGGCCGGCGGTGTTCAGATTGAACCTAAATTGATTTCATGTTTCGCATATTGATAGGAACCTGTGATGATATACATTCATACACAGAGCCGTTTTTTGCGATTACATTTTTTCAAAAAAAATATTTTTTTTGTTAGCAAGATCTTTTGGCCTATGACGATTATTTAATTATAAATATGGAATTACCGTCTGAAATAATCATTGATGTGACCAATTTTCTGAGGCCTTTTTATTAATTAATTAAATGTTGAATCATAGAATTTTTCATTTAATTAAGTATGAGCTGGATTGTATTTTGCTATAGTCGAAATTTAAATTTCAGATACTTCTGTGGTTTAATGCCACGTTGCCGGTAGCAATATAATTGCCATGGCCGGCGGTGTCATGATTGAACCTAAATGAATTTCATATTTCGCATACTGATAGGAACCTGTTATGATAAATCAACATTCATACACAGAGCCGTTTTTTGCGATTACATTTTTTCCAAAGAAACTATGATTGAGTATCTGATTTTGTTCATGATTGATTTTTATTGGAATTGTGAATTTTATGGCCAATGAGGATTATTTTATTAAATATTATGGAATTACCGTCTGATAATATTATGATGTGAACCATTATCTGAGGCCTCATAATACAAAATTAACACATTAAAAACTCAAAATTAAACATTTACACGATATAATTAAAATATTTCATATTATTTGAAATGTCGAAACTTTTTTATTGTTATTTGTTAAAGAAAAAAATGACTTTACTAATTGATCAAAAATGAAGTGTTGAATGCCTAAAATTATTTTTTTTATCAAAAACATACAATTAGAATTGTTGAAATTAATGTAATGCCATTCTAATTGCTGAAATATTGTCTGGTTGATATAAATATGCCCTGTCATTCTAATTGTTGAAACTTCTCTAATAGATATCAAACGTGTAACTGTGCTGGCAAACAGGGCCCAATGTAAATAAATGGATTTGAATTAAAACTAATGATCATTGGTTTCATTTTGTACACATGGTCTAGTAGTATTGTCCAGGTTTCATGTTTCGACAATTTTATATTCTCTTGTACTTGTAATAGTTATATTTATGTAATTATGTTGTATTTATTTTTCTTGTAATTTATACCTTGCGTGGTTGTTTCTCTGGCCTCACTTTGTCAATCTGGTAAAAGTCAATGAGTTTTTGTAGAGTTTCAAGCAAATCTATTAAAAATAGCACAACTGTTACAAACACAAAATCTATCAAAAACTATAACAATACCGACAAGAATAGGTAGTTGAAACCAATGGTTAGACAGACTAGTCGCAGTCCTGATAGAAAGACTGTCCAAATCAAGAGTCCGTGTGTTTCATTTCAACAGTCGAAGTCAATTGCAGTTAGTCCGTGTGTTTCACTTCGACAGTCGAAGTCAATTACAGTTCCACCAAATACGTATGGTGTAGGTATAACGGGCAAAGAGACAATTAGTAATTGAGCTAAACCTATTATGATCACCTTATTCTTGCCCAACGTAGAATACGTGAGAATGTGCCTCATGTGAAAAATCTATTAAAATTAGACACTTCCGAAAATGAAAAATCTCAGTAATCGTGGAATCTATGTAGAAAATTGATGTCCAATTATGGATAGCCAAATTGGTCCAGTGGATGTACAAACCAACTCGATTGTATGCCCCAGTAGCCTACTCTTGCCCAATATAGAATACGTGAGAACGTGCCTAATATGAAAAATCTATTAAAAATAGACACTTTTGAAAATGAAAAATCTCGGTAATGATGGTATCTATGTTGAAATTTGAAGTCAAAATTATGGATAGCGAAACTAGTCCAATGGATGTGCCCAACGTAGAATACGTGCCTAATATGAAAAATCTATAAAAAATAGACACTTCTGAAAATGATAACTCTCATAATCATGGTATATATGTAGAAAATTGAAGTCAAAATTAATTATGGATATCCAAATTGGTCCAATCAAGGTACAAACCAATTCGATTTCATGCTCCATGCAAGTAGTCTACTAACAAATTACTCGACATCGGAAACCTTAATCCCCTCAGAAGATGTAAGAATCGTCTCGCCCCGAGAGATAGAATGAATATGAGGCAGATGCCTCTACTTCTCGTCCAAGGAGTGAAATAAGTTGGAACTTGAAATATCTAATAATTTGGAAAAAGATGCATGTTTTTTAAAATACACTAAATCTAGGGGATGATTTAAATTTGATCAACATTTATTTTTTATCAATAAAAAAACAAAAAAAGTTAGTACACTGAGTTACTGTATACCCTCCAATCCAAGTACGTACATGCAATTTGACTGTTTTAACTCCTCACCCTCCGTTCATCATGCGAAAAGCTTTTAATCTCATCTCTCTTGAAATAAGAGCTGTTTTCCAGTCTCGCGTAAATCACACCAACATAATTTTCCTTTTTTTTTAAAAAAAAAAAAAAAAGAAAAATTGAAGAAAAAAAAGGTTGACAAGAATGAAGGAATTAGCAGCTGCGCGTGAGAGAGACGGTGGAAATAATTTAAACGGGAGAAGTGCGGTGGAGAAAGAGAGGACTAAGTTGAGAGAGAGACAAAGGAGGGCCATTACCACCAAAATCTTCCACGGCCTCCGCAAGCACGGCGGCTACCGCCTCACTCCACGCGCCGACATCAACGAAGTCCTTCGCCACCTCGCCCATGAGGCCGGCTGGATTATCGAACCAGATGGCACCACCTACCGCTCCGCCGCCTCCACCTCCACCACCTTTTCTAATGTATGCTACTGTTTTATTTTGTTGTTTTTTCTTTTATTTCTGTCCTTTAAAATGTTTAATTAATACAGTATGGCCTTTCGATTTCTAGGGAACTATTAATGGATGCCCACTTTGCGGCGGCGGAAGAAAAAGCGCGCCGCCAACGCCGGGCTGCAGCTACTTGGGCGGCGGCGCCGCAGGGGATTGCTCGACCACGGCCTCGCCCCGCCGCGTTCAGGTCGGAGATTCCCCCGCCGTGAACAACCTCTCCCTCTCGTCGGATAGTGCCATGGCTACAAACGACACGCTTCTGGCCATTTACATGTGTACTGCAGTCGCGCCACTGAACGCCTGCGCCTGCGCCTCCGACGCCGTGTACGGAGAAGGACACCAGCCACACCTGTTGCATGAGCCTGTCGTGTCCAATCAGAACATGACAGCTGGATCGCCTTGACTCTAGTATCTGAAGTTGACCCTGAGGTCATTTTTGTCTTAATCCCCTAAATTATGTTTGTGTGACTTTTCTAATTACTAATATCAATATGGACTCAAGTCTAAAATTAAAATATAGGAATATAAATGTAGCCATTATTAAACTATCGTTTATTAATTTTCTTAGTTGACAATCTAATTTATACATAATTCCACCAAATTTGTTTGCACTACTTTTATTTCAAATTCACTATTACGTTTCATATTATGCTTCGTCTAATTTCACGGTATAACGAAATACAAAAACCAAGAGTTAGTTATGAATTAATAATGTCATCCAATAAGTAATCAAGAATCTTACAAATTTACAAGTTACTCCAATCTTCGTATTCACCTTGATTGATTTACCCGGGAATCCTCACCATAAATCTATCAATATTACATTTAACGACTTTGATGTTAATTACGAAACATGGTCAACATCAGGTAACTATTTATATTGAAATTCGATACTTCAATTTCATTAATCCAAATTAATATATTGTCATTTAAAAATAAATATTCCATGAGATCAAAATTTCCACTATTGTTAAGACAACAACATAACTAGTAGAACATATATATTTGGAAAAAAGGGTTTGATTCCAAGATCCAGTTGTAGTTTAAGTAATAATTAGAGATCATTGATGCAACTATTGTGCGGTCATTAACTTGCCATATTTATTTAAGCACACATTGCGCACATGCGGTATTAAATTTAAGATTAATATTTTTGATTCACAGAAAAAATCAAATTTCCAACAACGGATATTTATTCCTTTTTTATGGTAAGTTTATGAATTACATATCTACTGTATTCCAATTTCTATTTTATCTCGAAAATACACCTCTACCCCTCCGCTCGCGATTGCAGGTAATATATGTTTTCCCATTTTCTTTCTCTCTCCATCTCTACGTGCGAGTGAAATTGGTCACGAAATCTAATACAATCAGCAATATGTTGTATTGGTTTCCTGAAATTCGTGAAGATTCATCGTTGGTTGCGTTGAATTTCAGGGATTTTTTTTGAATCAAGGTTGTTTCCAGGATTTATAGCGAGAGTCTGGGTGTATAAGTTAGGGTTTTTGAGTTGATAGATCTGAGTGCGAGTCTACAATTCGATCATTACAACTCGGAATTCAACATGTTTTGGCGTATGGCTGGGCTCTCCACTGCATCTCCAGTAAGTGACCATGATTTTCTCTCTTTTTTTTTTTCACAAGAATTTTTTATTCAACTTTTGTGCTGTTTATTCGATCCAATTTATTGGCATGTTCTTTATTGGTTATTGAATTTGACATGACGGAGTGATGTTGAGATGTGGTGAGGGGAAATAAGGTTTTTGTTACTAGAGAAGACAGTGGAGTTTTGCATAATTGTTTTGTCTTGGTTGCCAATGTGATGTGAAGAAGTTGTTGTATTGAGGCATCCTGATTGCAGGGATGTATGATATATTGTGTTCGTAAAATTTAGTATAGCCTACAATTTGTTGACAGCGATGTAACAGTCGTCCAAGACATAGGCGACATAGATTGGTGTAGGCGTCTGGTTGTGGTATTGCTAAAAACCACTCTACTGATATTTTTACTATGTACTTGAATATTTTGGACGGAAAAGGCTAGAGGTTCAAGTTCTTGAAGTTTTTCTAATTTTGAAAATATAGGAAATTTGGAATTCCCAGAGTTATGTCAATATTTTTTTCAGGGTATGTTCTTATGTGTTACTGGATAACTAAGCAGCAAAACATGCTTCTCTGATCTGGTTAAGCATGTGATGTAAGGGTCTAGTACCCAGCTTTAGATTTGGGATGATTAACGGTGCATAAATGGTAATGCACAGTAAATTGTACTTCATTTATTGGTGGAAGGATGCTCTAATTTTTTTGCCAAATATAGACTAGTTTGTCCCTGTTTTCTTTGTTGTCTTTAGAATCTTGTTCTTTATTCGGTGTGGAAATCCTGAATGAAAATGTAACCTGTTGCAATCCTGTTTGTTACAGAATTTTTCGTGATCAATCAATTTTGTTTTTCTCTTCATTCACTCTGTGATACAGATGAAAACTTGATCTGGTGCTGTATGTTTATGATCATGGTAATGACAAGAAACACATGTTCTCGTCTACTGGTTCTGAGTTTGCTAGTTGCCAACATGTACAGGTGTATATATATACTATCTGAGGCAAAAAATGAGCTGAAACATAAACGAAGAGATGTTACTTCATACTTGTGCTGTTAACTATCTGAAAAAAAATATTTGTCTGGTGTTGATAACTAGTAATCTGTTTATGAGTGTCTCATATCCTTTAACTGAATTTTGTTGTTCTGGAAAATAGAACGTTAAGAATTCTTTGTTCTCGGTCTTCTAAGTTTTAAGTTCCAAGTCCATACATGTTTATTATGCTGTGGCTTCAATACTTTGTTTGAGTGATAGTTTTTCTTTGTAATTGATATTTTTTTATTTACCTCCAGTATATATATTGATCTTGATTTTTCTTTCTGTTTATTGTTCGGAATTCAATCTGTGTCTGTGAAGTCATGTCATGTCCAGAACATATTTTTCTGTCCCACTTCAGTAATGATATTCATAGCTATATGTGTCGTTGAAGTCTATAATACAAGTGTTTTTTATTGATTATGTAATTCTCAGGTGGAAACCATTTTAGATAAAGAAAATTTCACTCTGGATGAGCTATTAGACGAGGACGAAATAATTCAAGAATGCAAAGCTCTTAATGGCCGTCTTATCAATTTGTAAGATCCTATTTCTTTTACCACAAATTTTTTTTTGATATTTGTTTCACTCTTTATATTCCACTTTTTGTGCAGTTTTTCTGGCAGCGCCTTATAATAATTATTTTGTGCCGTAAGTAGTTTGGAAATAGTTTGTTGTTCATGGATCGACTAAATGTTTTTCATGCTCCTGCGCAAGTTTTTTCTTTTGTCAGAATATTAGAGATCTTTTGATCTTGCAAGAACTGATTATATACAAATATTTATCTAGTTTGCGGGAAAGAGATAACATTAAACAACTGATTCAATACATAATGGAAGAACCTCCAGAGGATGCCGAGAGACAGAGAACTTTCAAGTAAGTATGTGATAGATGATTCTAGGTGTGCACATCTTGCTAGGCCTCTGTGTACGGAAACCTTTTCAACAAATTGTGATTATGTTTTGAAACTGAAGCTAAGCAAGCTTCCTTCTTCCTCCCCACAGGTTTCCTTTCATTGCTTGTGAGATTTTCACTTGTGAGGTTGATATTATACTCAAAGCTTTAGTAGAGGATGAGGAGGTGTGGAGTTGTTGTAATTTTCTATAATTTGTCTCACATTTTTTATCTTGTCTTTTATTAGTTACCTTGTACTTCTGTTTCGCAGTTGATGGACCTGTTATTCTCTTTTTTGGATTCTGAGCGTCCCCATAGTACTCTATTGGCTGGTTATTTCAGCAAGGTATGGTCATTGATGCATTTGTAAGTATATTTGAAATGGAAAAAAAAAACTGGTTAAAAGAAGAGATTTATGCCTGGATATAATGATTTTTCATTAAGGATGGTGATAGATGACATACATTACTTATGTAGTCACGTTTGCTCATCAGTTGCCTAAATTTTTCATATTTATACACCCTCCTTTTCTGTCCACGTTTCCACATAATGATAGCTTAGACTTCTGATATCTGCACTTTCTACAACTATGAGCCTGTGATTATTAATCAAATTCATCTGAAGCATTATTTGTATCTAAAACTTTCATTTTAAGTAAAGATATTTTTTGGAAGCTCTTTCAAAATATAATTGAGCATTGAAAAAAGGAAAAATAGAAGGAAAAAGGGGAGGGGATAACACGCGCCTCACGGGCGCGTTTCAGTCCTGGGGGAATTTCCCCTCGCCCCTACCCCAACTCTCCCCTATTGACTGCAGACCAATCCATTCCCCCAACAATTTATGTCATAACTGGCTTTTCTTCACCATGTACATGTTTTATTATTTTTTGCTAGGTATTTGATACTCTGATCTTCTATGCTAGGTTGTCGTATGTCTCTTGCTGCGGAAGACAAATCCTCTTATGCACTACATAGGAGTGAGTCCAATTCTATTTAGTAACGAGCTATCTATTTTTAGGGTTCCAGTTGTGAAGTATTGATTTTTTCCGTATGCCATGTTATTACTCTTGATACTTGTTGTGATATTGCCGTTAGAACCCAAGTGTTTAAGATAATGTCGTAACCATGTGCTGAACGAACTAATGTCTCTCTTCTACACTCGTATACTGTTTTGGCTTACCTCTTAATTGATAAATCATAGTTGTAATTTGTAGGTATTCATGTTGAGTAGGAACTTGCAGTTTACTTTATCTATCTATAACATGAAGTAGATGTACATTTCTAATGAACCGTATGTTAATTTTAATTCAGGCATTCCCAAATATATTAATGATTTTCAGTGCCATGATTCTAAAATTTGACCAAGTAGCTGTAGATTCGGCCATTACCTTTTGTTGCCACTTGCAGAAAGCTAGTTCTTAAATTGAATGGTTAAATATTTATCTGACTACCTAGTGTTTAATACGATTTGGCATTTAATAAAAGTGTTCACCCAATTTTTACAGGCTCATCAAGACATCATTAAAAGACTTGTTGACCTAATTGGAATTACTTCTATAATGGAGGTATTTAAGTTCAGCCACCACACCCCTTCATGGTCATTCTTTTACTGTGTATGTTTGTTTGAAAGTTCTAATAGATTTCTTGTAACAGGTTTTAATTCGTCTAATTGGCGCTGATGAACATATATATGCCAACTATGCGGACTCTATACAGTGGTTGGAAGATATGAACGTGCTAGAGATGATTGTTGACAAATATAGTTCATCTGTAAGTTACAGTAAGCATGTATAACCTGGCATAAAAATGCTATTTTGTTTATCGTCAAGCCCTTGGTGTTTCTTTAGGGCTTTCTACCTTTACAGGATTATATATTTTGATACTTAAGAGGGCATGAAGTTTGTTGCAACTTTCATGTATTTGCAAATTTATCCTTCTGTAGAGCAAACTATTCCCTAATCAGACTTTTTTGCAGGGTCCTATGTTTTTACTGAATGTGTATTTTTCTGGTGGTATAATTTGAAAGTCTAATACTCTCTACGGTCTCTTTTATTTTCTGGAAAAAGGGCTAAAGCAATGAAATTCTAGTTTTTGAAGCCCGAGTTCTCCCCCATTCTATATACTCCTAAAAGATCCGACTGGTGTGTGCTTCTATCTTTTCTACTTGCAGGACTCCCCTGAAGTACATGCTAATGCTGCAGAAACTCTTTGTGCCATTACGCGGTATGCCCCACCAGGGCTAGCTTCAAAAATCTCCAGCCCAAGGTTAGGCTACGCTGGTTATTTCTAATTTTTTTCTTCCATCTGGCTACTCACTTCTCCCCTCCTCTTATCTTGTTTAAATGTGGTTGCTTTCACAGTTTTATAGGAAGATTGTTCCGCCATGCTCTGGAGGACTCAAGGCCCAAATCTGTTTTGGTTAATTTGTTATCTGTTTGTATATCCTTGTTAGACCCCAAGAGGTTAACATCGGGGACGTACTACATGTATACGCGTCAAATGACTTATGCATCCGGAAGTTCTGCTAATCCCGAGACCGTTCTAGGCATGCTGGAGAGCCTAGGTAATGACATGGATTTTCAATTTTATTTTATAACTGGACTTCAATTATGCAAGAGAACACTCAAGTATACGTTACTTTGAAGATACTGATAGTTTCGCCAAACTATCGGGAAAATTTTCTGTGATATACTCTTAGTCTAACCATGATTGTGGCATTAGTTGTACTCAAGTCATATCTTTATCACATACTTGCAAGATGACAGTCTACTGGTTTATTTTGCAGGTGATCTGCTCAAGCTTTTGGATTTTTCAACTGAGGACCACGTCCTGCTAACTACGTATGGCAAATTGCAGCCTCCGTTAGGAAAACGTCGGTTGAAGGTACCTCCTTTGTGTTACTGAAGAAGTATTGAGATTTACTGGTTGTTCTGAGATGAAACTTTATACAGAGATCTTCTACTTCAGTAGAATCGTTTTGTGAGAATTTTTTAAGAAATCTACATATCGAACATAAAACTTTTTTGTGCTTCTGCACTTAAATGTTAGGCACTCTACAGATAACTTTGATTTTTAAATTTATCTCGTTTTGAGAAATCCTTCAATGATATGGCAATCAAAATCTGATTGCAAAAAATGATGGACCTTTCAGATTATAGAGTTTATCTCGGTATTGGTTTCAGATTATAGAGTTTATCTCGGTATTGGTGGCTGTTAGTAGCGAAGTTGCAGAAAAGGAATTGATTCGTTTGGGCGCTGTGAAACGTATTTTGGACTTGTTTTTTGAGTAAGTTGTTTTCCCATATCAGTTTTTGATATTAATTTTATTGTGAATAACAAAATTATGAGTATCATCCTTTTAAGGTATCCTTACAATAATCTCTTACATTATCATGTGGAACGCATTATGATATCGTGTATCATCTTTTTTAGGTATCCATACAATAATTTCTTACATTATCATGTGGAACAAATCATAATATCGTGCCTAGAGAGCAAGAATCCTCAATTTGTTGAACATCTTCTTCGTGACTGTAATCTTATTGAGAAGATTCTTGAAGCAGAAAAAGATAGCACGTTGGCTGGTAGTACGAACAAGGTAATTTTTCTTCGATATCTTTTACCGGAACTTGTAGACATTTCTATCATTTTGCTTATTTGCCCGTTCTTTCTTGTTTTTTGAGCTTTTGCAATGTTCGCATTTTCTTTTAATGTGCTAGGATTAATCTCTTGAAATGTATCTTGCAGCCTACGATACCTGCTGAGGGAAGATCACCGCCCAGGGCGGGAAATATTGGTCACCTAACCCGTATTGCTAATAAACTTGTTCAATTGGGGAGTAATAACAGTGAAATACTGACATTTCTGCAGGTTTTTCCAATTTTCATTTTGTTTTTGTTAATACCATCCGTCGTCACTTGGTGTCTAATGTCAGCTCACATATCCCATGAGCCCCGAGAGAAAATCTTTCATGACTATTCTTGCTTATTTTACCACTCAACTCTACTTCAATTCATCACCGATTTATTTCCTTTTGTTTTCTGATATCCCAAGGCACTATCGTGATATTATATCCGGGCACATGCACCGACTTAAGGGCAATCTTGTAATACAATGAAGATCTCTTAATGCATCCATGCTGTTAATTGTCTGGTATGATATATGTTCTAAGAAAGTTCTTAGCTTATCCTTTCATTGGCAGGGGAATAGTGATTGGGTTGATTGGCAGACGAATGTGCTGCTCAAGCGCAATGCTCTGGAGAATGTCTTTCAATGGGCGTGTGGGTGAGTATTATCAAGTTCAGTGTTATATCTGACAACAAGCCGTTCGGTGTTATTCACGTGGTTATAAAAAAGCCTGCTTATTGTGTTTGTTCCTCGGTATTAAAGTTTGAAGAAATTGAGATTTATTAGCAATTACGTTGTGTGCTTACCCCTCATTCATTCTAATTATGTTTAAGATGGTGGGGGTGTCCTTCAGCTTGACTTCTGCTGCTACTGTGTTTCAATTGTATATAGTGTATTCGACTAGATATGACTTTTACTTTGAAACTCTTAGTATGGATGTAATTTTCTATTGATTATGCAGGAGGCCCACCGCACTACAAGACCGAACGCGAGATAGCGACGATGACGATTACCAAGATAGAGATTATGATGTTGCAGCATTGGCAAATAACTTGAGCCAGGCCTTCCGGTATGGAATATACAGTAACGATGATACCGAGGAGGTTTGTGTTTTGTGATTTCTTTATTATGTTCTATTTTTGTGCCACATGAAGATTAGGAGTTGAGAGGTTTGTAAGATAATGTGTAGCCTGTGGATTGTACTATGTAGTGTGCGTTTCAACAACGTTATTTGTTTGCTTCTGCAGGCGCATGGTTCTCTTGAACGTGATGATGAGGTATGCATATGATAACTCAGTCATTCTTAAATTATTGATCCTCTTCCTAGTTTTTGACAATGTGAAACAACTATATGCATTTCACTAAGTTCCTACAATATATTTCTCAGGACGTGTACTTTGATGATGAATCTGCTGAAGTTGTTATTTCTTCCCTACGGTTGGGGGATGACCAGGAAAGGTAAGTAGAGAGATTTGTTTATCTTCTATACCTCTTTGAAAATGAAGAATTAATTTGCTATTATGGCCTTGAAGAGTTGGTTGGAAGCATATTGCTCGAGACATTTCAAGTTTAATTTGCCAAATATTATCATGAGGGAGCCGATCTTTAATATCAATCCTTTATCATCTGTTCGGTGCCTGCATTCATACCTGTGATTTTTTTTTTTTATCATGTCTACAGTGGGTCTCTTTTTACAAACTCCAATTGGTTTGCATTTGAGGAAGAGAGAACAGCTAATGAGCATGCATCTGGTCCAATTGCTTCTTCATCCCCTCAGACTAAGGAGCATGAGGTCATTGTCGAGGAAGATGAGAAAAATTCCTCGGACACTGCCACGTCTGTACCTCCCGAACAGAACCCAACTTTAGATGACAATAATAACGTCCCAAGCAAATTGTCCGAAGGCCTCAGAGAAACCGAAACCAGTAGTGGGACCGACAAACCACCTGAGTGGGTTGAATGGAGGGAAGATTCCGATTCTGTTGAATTTCCTCCTACCTCGATTTCTGCTAACACGTCTGATGCATCTCAACATCCACCACCTTTACCAAATGGCGAGGTGGACTTAGTAGGTCAACCTGTCATTGGACCAGATATAACGGTTGTTTCTGCTGATGAGCCTGCAGATGATTGCAAGACTGACAGTGGAGGTTCCCCCGATTCTAAAGAGATCGACTCTGCTATTGCTCCTTCACAGTCCAAGGAAGTGGGTGATGAAGACCGAAGCATTGGGAAAGTGGACTTGCATGCTGAGGCAGAAGACTCTTCCGAAAATGCAGAATGTGAAAAGAACAATTAATTTGTGGGAATTGGGTGTAAATTCTTATGGTTAAGTTATGTCGAGATGAAAAATAGCATTTGTCCAAATCCCGTGCCAAGACTCACTCTGGTAATACTGCTGCTCATGACAGGTATAAAATATGCCCTTCATTATTGGGTTTACATATCGAGGTAAGCTGGTGAATCATTCATTTCCTCTCTATACAAAAAAATGTGCTATCAGCTCAATTGGAAGCCGTTTAGCTACTGAATATGTGTGAAGATGTCCCCCCCCAACCCCCTCACACACCCCCCCCCCCCCCCCCCCCCAACTGTTTTAGATTTTTGTACCACCTAGGTAAAACATGACTTGCTGTTCAAATCTTCAATGTATGTTCGCAGTTGTTTTTTTTTTTTTAAATTGTTTTCTTGTCTACTTTCTCTTGTCCAATTGACGTCAAAAGATCGCTTAGGATGCGTGTTCATTGCTTTCCTAAGTTGTTTGGTAGCAAATACAGAAAGGGGGTTGGTTTATGACATGAAGTGATGACTTATGGCTGCTTCTTATTCCATTTAGATTTACTGTGCTTTGCTGTATGATTCCTATTTATTTGAAACTTGTGACGTGGAAAAAGTGGGAATATGTAACATTTTAAGTATGCATTGTATGGTGATTTACTGGTGTGTGGAACTAATATTCTTGCCATCTTAAAAGGTAGTGGTTTAGGATATGCATTAAAGGAAATGATTTGTTCCAGTTTACATTTCAATCTGTTGAAGTACTTATTTGTTCAGCCCTGACATAGGCCTATCCCAACGTTTCAATGGACCCAATCCAGCATAGCGTTTTAATTGGCCCAGTCCAACCCAGTTTTTTCATGGGCCCAACGCCGCGTTTTTAATGGCCCTACCTCACTCAGCCTTTTCATAGGCCATGCTTGGCGTTTTAATTCCTTAGGACCAACAGCGCTTTATATCACAGCCGTTTCATGGGCCCAGCATGGCGCATTTTTCTTTGGGCCCAGTATACCTTTTTTATGGGCCTGGCACAGCAATGTTTTTCGATGGCCCAGTCAAACAATTTTACGGCCCAACACAGCGTTTTCATGGGGTGCCGTCTTAATAGGCCTACTCTCGATTTTTTATGGGCCTAGTACAGCGTATGATTAAAACAAAAAATGCATTATTACTAATATATAACCCCTGTTTCATAAACATCACCCAAATACATAATAAACATTGCCTAAAATTTCCAGATAAAATAGAATGATAGTCCTGTTAAATAGGCTAACTATTTGAGATTCAAGGTAAACATAATTTAACCCAATACTGTTTGCCGCATCGGTTTTTCCTTAACAGGAACTTAGATGATCATGGCACTAGTAGGATACAAACAGTCTGTATCCACAAACACAAAACAAATTACTTGTCCTGTTAAGATGAAATCTGCTCATGATTCTGAGAAGCTCAACCAATGTCCATTAAATTACACGTCTTACCATACTCCAAGGCGAGGAAGTTGAGATGATAACAAACTTTTTACTTACACAGGTTCATCAGAAGAATCAGCCTCAAGGCTACGCCTCTTCTTCTTTCCTTCCCCATGTCTAGACCTTCTTGGAGCTTCATCCTCACTTTCACTTTCATCGTTATTTCCATGAATAATAATATTTCCACGATTCTGCCCTACATCGCCTGCTGCCTCTTTAACCTTACCTTGTTGTTCATCCGAGCCATCATTCCTATAGCTATTAGTTGGTCCTTTCTGATCTCTCTTCGCTCTATTCTGATTTTGCTGACCTGGCTGCGGCGGTGGTGGTGGATAAAAAGGAGCCCTACCGGGACCCACAAAAGGGGCCCGCCCTGGGCCCATCATCATCCCAAATCGACCAGAAGGACGACCAGGGAACATCATCCCAGGGGCAGGACCCACAAAATCACCGGGAAATCTAGGACCGTACGCTGGTCCGTAGCCGCGGGGAATCATTGCAAAAGGATCGTGCATGGGGAAACCGTCAGGAGTCATATGTCCGTAAGAAAATCCATCGGCCCCCATCAAGTTGGGGGGGAAGCCTCGGGGGCCGGGGAAAGTGTGGGGTCCACGTGCAAGAGGCATTTGAGGAGGCCACATCATTCCCATTCCTCTGCCCCTTCCCCTTGCTTGAGCTCCAAAAACGTGTCCTGGGTTTTCATCCTCTTCTTCACTTTCTTCTTCTTCTTCCTCTTCCTCTTCATTATCTTCAAACGGTGCAATATCTGGATTTTCATTCTCATTCTCGAGGTTTACTCCCTTTGCCTTCTCCTCTTCTCGCTTTGCTTCTGCTGCCAGTGCGACGGCCTAAGGAAGAGATTAATAATTGCAATTTCAATCATCTGATGCCCATTCGAACAATAATACAGCATAATGTACCGTATCAGAGCTACATAATTGTAATGGTTCTGTTGATTTCTCACGATACATGCAGTTTAGAACTGAATCAGAACAATGCTAGCATCTAAGACATTGCCCTATAGATAAGTAACAGATGGAACCTATCTGTGGCAAAGGAGTATCAACTTATAATGGAGTATCAAATTAAACCGAGATGTTTAAGCTTCGGCTACAATCTCGGAGATACAATTTAACAATAAAATAACCTCAAAACAATTTCAAGAAGTACAATTACCATAAGATCACTGTCTGGTTCAAGGTACAGCAAGGACGCCAACTGCTCACCAATAGAAGGCTCGAGTTCCTGACAGTCCCTACTTATCTGTAACAAAATGACCAAATCAATATGAAAACAGTCCCGTCTTCTGTTTAAAACAGACAGGAAATGAAACGAGGACAATATTTTCAACATCTAAAACATATATAACATGTTCTTCCTAAACAATTGCATGTTGATCGAGTCAACTTTATTTGATATTTTTATTATATGTTAGAGAGTTAATTAATAGTTGGCTCAAGGTTTCAGAGTTAATTATATTGCACGGATCGGACCCTCCCATGAAATCAAATATCTATCCCTTCTTAGGTCTCAAATCATGAACTCCACACACTGAAAAACGTGTTGATTTTAAATAACGACATAAGATTTTGTGATTGAGGCCCGACATTTCAAATACGGACATCCATAATTTGTGAGTACTCGAATAATTGAATGAGCATCGTCATGTGCGATAGCACGTGATCCGAGTCATTTTTTTCGTTTTTATTAATCACTTTGCACTAGTGTATGGCTGGATTACAGCTTTATTGGAAAAAATAGGAAGACTGTTTATAACTCCAACAAGCTTGCCTTCAAAGTTTTTCAACTGATAATACATACCAATAAAGATATATAGAACTTAACAAGCTGAAATACAAATTGGTAATGTGGAACAAGTGATGTTCAAGTAAATACCTTTACTGGTAAGTTCTCATTGAATGGGTTTCTCAAATGCCGTGTTTTGTTGAAGGATAATTCACCAAGCTGCAGGTACATATCATGGATAGTTATTTTCAGAATTTATCTACGACATATAACAATAAATAATTAGCCCGAAAAAACCAAACAAAAGGTGAAACTCCAAAGCACACGATTGTTGAATTTAGGCAACAGTCAGAAGTAGTCCCAATTATACTACCACAGAAATCCTCATTTATATTATCGTGTTACATTTTTATACTAAGGAGTAAACTAGTTGCTACATGATGAAGCAGACAGAAATAATTGGGGATATCGAGCATCAATAATATGTCGTTTCCTATGATCATAGCATGCATACTATCGTCGTTGTCCTTCTAGATCACCAGCTTCCTAAATTCCATAATTCTCAAAACCATGAGAGTTTTTTCTTACATGTATCGTGAAAGCCCAAGGATGTATTAGAGAAAAATAGGTCATTCGAAGGCCTATAGTGAGGAAGTAAGCATATGATGACTTCGAAATTCAAAATATCAAAAAGAAAATATGATTGTTAAACCAATGCCAGTGCAAACAGGTTATACTGCGTTGTACTCTAGTAACCTTTATATCTAAAGCTACTTGATTATCAGACCAGACCAATGCTATGACTCAGACTCTGGTACTACAGAAAATATTCCAAATATCCCTGAATCAAATGACACAATCTTCAAAAGTAACTGATAAGAATTAAATCTTTAATAAGTTCGGCGAGTGGTGTGGACCTTCAACCATTTGACAGAGAAATTTTGTCCATAATGAGCAGTTCCATGAGCATTCTTCCAGTTTCCTCCACTAATAGAACCGCCAATTCTGGATGTCATCTTTGCACATCCCTATAAAACCACAAATAGATCTATATAAATAGATAGTTATTGCTCAATACTGGAATGTAAGTTTCATGTTCTTTTTTATATTGAAATGAAAAACCCACCTGGAAATGTCGAGTCTTGTTAACTGAAAAGATTAAAATGATATTATCAACAGATTCAAAAGCTTCATTAAGTTTTGCCTCATTGCTTCTCTGAGTTGCCCATACTCCTTGTTGTACAGACAGCTCCAGATTCTCGTTGTTGCAACTTTTGACCACAAAGTACCTAAAAGAACCATATGGACATGGACTAGGGTTATAAGTGAAATCGCAATTATAAGTGAAATTGCACCAACATAATATGTCCAACAAGACTTTTAAGAAAATAGCCTAATAAATGCTCTACAACACATGCACGTACACACCTGAGATCGAACCCAGAAACACCTACCACAAGAATGAGAGTGGTACCATAGCCATAAAAAACCTTCAAAGAATGTCTTACTTTATTGATCTACAGTAGATTTGGAAACTAACTCACAGCTTGATCTGAATCTAGTTCCCTCACAATTCAACAAGGCCACAATAAATTATGAGGAAGAATGGCATATGTGGTTCAATAATGTAGCAAGAGAAACAATAGAAAAAAAATAGAGAAACCCCACTTTCGGCTGAAGATAAGTTTTCTGCAGACATTATTAGCTACTGACTTGAAATCTGACGGTTATCAAGTATTCATACATAACCTACTTCGAACCATGTAATGAACTTTAAATTTGACCATAAAATCAGGAAAAAGAAAAGGCTAATCCGAAGGTATTACATATAGTGAGATTCATAAACAATTTAAGAAAAGCAAACCTGTCAGGCACAAGGCCCTGATAAGCCATCAAGATACACACTGGGATGAAAATCTCTCTACACTAACGGAGCACTTTAATCGACTTTCAAGAACTATATAGCACCCAAGACAGGCTGTTTATTATGTTTTCCTTCCATTTGAGGAGTATGTTTAGAATGTATTGATTTTTCTCTACAGCATACAAATTTCAGAACAAGGAACACTGCTGCTATCTAAAGTATTGAAGAGAACTTTTCACCTAGAAAAGTATTAGTGTTTCAGCAAAACGGAGAGATAGATAGTAAATGACCAAATTTATCTAAGATAGAAATCTTGATATAAAAAAGATATACCTTGTTTAAAAGCACTTCTTTTCTATACTACCAGATTGATATCCAATAACACGATGAGCTTCAGTGCAATATGAAGCCCACGAATATAATCAAGGAAAGACAAACCATGATTGAATTTATTAATCAGAAGTGTTCCAAGTCTAAAGAACATGCATATTGCTCTGATCAATTATTCCTACATATTCATAGGTCAGCCAAAGAACAAAGGATATTAGCAAAGACATTTAAATACACCATCCTGAGAGCACTAATAATAAAGAATAAACATATAAAAACAGTTAATTACAGCTGAAGTGGGAGAAAATCTCTCAAAAACTTCGACGTATAAATACATGACATGTTGCTTGGCGACCTAATTAAAGACCTTGTTCTGAACACACCTAGATGTTCCTTGGGGCAAGGGTGTAGCAGTCCTACTAGCTTGATTTTGCTGGCTATTGGAAGGATTCAGTGTTTGACCTTGGCTGCCCTGCTGCTGAAGTTGTGGTTGTTGGAGCACATTAGCAGCCTCTGTTATTCTACTTTTTCCTATTTGATTTGTGCCATTAGTTCCTTGTGAGAACTGCGACTTTTCTGCCTGCTGGGAAAAATTTGAATTACGGTTTTGAAATCTGTTAGAGTTTCCATGGTTGTATGAAGTCAACTGCTGAATCCTCTGAAGAACTTCTTCCACGGGAGGCGGAGGTCCAGGCAGCTTTGCATGCCTGTATCTACAGTCGGTGCCATTTGGACAAAATCCCAGTTTATACCTGTAACATATATATCATAAAAAAAAATCAGAAAAGATCTCACAGTTAAGACCATGAAAATGAAGAAACAATGAGAGAAACGCCAATAAGATCATCCTTAGGCCATATTATATGTGTATAAACTCAATCAGAATTTCATAATTCGGAAAATATCAGTTCAAAGACGTATACAATAAGAAATCACCCGCTTATGTTGTCCGTTTTGCTCAGCAAGAGCAACAACGGGAGAGATAAAGACATATTCATTGATCTATCTATTTACTTTTTCAAAACCCTAACATCATATTGCAAGAGGGAAATTACTAATAAAACTGGAACACGAAACGCCAACATATACATACATACATATGGCACTCCTTTATATCATCATTCGTGTGTTTGTACACGCAATCCTGCTCGCGGCATTCACCATATTGGCGGAAGAATCGGCAAACCGGCATCCGCGACTTGTCGTACTGATGAAGGAACCCACAGGCCTCCCCTTTCATGCACAGTGATCGCAGCCAGTGTCGGCACACAGTCTGCCGGAAACTCCGCCTTCCCCCACCACCCATCCCCTCCGCCGCCTGAGTCGCCGGCACGGGGCCTGCAGAATGGTTGTTGCCATTCGCCGCCGCGGCTGATGCGATGTTCGCATCCGCCGAGGATTGGATTACGGGTACCGATGCAGTCGGATGAATCGGGCCCGCATCCAGCCCGCCCTCGAAATCAAAGTTTAAACCACCTTCTCCGTCATCCATATGTACAATAATTTAAAAAAAATTGAAAAAATAAAATACCGGTGTGTGTGTGTGTGTGTGTATACGGCGGACAGGCGGTGAACGATGGGGTTTCGGAGTTGCAGAGCGACAATTTTCAGGTTCACCGGAAGTTGCAGTTAATGGGGAAGAAGGGGGAAAACTGAGAGAAACGCAGACAACAAATTTAGGGATGTTACCTTATGCATTGATGATTGTACTTCTGTGTCGAATCAAATCACATTTGGGCCACGCCCTTTTATCGTGTACAAGTATTGATATATGTGGTACAACATTTCAATGCATCACTTAGTTTGTAGGCTTTTTCTATGTGAACTCTTTTCTAATACATTATTAGTTCGGCCCATTTCCTATAGATTATGATATCATGTCTAATAAACCCCAAACCTTTAGCAATATGATTTAATTTTTACTTATGAAATTACTATAAAATCCTCATTTGCTTTTTCCTTTTCTTTTTTTTAAGCCAAGAAAGTAAGCTTCATTAATATTTATTGATTTATTGTAAGTAGGCTTACCACAAAATCCTCATTTGCCAAAATTACAATTATACACTTTATAAAATATAATCATAAGTTCCTCTGAATTATGTAACCAATCAACCTTCTTAATCATTTTACCACATACCAAAAGAGGCCTTATATATATTATTGAAGGCATCAATTTTTGGGTGTTTAAGACATTATATATAAAAATAGAGTTGGTGTCATGTCATAATTGTATCAATAATGGTTATATTTATCTTAACTAATCCAGCAAAGCTTGCACTTAATTCCAACATGCTTTCAATCAAATCATATTGATATAAGCAAAATTTAATTCAAATAGAGCTCCCCCCTCTCTCTCTACCCACAAGTCAACCATTCATAATTGGGCATAAATGTCCAGCAAATGATGACTGGAACAAGTAAATCCGTGTCAATAGATTCAAATTCGAATTCCATTGTTAACGATCTTTAAGTGGAGATTGTTACACACGGTTAGCCTGGTTTACGTCTTTTGTGTAATATGCAAACTATCAAACGATAGTGTAAGTTTACTCAGTGCAACTATATGGTTGTCAGCGTGTTCCTTCATTGGAAAAATAAAAAAATAATAATAAATGGGGCATCAATTTGTTTAATTATCCCTATCATATGATAGCATTTAATTTGAAGTATTAACTAGTGTCTGGTTCTATTATATAAGATGTTTGGTAGGTGATGATAATGAAACGGGGTACTACTATAAGGGCATTTAAGAAATTAACATTGTCAAAAATTAAAGTAAAATATTAAAGCAATAGAAAATTAGAGAAATAAGATGGTCAAACCGTAAAACAAGTGCAGTCTCGCTCTGGCACGTGGGAAAATTGCTCTGCTGATAGCAATAACACCACTGCATTGTTTCCTACCTGTAGGGCCCCACCGAATAAACCCATCCCAAACGTTTGAAATCGATTTCAAAAACTTCTACAGCCTGTCCTTTTCGCACACGATTTTCCGCCAATATCACTTTCCAAAATTGCCACTATTTTCATAAAAAAACCCCACTAAAACCTAAAATTACATTTCGACCCCAAAATACTATGCGGAGCAATTAGCAGCTACACTTCCTGACAAAAGTTCACAACCTATGTATGCACTGTAATCCACATTATATAATTGGCCCCAACAACAAATATATATATACATATATATACTTTTCTCTCTGTATCTTCTTCGACCACTTCCATTATTCCTTTCATCAAACTTATTTCAGTTTCCCCCCTCTCTCTCTCCTACTTTGCTTTATCTATCTCTCTCTCTCCTCTTTTCTTTTTCTTTGAAAAAAGAGAAAAGTGAAAGAGATACTGGTGTGAAACTGTTATGTATTCTTCTTACATTATTGATATCGATGTACGTATAGTTTAGTAGTTTACAGTGTGCTTTCCTTACAACCCTAAGATTTTTATTTTGGAGGTGTTTCTGAACTGACTCCACCACCAGATCTAAGCTATTTGAAGGTAGTAGTAGCATTCTTAACTATAGAAATGCTTAGTCTTATTTGTTATTGCTGTCACTGATTTTTCCTGGTTTTTCTTTAATTGAGTAGTAATGTGGGCTTTAGAATCAAGAAATCGAGAGTGCCAACTCTTTTTTCTTGCTGGTCTTTGTTAATTTTATCTGACTGAAATTTAATTTTTTACTCTTCTTGGACTGAAAAATTATGTCGGTTAGGCTCGAGAACATAAGTTTGGCAGTTTTGCTGCTGTTTTCTTGGCTTATTTGGGCTTTATTGGATTCAATTTGCTTATGTTGGAAAAAGGGGAGCACTTGAAATTTGCAATATTGCTTCTTGGTTGGTCTGATTTTATGATGATTGTAACAAAAACCTATTTTCTTATCTATTGAAGCTTGGCTTGGGGTGCTTCCTCAAATGGAGGCATTAGTGGTTCAACAGACTGAAGATGCGGTGGAGATGCACGTAAATAACGATACGAAGCCGTCGGACACTGAACAAGAGCTGCATGAAGAACCGTCCATTGAAAGTGCGAAAAAAGTCTCTAAGGCGCAGAAGCCAAATACCGTAACATCTAAGGTCACTAGTACAGGTGGGGTGGTTTCCAAAAGAAAAGTTGATACAAAGAGTGGCACGGACCCTAGTTCAATCGAGAAAAAATCAACACTGGTTAGGCCAACGATGAGTAGTGCCTCACGCACTTCAGGATCAGTTGCAGTGACAAGAAGGAGCAGCACCGGTGGTTTACCTGAAAAGCAGCCGATATCTATTACAAAACGACAGAGCGATGAAACTGGTTCAGCAGGTAAAAGAACCACCTCTTTAGCATCGGACCCTCTAAGGAAATCTCTCCCAGAAATTCGGAGGAGCTCAGTTTCTTCAATCAGTGCTAAGCCTACTATCAGACAGAGCATTTCGGAAACTCAAAAGCCTCTTCCTATTTCACCTACAGTTAGAACTCCAAGGACACCGACTAGTTCTGTTTTGAGCAAACAAGATTCGAGTAAAAAGATTCCAGTGAGATCATCTCAACCGTCGGTTTCTTCAATCAAGAAAGTTGCTTCTCCATCGCTGGATAGTGCTGGAAGTAGTGGCTCTGTTAGGAAGTCAATTGCAAAGGCTTCTCCCATCTCTACCACCCGATCGCCCACAGTATCGAGTGGGTCCCGATCTGGTGGTATGTCAACATCCGCGGATAGAAGTTCTAGTTTACTTGGCCGTAAAAAAGTGGGAACTCCGGAAAGTAGGGATTCGCGGATGATTATGCTTCCTCAAGTGGAGGTGAAAGCTAGTGATGACGTGGTAATAATAGTTCACAAAAATGTATTTTTAGTTTGTTAGTGATAAACTTCCAACTTCTGTTGGAACTTTATCACCTTAATCCTCCATTTCTTGGTCAATTTTTTTTAATTGAAGTCTCGTGTTTTTTTTCTTTCCTGTAATGAAGAGGTTGGATCTCAGAGGTCACAAGATACGCAGTCTCCATGGTGGTGGACTGAACTTGTCACCAAATCTGGAGGTCTGTTTATTACAGTTCCTGAGGTTTACGCGTTGGTTTTTAGTTTTTTCGTCTCTAGTTTATGTGATATAGTTCTCTGTATAGGCTTTGCTGCCGTGTAACCTCTGATATTAAACTTCCCAATTTCTTTTTTTCTCGTGAAACTATAATTTTGAACTCGTTTTTCTGCAGTTTGTTTATCTCAGAGACAATCTCTTGTCCGCATTGGATGGTATTGGAGTCCTGAAACGGGTGAAGGTGTGTATAGATTGCTCAATTTCATGTATCTTAATTTATAGTTTAAATACGTATAGAAATAAGTTTGCGATTGCCGATTCTTCTTATTCCACTCTAGTCAGCGTCTTGTTTCTATCTCAACCGTCCTTGCACATCATAATCCTCGTTCTACTTTCAGGTTCTTGATTTGAGTTTTAATGAATTCAAAGGGCCTGGTTTTGAGCCACTAGAGAATTGCAAAGCTCTGCAGGTATTCCTTATTTTCCTTTTTCTCAACAATCTATTATTTAGAAAATGGATGCTTGTTTTTTACAGTTGTACAATTTCCTTTTACTGCAGCAACTCTATCTTGCTGGAAATCAAATCACTTCTTTAAAGAGCCTTCCCGAGCTTCCCAACTTGGAGGTGAATATCCAGAAATTGTTTGTCTTCATGCTTTTCGAACATCATTAGTTATGATTGTTTCAGACCATGATGCTAAAACAATCGTTTTTGTGCTCTTGCAGTTTCTGTCTGTCGCTCAGAATAAGTTGAAATCTCTTTCCATGGCAAGCCAGCCTCGTTTACAGGTGTTTATTACTCCCCTTTTTTTTGCTTTACAAAATTTAGTATCCCTATGCCTTTCAGTTTGCAAAAGATATATTTGTGTTCTCATAGGTACTAGCAGCCAGCAAAAACAAAATATCAACATTGAAAGGCTTCCCGTACTTGCCGGCACTTGAGGTTAGTGGCAAACATGTTCCCCTTATCAATATTACAATCATGATTGCCGAATGCCATTTGATGCATATTTTTACCACGATAAAATTGCAGCATTTGCGTGTTGAGGAGAATCCAATACTTAAGATGTCTCATCTGGAAGCAGCTTCGATTTTGCTTGTTGGTCCAACCTTGAAAAAATTCAACGACAGGGGTAAGTCTGATGGTTGTATTGAACCTAACCTTTTGCTTTCATTTGGTAACGTTTTCTGGTAGTTATAGTGCCTTCATGCAGCTCTATAATGTGCATTCCCCAAATCTGTTATTCCGGCTAATAGTTGCCGTATGCGCTTCAATGTTTACCTGGTTGAATATCTTGCAGATCTCTCGCGTGAGGAAATAGCAATTGCCAAGCGTTATCCTTCAAACACTGCCTTATGTATTCGTGGTGGTTGGGAGTTGTGCCGTCCAGAACAAGCTGTAGGTAAGTGTTCACGAAACGCTCTTGTTTTAGTTTCCGAATAATGCCCTCTCATAGTTCTATTCCTCAGTTGCATTCGTGGAAGTGTTTGGTTGTCCTTTTTCGTTTTAAGTTATGATGATAAGGATTTCAGTTAATAGTGTATATAAAGAATAAGGGCTCAAAATGACATGCTGAAAAGAAGGCAATTGAGAGAGGGCAATATTATCTGAGTCAGCAAGGAGCTGAACCTGAATTTTTAGACCAGTTTTAATTGATATTACGGATTTTGTAAATATAATTTTTAAATTTTGACATGCAGCAACTACCACCATTGAACTTTTTTCCTCCATTCGTTTCTCAGCGTCTAAATATTCTTACTTCTGTCAACAGATTCTACGTTTAAGTTTATGTTAGAACAATGGAAAGAACAACTTCCTTCTGGATACTTGCTTAAAAGAGCTTCTGTTGACCAACCATTTGAGGAAGATGCTTGCTCTTGCCACTTTGAGTTTGAAACAGACACAAAGGAAGCTAATGGTGGTGTGCAATTAGACTTGAAGTACCAATGGTTTATAGGAGAGCAAACTGCTTCAAACTTCACAGCGATTTCTAGTGCAAGCGGAGAGGTGTGCAGATAGTTTTTTCATGAAAATAAATATTTGATCCATAACTTAAAAAAGTTTTAACAAATGGCTTTAACTCTATTTTAGACCTACTTTCCGAAGTGCGGCGACATCGGTAGAATCTTGAAAGTGGAGTGTATTCCAATACTGGGAGACACCGAATATCCCGCAGTTTTTGCAATATCTTCGCCAATTTGTCCAGGTATGCTTTTCCTGCAAATTAAAATAAGCTGATTGTTTGTGATAACTGATACCCTCATAATCTTCCCAGAAGGCTTTGTTTCCAGTTTGCTCGTGAGCTTCACGAATATGGCTTTTTCATAGTGTTGGTTCTTATTTCAATGAAGATTTACATGTGGATATGTTTTCTTTCCCTGTCAATTAACTATTTCTAGGTATCTTTCTATAGGCACTGGAATCCCTAAGGTCATAAAGATTGATGTCCATGGGGAACTGATTGAAGGGAACAAAGTCAAAGGGTATGCCGAGGTTGCTTGGTGTGGGGGTACTCCAGGGAAAGGTGTTGCTAGGTGAGATCATCCAAGGTTGCCATATGGAAGCATTTTGATTTTGAAGTTTGAACTGTTCCGTTTTGCCGAATAAAAAAGGTCTATTCTCTTCACGTGGAAGAAACTTATTTGTTTTATTTATTTTTTTTATAGTTGGCTTAGGAGACGATGGAATAGCAGCCCTGTGGTGATTGCTGGTGCAGAAGAAGAAGAATATCAGCTTAGCCTAGATGACATAGATTCATGCCTGGTTTATATGTACACTCCCGTAACTGAAGAAGGAGCCAAAGGGGAACCTCAGTATGCAATCACCGATTATGTAAAAGCAGGTGCGAGGTCGATGAATGTACTATAGCATGTATTATATATTAACCACTTTTTTTGCTTTTTGACGGATCCATTATTTTATGAAGTACTTTATTTTGGTCTTTGTTGACAGCTCCTCCGTCTGTGAGTAATGTACAAATTACGGGAGATGCTGTTGAGGGAAATACAATCAGAGGAGTTGGAGAGTATTTTGGAGGAAAAGAAGGCCCCAGCAAGTTTGAATGGTTTCATGAAGATAAGGATACTGGGTTAGTGTTCTAGTTGTTATTTCTGCCATGATTATTGATTTAAATCAATTGGTCCAATTGAAAATTTGATATTCGTTTCGTGAGTAAATTTAGTATGTAGGTTACTGTTTATTTGCATAGTGCAAGTCTTGATAGTAATTTTGTTTCCGTTGAAATCTATTTTTCTTGTCGGGGAGATGTAATCAATTTTTTTCTCCCATATAGACTGAGTTAGTTGCTTTCTTCATCTTCTGTTTGCAGAGAACGCTCATTTGTGTTGACGGGTACTAATGAATATACCTTAACAAAAGAAGATGTTGGACGAAGAATGGCATTTGTTTATGTTCCTGTGAACTTTGAGGGTAAGCTCTTTCATCATGCAAGCGTTGGATTTGTTCTTCTTTAGCCTGCGTTATATTTTCTTGTTTATAGCAACGCATAGTCATCCCGTGTTTTCAACTGTTCTCAGGGCAGGAAGGGAATTCTATGTCCACAGCATCCCAGATAATCAAACAGGGTATGTAACAGCTTATTTTAATCGTGAGTTGGCTACTACGTTACTCGTAATATCGAGGGGCAATACTTCAGGCACAAGAATTACATTTCCTTCCGTTTTCTTTATTCAAATAACAGCTCCACCTAAAGTTGTAAATATGAAGATAATTGGTGAACTGAAGGAGGGAAGTAAGATTACCGTGACTGGTATTGTCACCGGAGGAACTGAAGCCTCTAGCAGAGTTCAGTGGTTCAAAACCGCTTCTTCTACTTTTGAGGGTGAAAATGGTATCGAGGCATTAAGTACGTCTAAGATTGCAAAGGTAAGACGAGCCAAGCAGCCTTTTGTCTTAACCCATTATGTGGAATCGATATCATGATTATTATTTTTGCATTTTTCTCTATGTAGGCATTTCGGATTCCTCTGGGAGCTGTCGGCAGTTACATTGTTGCAAAATTTACGCCAATGACCCCGGATGGTGAATCTGGTGAACCAGCTTATGTGATTTGTGATACAGCTGTTGAGAGTGAGTACATTTTGTTCAAATTCAAGTTGTGAAAGCACTGTAATCATTAAACTCTTTTTGGTCTCTGGGAATATTCAGTCGTGTAGGAAATGCTCGACGTTAAATGTTTTAAAATGATTGATAACATATATTTATAATTCTTGCAGCTCTGCCCCCCAAGCTTAATTTTTTGTCTGTAACGGGAGAGTACTCTGAAGGTGGAGTTTTGACAGCATCCTATGGTTACATCGGCGGTCATGAGGGAAAAAGCATCTATAATTGGCATCTTCACGAGGTATGTTGCTACAAAACCACTGTCCCATAAAAACATTAATAAAACATGATTAACTTCCATTCTCCTTCACTTCGTCTAGTTGTTAATTTTCTATATTGCTCGACTTTGTGCAGGTGGACACTGACTCTGGTACCCTATTACCCGAGGTTTCAGGTCTTCTTCAATACAGAATTCCGAAGGATGCAATCGGTAAATTCATATCTTTTACTTGTACCCCAGTGCGTGATGATGATATTGTAGGCGAACCAAGAACTTACATGGGACAAGAACGTGTTCGTCCAGGTAACTAAGACAAATAACTTATCGAATAGAAGCTGATTTCAATCCCGCCATCTTTCGAGTGAATTCCCATTTTTAAACATTGATATTTGCTGATGCGGGATAAATTTATTGTTCTCCGTGTTATTCCCCTTTTAGGAAGCCCAAGATTGCTTTCTTTACAAGTTATCGGAACTGCCGTTGAAGGCAGTATTCTAAACGTTAAAAAGAAATACTGGGGTGGTGAAGAGGGAGAATCTATATACCGCTGGTTCCGGGTATTTGATTTGATTTGAAGTATCATTAGCATATTCATTCCGTTCTTTTGCTTGTGAAGTTATCGCAATTTCGGTTCTCCTTTCATCTGAACTATGGAAAGTTTTATTGCAGACTAGTTCAAATGGCACCCATGATGAAATAAACGGTGCAACTTCTTCATCACATATGCTCTCCGTCGATGATATTGGCTTCTTCATATCAGTTTCTTGTGAGCCCATTCGAAGTGACTGGGCCCGAGGTCCTATTGTCCTTTCTGAACAAATTGGACCAATTGTGCCAGGTAAGCATTTCCCGAAAACTGTATTTCAATTCACAGAAAACGATACAAAATGACTCTCAACAGAATTAATGAGCAAAGTCTTATAATTTCAGGACCGCCAACATGTCAGTTGCTTGAGTTTCAAGGATCCCTGATTGAAGGTGCACGACTGAGTTTCATTGCTAATTACACTGGAGGGTAAGCCTCTGCCGAAATATCATCTTTTATTACAACTACTGTCTCGTTACAAACTTCATTTTCTTTATATTAAATGTTTTGATCTTCGTTTTCAGGGTGAAGGGAGATTGCTTGTACGAGTGGTTCAAAGTGAAAAGCAATGGTTACACACAGAAACTTCAAGATGGAGGTAAATAAATATTTCTCTGCTTTTGTTAGCTCTATCCATCTATCTATTTTGGTTTTCATGATCTGATTAATTGGATTTAACCAATGCAGAGTTTTTGGATTTAACTATTAATGAAGTGGGAGACTGTGTCGAACTTGTTTATACACCTGTTCGTGCCGATGGCTTGAAAGGGTCTCCAAAGACACTGGTTTCTTGTCCCGTTGCTCCTGGTTAGTGATTCATCATGTTTATGAATTTCTAACCGCCAGTTTATCTCTTACATAACGCAATGCACGTAAAAACTCACGATCCTAGGTCTGAAAAAAACATAATATTTATACAGGGGAGCCTCTAGGTGTTGAGTTGGTGATTCCCGATTGCCGTGAGGGTCAAGAAGTGGTCCCCGAAACAACGTATTTTGGAGGGCAAGAAGGAGTTGGAAAATATATTTGGTTCAGAACAAAGAATAAGCTTCATCAATCTGCCCTCCTCGAACTGTCGAATAATTTCGAAAATGTTGATATATGTGGAGAGGCATTGTAAGTATTGTTGAAAGTTATACATTTGAAATTCGCCGCAACACTCTGTCTTATTGTGTTAATTACTTCTGCTCAGAACATATACTCCGTCGCTCGAAGATGTGGGATCTTATTTAGCATTGTATTGGCTGCCAACACGGTCAGATGGGAAATGTGGTACTCCTTTGGTGTCAAATTCCGACTCTCCAGTTATTCCAGGTAGAATCTACAAAATGATTCCTTCCCTACTTTTTATCCAGTCATTAAATTTTTTTTTTATTACATTTCCTAATCTGTAGAAATGGTTTTATTTATGTGACAGCTCTTCCGATAGTAGAAAATGTTCGCGTGAAAAAGTCGTCTTCGAGCACCTATCATGGAGAAGGAGAGTATTATGGTGGATACGAAGGAGCAAGCCTCTATAGCTGGTACAGAGAAACTGACGACGAAGCAATTGTTCTTATTGGTGGAGCTAATTCTAAAACTTATGAAGTCTCGGATGAAGATTATAACTGCAGAGTGTTGTTTGGGTAATGGATCTACCTATCTAGATCACTTGAAAATGGTCAAATAAAAATGATTATGCACTTCGGAATTAATAAATGGCTTTAATAACCAAGTTTACACTGTATTTATTAAAGTATTTCATGCGTCTTGCAGATATACTCCAGTTCGCTCAGATTCAGTTGTCGGAGAACTTCGATTGTCTGAACCAAGTGATGTAATATTGCCAGGTACTATTTTAACCTTCCTATTCGGCGACTTTATCGCAGGTTTACAATAAACCTATTCTAGTACTAACTGATGTAAGATAATTCTTGAGAATGCGAACATGAGATGAATAAATCATTAAAATTTCTAATTAAAAAAATTCTTATGTCAGAGTTGCCAAGAATCGAAATGGTAGCTCTTACCGGTAAAGCTGTTGAAGGAGAAGTATTGACTGCCCTCGAAGTTATCCCAAAGAGCGAAAATCAACAGCTTGTTTGGGGCAAGTACAAGAAAGTAGTTAGATACCAGTGGTATATTCCCATATCCAACATGCTATCATGAACATTATTTAAACTATTTTTTAACCAATATTGTTCTTTATCACCATATTCATAAATCCCGTTCGCTTCTAATTGTAGGTTTTTCTCAACTGATAATGAAAGCGAAAAGTCCTTTGAGCCATTCCCTTCACAGCGGTCGTGCTCCTACAAGGTACGGTTTGAAGACATTGGTCGCTACCTGAGGTGCGAATGCGTAGTTACTGACGTGTTCGGAAGATCGAGTGAGATGGCATATGCTGAAACTGATTCCGTTTTACCAGGTTTTCCCTCCCGATGAATTCGCATTAATATTTTTTATTATAATCAACTGAAACCTTTAAGAAACATTACTTACGTAAGGAAAGTGTCCACACTTGTTCTGTCTTCAGGAGTTCCTAGAATGGACAAGCTGGAAATCGAGGGTCGAGGTTTCCACACAAATTTGTACGCTGTACGGGGAATTTACAGTGGGGAAAGGAAGGAAAAAGTCAAATCCAATGGCTTCGGTCAATGGTCGGAAGTCCTGACCTAATTTCTATTCCCGGTATAGAATTTTGTACTTTGCTCTGTTTTATACTACGATGTAGAATTTTTTTGTTCCATATTATTATTATCTGAACGACTTCGTTGGTGCAGGTGAGACAGGAAGGATGTACGAGGCTAATGTTGATGATGTAGGGTACAGGCTGGTTGCTATTTATACACCAGTAAGAGATGATGGAACTGAAGGGCAACCTGTTTCTGCATCAACGGATCCAATCGCAGTTGGTATATATTTTTATTCTTGTCGACAAGTCGATTTATTTATTACATTGTATAATTTGATTATTTATATTTATTTCGTTTACTTGCAGAGCCTGATGTTCTTAAAGAAGTGAAGCAGAAACTAGATCTTGGATCTGTTAAGTTTGAGGTATAGACACTATAAAATAAGAATTATCGTTCTTTGCTGAAACTAATATATTCAAAACGAATAACGTTCACCAAACTTACGTAAAAGTGGTTCTTGTACAGGCACTGTGCGACAAGGATCGATCTCCTAAAAGGGTACTAACGGTTTTTTTTCTTTCTATTATTCTTACCTCTCGATTTGTTGTCATCAAGAAGTATATAAAAAATCATTTTGTAAATTACAGGTACCTGGAGTGGGAAGTCTGGAGAGACGAATTCTGGAAGTGAATAGAAAGAGAATCAAGGTTGTAAAACCCGGCTCGAAAACATCGTTTCCTACAACAGAAATTCGTGGAAGTTACACTCCTCCTTTCCATGTATGTTTTCTTCTTCTCCTTATGCTATAACATATTGTTGTGTCGAGCATTTCTTGTCTTATAAGTTATGTCTTATGTAGGTCGAGCTATTCAGAAACGATCAACATCGTCTTAGAATCGTTGTAGACAGTGATAACGAAGTGGATTTGATGGTACAGACACGGCATCTCCGTGATGTCATCGTCCTTGTCATCCGAGGTCTTGCACAGCGATTCAACAGCACATCTCTCAATACTCTTCTCAAGATAGAGACATAAAAAAAAGTCCTCTGTATATGTAAAAAAAATACATTTTACTTCGTTTCGATATAATTCTTGATTTTTTTTGTCGTCTAGCCTTTTCCTCTCTTTTTTACGAGTGGAAGGCTTGTTCTTTCTGTGTGATTTCTGTTCATTATTTGTAGACGTGTACCGATGATTGAAATTTAGAAATTGCGATTCAAAATGAATAGAAACTTGTGAGTTGTATCATGTTTAATGAAATGCAAACTAAATAAATACTTACGCAGAAATATGCACAATTGGAGAACAAAACTACTAGTGGAAAATAATTAATCTAGTGTGTAGCTGATGATGCCACCTGTCCCTCCTCGACCTTGCTGTACGCCTTCTCCTGTATCGCCTTTGCGTCAAAGAACTTAGCGGTGTCGTACGATGCATGCAGACCGAAAAACACATAGTAAGCTAGGAGAAACCCTGTCCAACCCAAAAACCTTATGAAAGAATCTTTATCTATCGATCCAAGCAGAAAGATGTTAATGGCAATCGAAGCAGAAGGCAACCATGGCACCAATGGAACCCCCCAAAGCGTGGGCTTATGCGCTTGAGGTACGAAAAACCACAGCCCTGCAGTGGCAAGAAACCAAACGGGCACCGTTATGCAATAAGCGATCCACCCTGTTTCGCTAATTCCCCAATAAGCAGCTGTAGTGATCGATGATCCGATAATTAGGACAAGGCATACGATCAGTTTGTTTCGATGATCATTTGTTGTCACTCCGCTAACATAGAATCTACGAACGAGAAGCGCAACAGATACTAGCATGAAGATGAAGAGAGTCGAGATGGAGAGAAGATTCGATAGTATGTCGAGTTTTGTGAAGAAAGCTATGACTGCTGTGGCGGCGAGCATGACAACCGTGGCGTTTATCGGGGTTCCGGTTTTGGGGTCGACTTTGGCGAACCATGGCGGCATCATGTGCGTGCGAGCGATGTGTGTGAGGTAACGGGCTTGACCGACGGAGTTAACTAGGAGGACTGACGTCATCCCTTTTAATGCTCCGAAGGCGACTAGGTACTGGGCCCACCCCCACCCCACTTGCTTAAACGCCATTGAGAAAGGGGCGTTCACGTCGATGGTTGTGTACGGCTGCATCATGGTTAGAGCGATGGCCATTAAACAGTAGATGGCGGTGGTGAGGACCATAGATCCGACGAGGCCGATGGGGATATCTCGGCCGGGGTTTTTGGTTTCCTCGGCCATGGTGGAGACTGCGTCGAACCCTACGTAGGCGAAGAATAGGACGGCGGAGGCTCTGAATATGCCGCGGGGGCCGAAGGGGGCGAAGGGGGTGAGGTTTTTGGTGTCGGATTTGATGAAGCCTGCTATTATTATGAAGAGGATGACGGCGATGTGTACGACTGAGGCGACGTAGTTGAAGCGGGAGGAGCCTTTTGTGCTTAGGACGGCGATTAAGCAGATGACTATGCAGACGGCGACGGCTATGGGGTCGAGTTGGTTGTAGCCTTCGGCTAGGGAGGTTGCGTGGATGCGGAATTGCTCTGGCTTGTGGTTACAGAGGGTGGCGAAGTAGGACGTCCAGGAACGCGCCACCGCGGCGCCGCCGATTATGTACTCGAGGAGGATGTTTCCGGCAGCGATGAAGGCCACGAAATCCCCGAGCTCCACCCGAAGGTAGGCAAATGAACCACCTGTAATGCAAAAGACGAATTTACCCTTCTAACTACTTTTCTTCTGAAAAGTATCTTATATTATATATAAATAAATAAATAAATATTTATTTATACGCACCTGCAACAGGTATTTCGACGGCGAATTCGGTGTAGCAAAAGACGGAGAGTAGGGCGGAGAGTCCAGAAACAACGTAGGAAAGGACGACGGCAGGGCCGGCGTCATCGTGGGCCTCGAGACCGGTGAGGACGAATATTCCGGCGCCGATGACGGCACCCAAGCCTAACCAGATCAAGTCCCACCAGGAAAGCGTCCTCTTCATCTCGTTACCACTGCGGGTCTTCATCTCCATTTCCGCCTCCACAGTCGACCGGGTGAGAACCCGGTCCGCCAGGCGAGCCGGTGTCTGTCTCAATGCGCTGACGTAGTTCCCCCAGCTCTTGAACGACTCCTCGGGGAGAAAATCGTCTTTCGTACACGAGCATCCCCTCCTCCTCGTCAGCCCCGTCGATCCACCGCCGTTCGCTTCCACTACACCCCCCATATTTCCCTAAAAATTCAAAAAAATAAAAATAAAAAATTTGAATCTACATGAATATATCCTACTAATTAGTAAATTGCGATGGATGAAGACGAAAAGCTTTATAAAACAAAGGAAACGTTACTTTGTTTATATGAAAAAAAAAAATCAGAAAAGTCCAGTGGCCGGCGGAAGATGCTATGCTTGAGCAATTAGAGTCGCAGTAAATCGTTATCAATCAAATCTCAATATAGAACGCAGCATATTATATGTATACATGTGTGTTTATGTATTATAATAAGCTATATCTATACTGACATACATACACGACGAGCAACTCATGAACCAATTGAGAGAGAGAGAGAGAGAGAGAGAGAGAGAGAGAGAGAGAGAGAGAGAACCTGAATCAGCGATCACTGGAGGATCTGACGGACAATGAATCCCGTAATTCTGAATTTCAGCGCAGACGCTAGGTTGAGTTAGCAGTGTATATATATATATATATATGTAATTAGGGTAAAATGAGTGTTTAATAAGTATGAACAGATTCTTAATGAAGGGAGGAAAGAGAAATTGCCAAGTGATAATAATTGATTAATAGCGGTCAATTCGGAGTTGAATTTTGAGTCAGTGACTGCTTCCAGCTGTTTTATTACTTAAATTCGTATTATAATATTCGAGTAATTAAATTTGCTAATAAATGAAGTGTAAGTGTAAACATCTACTATTTAACTAGAAAATGTATTCAGGTAGGATATTCATCTTCCAAAATTACAGATTCGGTAAATCTTTTGTGGTGATCAATACAGAAAGAAGCCTACGTTATATGCAACACCATAATATATACCGTTGCCGTATTCCAATGCACCACTATCGCATCTCATATGGTTAAATCATTCAATTGATTACGATAATAATATTTTTTATTTTTTTTTATAAAATCCAAAAGTGTATTTAATAATTAATATTATATTGATACGATTATGTGAGTGTTTGTTAATAATTGGAGATTCAGAGGAGAGAGAAGAATCGTGCTGGAGGAGATTCATTCATAGTAAGCGGAAAGATGCCGTATTTTGTGATTGGTCCATCTCGATTTTGGTGGCTGGCCGTTATCGTATCAACGGCTGAAATTCGATCCGAAAAGTTCGGCCGGTCAATTCGATTAGTGGGCCCATGGATCCGGTCAATTTTGGTGTGGGCTGTGGGATCCCAGTTTCCGTTCTTTATTCGGTTACGTTTATTTCCAAATTAATTGAAGAAATAATAATATTTATAATGACGCAATTAGCCTAAGAATTAATTTGTGTATATGATAGTCAATGGTAAAGTCAATGAATATATAAAGCGAATTATTAATGGCGTTTGTTCTTTTTTGAACTTTCAAAGTTGACGGCGATTGAGCATTCGTATTATGGGCAGCTATGGGAAAAAAGTAGCACTTGTTCACACAACAAACCTACGACTAATTAATTATGGAAATTATTATTATCTTTAAATATTAATAATATAGGTCTTCATCTATAATTTCTAAAAATATTAGGAAACGTTTAATTTAATAAATAAATAATTAATTAATCGTCCCAATTGAACAAAAGAACCTGAAAAATATAATTTTCTTCAACAAATCAACAAACAGTTGCAAGATACACAAAATAAAACATACACAGTTGCACTAGCCTAAGTTACATGATAATAATTAAACATCACAAAGAAAGGGCAAATACATTAATTGATGGACCATGACACAAATCAAGAAACTAACATACACAAACTTGTAATAAATAAATTATTAAAAAAATAACAAAAAACAAATCAAACACCAAATTCATTCTATTCATCTGATGTCAAGTTCCTCTTCTCCTTCCCATGGTGTCTTTCCCTAACAACCTTCTCAATCTTTACATTACCACCATTGTTGTTCTGCTTACTGACAGACCCCTCTTGAGCACTGCACATCTGAGACTTCAACCGAAACCCTAACTTCTTCGACACGTTTCCCCAGGTGGTGGTGCTCGATCCTTTCCCCTTACCCAATTTCTCGATCTCGTTTCTCATATTCGAGCACTCTTTCTCGAGCTCAGAAACCCTAATCCTCATACTATCCATGCCCACTTTCAAGACCTGGTTTTCCCTTACAGCCGTGGCCCACCCGCCTTCGTTTGTGGGCCCCACCAAACCGCTCCTCAACTGCCTCGAACCACGTCTAGGTTGTCTGAAACTAAGAAGCAACCAGCTATGGAGGTTCTGAGCTGGAGCTGCTCGAAGAAGAGGACTTGGACTATCACTCTTAAAGGCAGCCTCTCGTTTTGGGCTGCGTGCGTGCATGCTTCGAGAGAGAGCTTTTGGCAGTCCATTAGCCTGCAGAGCTGTTCTCTGTCCGATTCGGCTAACCATGGATGAGACTGCATATGGAAGAAACAAGAATAAACATTCATAAGACATTTTCGTAAATAGTACAAGATTTTTTGTGATTTGCTTGACGACTAAAATATCTGTAAAACGATTATTAGATAGAACTATTTCTTGATTACTTGTTAATTAACCGTTACCCTCAGCGATGCTACCAAATACATTAATTACCTTGAGATAAATATCGATCGCACGATAAAGACCATCGTCCAACGGGCGTGCATACTCCGGCACAGCAGCAGCTAAAGACTGAAATTTCGGGAGCTTCAATATAACATCTGATGCAACCTCTGCTAGGAATCCATCGATCAACTTAGCCACCATTGTTATCGGTGTCAGCGAAGGCGAACCCATCAATTGGCTGCCGCCATCTTCCACTGATTCCGGTGACTCACCACCCCCGCCGCCGCCACCACCACCATCCATGGTCAAGAAATGTTCTAGAATACGCTGCACACAGTCCACATCGTACAGAGTTTCCATCGAATCCGAAGAGTTCGTCATTAAGAGATCCTCTAAGGTAGCCTGATCGAGCTGCACACCTATTCTCTTCTCCAAATTCGATACACAAGTGGGATTCGCTTTAAGAATCTTGGCTGTTCTGAGCAAGCCGAATAGAAACTTCGTTGCACAAAGTCCCTTTTGCAATGGAAGTAACTGATCAATTTCTTCTAGAAGAATCTTCTGATCCTCTTCGGAAAGTGGGGCCACAACACGGTTGTTGCTCGCCTTGCTAGCGCCCTGTCGTCGGTTGATTCCCGGTAGGTATTTCTTCGCGTAACAATTAAGCGAGCCCGCGACAATTTCCCGTTTTACCCCTCTAGATTCCATGGCCGAAATTAGCCTCTTGTAGAGAGGCAAACTTAGACTCGAAGCATCCTCGTACCACCAATCGGAACTCGAATGCTTCGGCCGTGCGCCCGTGCTTATCCCATTCCACAGCACGCTGCCACCTGGACTCTGCATGGGCCCACCATGCTCCATAACGGGCCACCCGAATAGATTCGGGTCCGTACATGCCTTGGCTGCCAAAGAGTCGATGCATCTTTTCGGTATTTGGAGTTCTTCGGCTTCGGAGATGACATCATCGCACGTTTGTAGTGCTTTCAAAGAGTCTTTCCAGTTCCGAAGAACAACTTGATTGAGAAAGATTTCGGTTTGGGAGATTAGATTGGCCTCTCCATAGTCTTCGGTCATTTCAAGATGTTCGGCAGCACATCGAAGGTGAACAACATTCGCAGAGGTGAGTTCGAGTTTGACACCGTAGCAGAATTTAGCTACAAGTTCGAACGTTTTCGATCCACCGGGAATTTGGGGGAGTTGAATGAGACAGCCTTCTTCTTGTTCGGATGCATCTGCGATGAGTCTTTCCATAACCCCACTTCTTGAAAGCAATGGAAACTGCAATAAACAAATGGAAAATGAATCGAATATAAGCTAGTTGATTTACAAGAGTTGCTACCAATTATCAACAAAAACCGAAAACGATACCTTGTGAAGGTGGAACGACATTTCTCCAACTTCGACAATAACATCACTAGGGAGACCGGTTGTGCAAAACCTACAGTTTAAACGAGAGAATGGTGGTTTTAAACAAACAACAAGTATTAGTCTTTTACGAGCCAAAAGTCAAATGCGTAGTCTTTTGCGTTGAATCAAGTTCTTTAAAGTGGATCAATTATTCATCAGCTAAAAAAGTTTTATGCAATCTATATAGAGCAAATCACCAAAGTAGCTACCCCATATAAATATCAAGAATATCACTAAATTAGCTACCAAAGTGTGCCTTTAATCTTCAATTAAGACCACACTATTAGACATTTAATCATCTCAAGCTTGTTTAGGATCAAAAATATCATCGGATCAGTGACATTTAACGGCCTCGACAACTCAAATCAAGGGGTCTTACACTTTAAATTATGTCTACATTTTACCAGAAAATTCAATGACTAAAAATGATAATAAAAAAAAATCTGCAAACAGCAAAGTAACAGACACAAACAAAAATGTAAGAAAATCGAGGAAGTTAAGAAAACAAACCAGGCTTGGCCTTGCCTCTGGAATGCATCAGATTTGGATCCCAACTTCATACAAGCCGCCATCTCTTCAAAACCTCAGCACTTAGAATATTTTTTTCCAGCAAATCTTAAAAGTTTCAGACAAGAAAAAAACTTCCTCAAAAACTCCGAAACCAAACTTTTCTCACTCAGATCTTTGGGTCCAAAAACTGCAGACACTTAATTCAGCAACCCAAAGCAGAAGAAAAAATTACAGCAGCATTTTAATCAAGATTGCAATAAATGCAGCAAAAATGCTCAACTCAACCAAACCCCAAAAGAACTATCCACCCCACATGAGAAACTGCCTTCCAAAATCTCAGCCACAGAGCAAAATGCCTTCCCCAAGGATATATAATAACTATAAAATAAATAATTCGAATGAGACACCAGATTTAGGTCAACCCCTCCAGAGAGAGAGAGAGAAAAAAACAAACCCAGTTACTACTCTGACACGAACCACTACTTAACCACCACAAGATTCCAAAACTGAACCCCCCTTTGTGACATATGAGACACCAAAACCAAAACCCCTTCCTTCAAAGAAGAAGCTTTTTCAGTTTTCTCTCTCTAGATTTTAATTATATATATAAATATGTGATGAAGGAAGGAAGGAAGGAAGGAGCTTTTTTTTCTTGAAAACTCAACTATGGATAATTAGTGGTGGTATTGGTATAGCTCTGAAACACAAACACATGTAAATATAAAAATGTGGGGTCGGTCGTCTCGCTTGGAACATACTCATTGCATAGAGATTCCGAATTCTAGTAATAAAGAATTGAGTAGTAGAATGAATTTTGATCAATTTAATTTCCAAGGCTTGACCTAAACCCCCAATTATTTTCTTGTGTGTATTTAATTTAATTTAATATCTTTTATGAGTTATTTTGAAAGTAACAGCTATCTGCCCTGTTTTTGTACAGCCAGGCCATGTGCCTTTCTTTTACTACTATTGTTTCTTTATTAAGGAATTTTGTACCATAGTGGGTTCCAAGTGGATCTTTTTAACTATGGAAATTCGATTATTGACTTTGTTACCATTCATTCATTAATTAATTAATTAAAATTCGGTATTGTCCTATATAATTCAAACAAAAAAAGGAATTAAAAATTAAAAAAATATATTTAGAGAAAATCAAAAAATCACCCAACAAATTAATTGCATGGCGCTATATTTTTTTTTTTTTTTTTTATAATATGGTGCTTTAGTTTTTTTTTTTTCTCTTTAATTTTTATGTGCTATAGAATATGGTGCATTTGGGCTGGGTCAGGGATTTTAATAAATAATAAAAAAGGAAATGGGCTATTATAATTATTAATGTGGGCTGGTGCAGCTTGGCAGACCCAAAGTGCATTGGAATTGGCGCGCCATTGATGACAGCCAGTCACGAGTCGCGACCGTCCCGCACACGCAATCATCATAAGGAAATAAAATAAGAAAAAGATGATGTTGTTTCCACGCGTGTGTTTCGGCTCGACTCATTCGGCTCGGTTCGGCTCAGTCCGCATTACCATATGAGCCAAATTATTATCACAAAATAATTATATAATGAACCATATTCATATTGGGCATCAAATTATACATATTTCTTCAGTATAGATTAATTAAGTCAACGTCATCTATGTAACATGGACATAGAAACAGTGAACCAAAAAAAAATAGAAAACGGACAAGGGGATAATTTGAGAGAAACATGTAAATATCAAAAGTAAATGGGTATATTTATAAATATCCAATATAAATATGTATAAGTTTTTATTTATGTACAAATTATTTTTATATATTTCATACTAATATATATTCAAAAAATTTTTTACTATCAACTATCAATTTGCAATTGATTATTAGATCATGTAAATAATTAGATAAGTAACAAAAATATTCGAAATTTTGCAATTAAATTATGTTTATAACTTTTAAAAAATTGTAAAACAGCTCATAAAATGTCCGACGGGTGTCATCGAGCATCGGATACGAAACGTGTCGGCAACACGAAAACACTAGGTATTTAAAGTTTCCGTCCTACATAGATCATTAGGATGGATACGTGAAGTTATTTCAAAAAAAAAATTTAACATAAAATGCAATTCGATATATATAATAAGCCTATATGCACCATTATTGTGCACCATAAACTACAGTAGTAATAAACATATTAAAATGAAGAAGATTCCAAAATTTGTTACCTAAACATGGAAATCAATAAATGACTGAATGCTTTAGCTTGTTTATGAAGTCATTAATTTAACCTAATCTTTGAAAATATGTATTTATTTATTTTTTATTTCTATTTTATTTAATATATTTGTTTTCTGCATGTAAAAGTATAGTGATTATATGTATTCCTTTTCATGGTCTTTTAATTTATCCCATGTTGAAAAGGCAAAAAGGTTTAGCATCTAATCTGCATGACAATAAAGTTGTAAAATCATCATAAGATACACTATGAGAAAGATGTGGAATTTTGCGCTGTAATTAGGAATTTAGTCAATAATCAAAGATGCTTTATATAATTTATTATTTATAAAAAAAAAGCTTGTTATTGAAAAATATAAGGTTTATTTGCTTCACTATTAAGATTGTCCTTTAAATACAAAAGTTTGTTATTGACAAGTTTTGTCTGCTTAATTAGGTTGTTAACTGTACTTAAATCATATAATGATAGTGCAAATTATGGCCATCCCTTAAGATAATGTTAAATTAAAAAAAAAAACATTTATGTTTGAGTAACACTCAATTATGTATTTTCTTAACAAATTAGGTTAATTTGACATCGTAAGAATGAACATGGGAGACAATACATAGTTGAACAAAGTGATTGTAATTACGAAACATAAATGAGTCTTTTCATAATTTAGTCTTACCTTAGGAAATTGGCCATAATTTGCCCGATAACAATATATAATTATATATTCCTAATATTCAAAGTGAAACATTTATATGATGCAGAAGAAACTGAAAAAAACAAAACAAGAAACAGTTCTTTGTAAATTAAACAAATGTATATAATATTATAATGTAAAATATGTCATAAATAAAACTAAAAAAAAAATCAATAAATAAGAAATAGTTGTACTTAATTATTTTTTAGTGCTTTGGATGCTGCTGCTTCTTGGTTATCGAGCTCCTTCTTCTCTTTAGTCGTGTTTCTCTGTATTTTCTTCATGTTTCTCTCTTCTTCCTCAAATCACCAATAAAACAAACCCTTGTTCCGCATTTTGCTACACACTTGTTTTCTCCCATTTCCTTTTTTTTAATATTTATTTTTCTCGAACTCTGCTCTATTTGTTTCAACATTTGTCATCTCTTTGGTTCTTAAATAAACAATGAAGCTATCTGGATAAGTCTTTATTTTTGATTTATTATATATATAGTTTGTACATCTGCAGACATGTCACATTTTTGTGGGAACATTTGATTTTTGAAAGATTTCTTGGTTTTTGTGAGCTGGGGAACAAATATTTGATGTTCTTTCTTATCTTCTTCCAGGTGTCTGAACAACGTTAATGGAGGTTTTGTAGGGTTACAGGGTTGTAATTTTACACAGCCATTTTCATGCTTCTTTAGTTTTCTTGATAGGTGAAGATTTTATTTTTTTAAGGTAGATTGAATTGTTTGAGGGTTTGTTTACGATAATTTAGCAGAGATGGGTTGTGTAGCATCAAGAATTGATAAAGGAGAGAGGGTGAGAATTTGCAAAGATAGGAAAAGACTTATGAAACAGTTACTTAGATACAGAAAAGAATTTGCTGATGCTCAATTAGCATACCTGAGATCATTGCGGAATACCGGAATTACCCTCAGGCAGTTCACCGAATCCGAATCATTAGAGCTCGATGAAGCCATTTCTGGTGTCGGTTTCCCGCCGTCACCGCCTCCCCCTCTGCCGCCGTCACCTCCACCACCGCCCACTTTCAGCCCCGATTTAAGGAAGTTCAAGGATAATAAGAAGCCGCCGCCGCCACCTCAGCAAACTCAGTCCGAGATCATGGAAATCGACGAGGACAGCGACCACACTCCTCCACCTCCGCTTCCTAGTTCTTCGTGGGAATATTGGGACCTGTTTGGCTCTCCGTCTTTGCCAAGAAAGAGTAGCGAGAAAGAGGAGGAGAATTGGGTAGATACAAATACCGAATTTATAGATGATGATGATGTGGCGGTTTTCGAGGGTGACGTGCTATCTGTAAAAGAGGGGATTGATGGGGTAGGTGATGATAATTCTTCGAGGATGAGTGCAGATATGGCGATGGTGGTTTGGAGGAGTAAGAAAAGCTTGGCTGGTATCGTAAAGGAATTGGATGATTATTTCTTGAAAGCATCTGCTGTAGTTAAGGATGTAGCCGTTTTCGTCGATATTGATGCCGGCGGCACGTTTCATTACCAGAGTATCAAAGAGAACAAGAGTAACTACTTTTAACCCCTAATAGTTACGAGGAATTGTTTAAAATATTTCAATTTATTCGCTTTTATGCAGTTTCTTAAACATAAATTTTCTTTTGATCGACGAATAAATTTATTCGCTGTATATGCATACGGTTGCTCATGTGTGCAGTCTTCGAGTACTTGTGCTCACAAAAATTGTTTTTATAGGGAAGAGAAGCAGTTCAGCAAAAGTTTTTAGTGCGCTGGCGTGGAATTGGTCTTCCAAATCACTTCATTCGACTCGAGAAACGGAAGATTTACTTGGTTCCAGTGAGCCATGTAAGCCTGGAGCTCACTGCATTACTCTGCAGAAACTTTATTCAGAGGAGCAGAAACTGTACAAGGATGTTAAGGTGATTTTCCAAAGTTCGATATAGTGAAAATTTATCGAGTCTCTCTATTTGGAATATTTCGATATATTACTAATATTTCTTGTTATGGAATCACGTGTTGATTTTCGTTACTTCTCTTGTGATTGTTTCTTTCGTAGGAAGAAGAAATATCCAAGGTGGAGTATGGAAGAAAATCGTTACTACTGCAGAGACAAGAGGAAGAGCACGATTGGACCAAGGCCGAGAAAACTCGTTCAGCTTTTGGAAGTCTGGAATCTTACATCCTATCTCTGCAAGAATCAATTAGCAGGTCTTCTTCGAGCATATTGACTCTCGTAAACAACGAGCTTCACCCTCAGTTGACTACACTAGCTTCAGGGTAAAGTCAACATACTACCTCTCCTTTTATTTTTAAGTGTCGCTTTAGCCGTATAATTTTTTCCCATATCAAGTGTCACTATTGAGTTTCAAAGCAAAATTGAACTTTTTTCCAAATTTACCCCCACACTAATGGTAGATTAATAAAGTGAGAAAGAGTGGGTGAAAAGCCAGAGAGGTAATATGGTCAAATAAATATCTTTTCCCCCCAACTTAAACGACACTTAAAAAAACTGGGCGTTTGTCGTTGTCTGAAAAAAGTCTGTTAAATCCGAGTTTGTGCACGCTCTCTAGTCTGTTAAACCTTAAAAACTTTGCTCTTATGAGACGTTATTGCTCTCTAATACAAGCTGTTGTGTGTGTGTGTCTCTTGTAAAATTTTCAGACTGATGCACATGTGGCAAACAATGCATAAATGCCATAAACTTCAGAATCACATTTCCCAGCAGCTGAATCATCTAACGGAACAACAAAGCCCGGAACCTACTAGTGAGTCCCGTCAGCAGGCTGCAGCTCAGCTCCAGAGAGAAGTCGCTTCTTGGTACCACAGCTTTTGCAAACTCGTTAAATTTCAACGCGAGTATCTAAGGGCCCTCTGCAAGTGGGTCCTACTCACAAACAGCCTTCAAGATATTAATAGCCCACGAAGTAGTAACTCATCTACAATACATAACCTCACAGAAAAATGGCTGCAAGAACTTGATAAATTACCCGATAAGGTGAAGTTGCCACATCCCTTTTTCTCTTCTTACCATCCAAAATTATGTGAACTAAATGAAAAAAATGTGCTCACCTTCTGCAGATGGTGTCGGAGGCAATTAATTCACTGCTGTCATCTGTTCACTCCATTATCGTGCAGCAGCAAGAAGAATGGCATATCCGTAAAAGAAGCGAGAAGCTGGGGAGAAAATTGGAAAGGGAGCTTAGTTCGCTTTCGGAGGTGGAGGTGAAGTTTTCCGGAAGCTTATCTCTCGAAGATGCTGATTCCGTCTTGGCTTCGAAGCATCCTTTAACAATTAGGCGGGCCAAAGTCGAAGCCCTGAGTAGATTAGTGGACCACGAGAAGGCTAAGTACACAAATTCTGTTAAAACTACGAGAGTTATGATCCTGAACAACTTACAGACGAGCCTCCCAAAGGTATTTCAAGCACTAATGGTGTACTCAAGATCTTATGCCCAAATCTTCGAGGCCATTCTCAGTAACGACGCAATATCAGAATGTGATGACAGTTAATATGTCACAACGTGCAAAGTTGAGAGCATCATGAAAATATGAGTGTTTTTTTTAGAAGTGGAGTATCCTTGGAATCTTCACCAAGGTAAATTAAAGGGCATCAATGTAAATATCCCAGGGGATCGTATATTCGTCTTTATTTGTGGAGTGATCAGTGATTAAGTAGGACAAATCACAGATTTTAGGCATAGTATCTCTCAAATTTACTCTGCAGTTATGAGTCAAATTAGATCTCATTGCCCTTTTTTCTCAAAGGTATTTGTTACATAACTTCAAGAATCAAAGATGGCTATAAATCAGATAGGACATCATCAATCATGGGCAAGATGTCTAAATTATTTGTTACATAATTTATTCCCTACCTATACTACGCTACATATGATGTTCATCCAAATTCTCTGTCATCTTCAGAACCATTTTCCAGTTGTTGGTACCCATTTCTTCCCAACCTGCTCATCTCAGCAAGACCTGGAATGCAAAATATCAATCTCGTTAACAATAAAAAGAAACCCGATTTTTAAATAATTTGAATAACTTGATGTCCGATAAACCTTAGTTTTATGCTAGAAAATAAGAACCTCGTACCTTCAACCACCCGATAAAAAGCCGACCACCATCCATATCTCGGAACGTCAAATTGATCAAGTGTCTCCTCGATAACTCTGTCGTGTTTCCCCGTCAAAACATCCTGCAGAACTACGATAGCATCCTTTGTTTTGTTAATCACATTGTTCTCATCTTCAGAGCCGAACACCTCGAGATCCTTCACCGAGGAGGCGAGATTAAGACCAAGTGCATACTGTGTAGCAGCATTCCAACGTGAAGATAAAAGCCATCTCGTTTCTCCATTGAAGGAGACGCCTCGCTTTTCGAACATATTCTTCTTTTCACTATCCTTTCTTACAACTAAGCCGCGCAAGTACTCAGCATTTGCAGGACCTGTACTTTGAACCATCTTAGAGAAAGCACTTTCTTCTCTTTCTAGAAGACCTTCAGGAGTATCGTACTCGAGCACCTACAAAAAAATGCAAGCACCTATAAAACATCGTAGTACAACTAGGTGTAAAAGAAAGGAAGCCTACTATTGGTCAATGTTTCATACTTGACCAGAATCAAGAACAAGAATTTGGTCACTGTCGATGATGGTGTTGAGGCGATGAGCAATTGTGAGCATAGTGCAAGATTTGAATTCTTCTCGAATGGTTTTCTGTATAAGTGCATCAGTCCTAACATCAACGGCTGCTGTTGCTTCATCAAGAACAAGGATCTTTGATCTCCGAAGTAATGCTCGAGCAAGACTTAGTAGTTGCCTCTGCCCAACGCTAAAGTTTTCGCCTCCTTCCAAAACCTTGAAACATCCCCCCCAAAAGCATTTATATTAAATAATTAAGCTTTCAATTGTAAAAATCTATATCTACATATATATATATAGGGGGCAACTATTTTGAATACTAATTTTTGCTTAGTTGAATACTACCTAGTTGAAAACCACAATTGAGTACATATTTTTAAGTTTTTTCTTACTTTAATACCAAAATAAAAATAAAAGTACAAAAATACCCTTTCATACAAAATACTAATTACATTAATTTTTCTTTGAAATTACCTATTTGAAAACCAAATAAAAAAAAAAGAAAAAAAAAATCAAACACAAAAACTCCCTCCGTCAACCTCACGCCGCCCGACGCCGCCGCCGCCGCCCAACCATCGCCGCCGCCGGACGCCGACGCCAAACACCGCCTAACGCCGCCCACGCCGCCCAACGTCGCCCAAAGCCGCCGCCGTCGTCTTCTTCGAATAGTAAGTTATAGTTGTTTCGATTTTTTTTTTCTTTAATATTTATTTAAGATTTGAATGTTTGATATGGGTAATTAGGATTTGGTTGTTTTAGGTTAGAATGATCGTTAATTAGTAATGGGTGCATCTGATTTCAGTCGATTTGAGCATTGATTTGAGATTCGTGGGTCGGTTCTTCGTTCTCCATTTTCGACCTGTACATGTCGAAATTTGGATGAATTTTCGACATGTTGTTGTCGAAAATTCATCCAAATTTCGACATGTAGATGTCGAAAATGGTGAAAGGGTTGCTTTTGATTTTGTTATTTTCGACAGTTTACTGTCGAAAATGGGTTTCATTTTCGACAGCAACCTGTCGAAAATGCAATCCATTTTCGACAGTAAACTGTCGAAAATTACGCCATATTTCGACAGGTTTCTGTCGAATTTAAACTTGATATTATGTATATTAATTTTAATTGGTGTGTTATTTGGCAGTGGAAGAACCACGTCAACCTCGTATACCTCCGACTGTCTCGAACCGTAAAAAGAGGAAGGAATTATCCGATAAAGGCAAGGGCATACCTGTCACGACCAAGAAAAAGACCACGACCAAGAAGAAGTCTGGAGAGGGTTCTTCGTCAACGAATCCGGTGCCGGCTGTACATTCGACTGTACAAGTTGGTGATTCGAGCAATGAACCGGTCCTAGGTCCCGAGATACCGGAATTGTACACAAAATTTGATAAGCACATTGCTTATCATATTGTGAACGGAGGGCCAGATCGTTCGGAGCGCGGCTCAGAATTTCGAATACGAAATCACACAACAACTTTGAAAGGTTGGGAGCCGGCGCCGTTTATTAAAGATGTAGTACAAAGATGTGGTTTAATGTCAGTTGTACAGGCATCGTACAACACTGTGGACGGCCATCTACTTAGAGCCTTCGTAGAGAGATGGCAGCCAGCTACCAACACATTTCACTTACCTGTTGGAGAGATGACCATCACACTTGACGATGTGAGTTCGTTGGTCGGTTTGCCAGTTGTTGGGCGTACCGTATCTTGCGAGCGTTTGGTCCGTGATTCCAAAACCATTCCCAGTACTTTGATGTTCCAGTTGCTAGGTGAGTACCCGGACGATGTAAACAAGAAGAAAGCGGTCAAGTTGGAATGGTTGAAGGCTAAATTTAGCAAAGTGACCCTGAGAGATAGTGCAGAGAAGAGGACGTACGCCATTCGGGCGTATTTGTTATTTTTGCTCGGGTGTACTATACTGTGCGACAAGACAGGCAACATGGTAAGCGTTGAGTACCTAAATCTTGTAGCTGATTTGGATCGGATCGGCGAGTATGCTTGGGGCACTGCATGTCTTTGCCGGTTGTACGATGAGCTTTCCTCAGCCTCACAAAAATCAACGAACTCGATGGCTGGCTGGCTGACGCTCTTTCAGTCATGGATTTACGAGCACTTTCCTTATTTGGGGGGTGGCACATTGAAGACGGAATTCGAGGGGCCATTAGCGAGCCGATGGGAGCCTCAGTCAAAGACTACTTCAACGCCTGAACGAGCGTCGTACCTGCGATCTCGATTAGATGATTTGATCCCCGATCAGGTAACATACCACTTTAATAATCTGTTATTACTACTTAGGTTATATGTTTTACATCTAATTTTTTATTTAATATGTTTTACTTAGGTTATATGGTCACCGTATACGGCTATTCGTGATCGTTTCCCGATGCCAGATTCTGCTTGGTTTAGTGGGATGATATGTTGCATGGACCACTTCGAGGCATATCATCCGGACAGAGTCTTGAGGCAGTTCAACCGGGTGCAAATCATTCCAGGTCGTGCATACATGTCAAAAGATATGTACAAAGCTCTAGTTAGCAAAGGTCGACCGGTCCAGAACTCAATTTTCGTTGCTCTAGTCCCAATTCGACAGCTAGCTGTCGAATTACTGTGTGTAATTCGACAGCTAGCTGTCGAATTTGGTCTGTATACAAATTTTTTTTTTTGGGAAAAAATTGCAAATTTATTTTTTTTTTGTCCAAAAACTACGTACATGTGTTTTTTATCTTACATTGCAATATATTTGGGGTTTAAAAAAAAAACATAGTTTTTTCTAATAAAAACCCAACACTTAATAACATTGAAATGTAGCACCAGTAACTTTACATATTTATGTTGGGAGAACTATCACCATTGTCTGATATAGTAATAATCTCGAAACTCTCTCGCGTGGCAACATTTTGACCTATTAATTCTCGAAATGCTGTAATCCGACCATCCATTTCTGCAGGCTTCCAACCATCAGCTTTAGGATCATGACATCGGTACCAATAATCGGCGATAGGAGGTATTGGACAATTCTTGTTCAATACAACATGCACGAAGTGACAGTTGTCGACGATTGTGTTGTTCGACAATTTGATTGTGGACTTTCGTATACAAATCCACAAATGTGCCAGTTGAATTACGCACATCCCTTTTCATTCGTCCGTGTGCCCCCTCCACCCTATTAGAAGTGTACGTTCCAAAATGAGTATACTTATTTGTCCACACCGATACAAGTCTCTCCTTGTACGGATCCAACCATGAATTAGCTACATACTCTATAGCCGGGAGATAACCAATAAATGTTCTTTTCAAATCCTCCCAATCCTCATTGAACTCCTCTATGGTATTTCTTTCAATAAGAGCCGAAAAACTCGACTGAAATTGCTTCCATTTGGTGATGTCCTTTGGGAACAATTTCTTACAATTGGCCACTATATTCTTGTTCACATGCCACCGACACAGCAAGTGATGACTCGATGGATACACATTGGCCACTGCTTTCATTAAACCCAAATCTCGATCTGTTACAATGCAATTAGGCCGAGGACAACTGGTCATGGCCTCCTTCAAACAACGCAACGCCCATTCAAAATTTTCCGTCTTTTCGTGGTCCAAGTAAGCAAAGGCAATTGAGAACGTCTTGTTGGTACAAGTAAAACCCACAATCTCAAGAAATGGGAGTCCGTAACGATTGGTCTTGTACGTGCAATCGATGACGAATACGTACGGATACGACTGTGCCAACTTAATGCATTTCGGGTGGATCCAAAACAAGTCGGTAATCGCATTCAACTCGTTCGATCTATGGTACGAGAGGTATTCATCTTCTTTCAACTTGACAAACAATGATTGCAATTGAGATCTCCCATCCAATTCACTGAAATTTAACTTAGAGATAGTATTGTAAACTGTCTTCATACCAGTTACATTAGACGGGTCCTTTTGCTTCAATGCTCTTAGAATTTCCCTTGGTTTCACCATTGCTTTCTTCATAGTGTGAACAAAGGAAACATCCTCCTTTGATAATCTTCCGGCATAAGAGTGTCCGTGCAAGTTTTCGAATAAGTTGTGGTTGTGAATACCACAACTAACATCCAATTTCCACTCAGCCTTTTCATCATCCTTGTGTTCCCTTGTCCCCTTCAATTTAAACGGACAATTGCATTTCTTTGAACCGGTGCTCCTTTTTCCCGGTCTTTGATCATCTTCACCTGGTACCTTCTTGCCAACATAATGGCCCCCACGCTCACAACGAACAATCACATACGGTGTCCTACGTCCTCTATCCCCGTCACTCGAACCCCCAATCATTAACACCATTCCAATTCTTTTACATACTTCACGAACCCATGCCATTAAAGCTTCTTTTGTTGGGAATTTTTCGGACGTGGTAAATGAATGGGTGCAATCGATCTACACAAAAGAGTCGAAAATATAAGACAAGTAAATTTGCAACAGGAACAAATTCGACACTTAAGTTGTCGAATTATGATGCAATTTTCGACACTTAAGTGTCGAAAATTACCCACAATTTCGACACTTAAGTGTCGAAATCTAAGGGTATTTTCGACACATACATGTCGAAAAATAGGTGTATTTTCGACCTGTATGTGTCGAAAATACATGGCGAGCTTAAAAAAAAAAAAAATTTCAAAATCGATGTTTTAGCTCAAAAAATACATGAATACATACCTGAATGGGTTCTCCTTGCTCGTAAACTACCATTCTATTGTCATTTGAGGCCATTTTGCAAGTTGTGTAAGGTTTTGATTTCTTTTGTTTTGGGGTTTTTTAGGAGGGTTTTTGGGGAGGGAGAAGAAGGAGGTGGAGGAGGTGAGGGGTTTGGGAGTGAGGAGGGAAATGTTTTTTTAGGTTTTTGATTATTTGGTTTTTAAGAAAGAAAAATAGTATTTGTAATATTATTTGGTTTTAATTTTCATTAAGGGTATTAAAGTAATTTCCAATTAATTATTTAATTTCTATTTTTTTGGTATTCAACTAAGCAAAAGTTAGTATTCAAAATAGTTGCCCCCATATATATATTCACTATCACTTATTCATGCATATAAATAGATGTTGGGAAAAATACATGAGTGTATCCTTTTACCTCAGCATCCAAACCAAAAGCATTACTGCTAATGACATTCTTTAAGTGTGCTCGTTCCAAAGCCTCCCAGAGGTCTGGGTCGTTGTGTTCACCAAAAGGGTCAAGATTAAATCGAATACTACCTATGGGATTAAAAAACATATAAAAAAATCAGTTAAGATCCTACTTTTCAGCCACCAATCATAAAGTGAAAGCCTGAGGTACACACACACACACACACACACACACACACACACACACACACACACACACACACACACACACACACACACACACACACACACACACACACACACACACACACACACCACACACCTGAGAAGAGAACAGGGGACTGTGGAATGATACTCAGAACTTTACGCAAATCTGTTAACCCAAATTTCGCAACATCAAAATCATCGATAAGGATTCTTCCTCTTTCAAGTTCCACTATCCGAAACAATGCATTGACCATGCTTGATTTACCAGCACCAGTTCTTCCAACTATGCCAACCTTCTGATGCGGATAGATAGTGAACGACAATCCCTTCAGGACAGGTGGCAGTCCAGGCCTGTATCGCATGGAAACATTCTCAAATTTGACGAATCCCGAGGCAGGCCACCCGGGAGGGGGGCGGTTTTTTTCAATGACCTCTGGTGCCTCAGACGGCAAATCGATATACGTGCCAACACGCTCAACTGAGTTTAAACTGTTTTCTGCTCTACTTGCTAGCCTCAGGACATTACTCAATAAATTTGTGATACTTAAAGAATAACTGAGGAGCAAACCCATTGTAGATGCAAATGCCAGTTGATTTACAGCTCGTTGATTCTGCATAACAGCAAAGGTTGCGGTCAACCAGATCATGACACCTCCCAGAGTTTCCAGTCTGATGGTGAGCCAGCGATTTGAGCTTATGTTAACCAGAGTAAATCTGACATTATTGTCCATGGACTTCCCATTAATATTTGCCATCCTATCGTATGCTTTGTATGCTCGAATTGTTGACAACCCATTCAATGCTTCTCCAAACTGTGCATATACAGGAGATCTGGTGATAGAATCCAGACGTTTTACTTCCCGGGATGTGCTCTGCAGTTGATTTTGTGGATCAAAATAAATTTAGCTTTTGATCTTTGAGAAATTTGTATTACAAACACCGTGTGTGTGTGTGTGTGTGAGAGAGAGAGAGCGAGATTGACGGACCTGATAATAGAGATAGGCAGCGTAAAATAGGATGAGAAGGGGCATTATGGCCCACAAAGATATAGTGCTCACAATTCCTATGAGCACAAAAGTTGAAAGCAGCTGCCACAGTTGGCTTAGAAACATATTGACCATACTTGCAACATTGCGGTCAACATCACCAAGATCCTTTGCAAATCTATTGATTACTCGTCCCGTAGGATTAGTATGGAAGAACAGCATTGGAGCTCTGAGTATGGAACATAGCATTGAATCATGAAGTCTTTTAGCAGCACCAAGACTTGAAGTGATCAACCAAAACGAATTTGTCAACGTCACTAGCACCTGTATACATACAGTGGCATTTCAGATTAGACAAAAAGCTGAAATCTACAAGCAAAATGGACTTTGGAGCCATATATAAATTAGACAAATACCTGACCAAAGGATAATATTGCATAAACAAGGATATAGAAACCAGGACCATAACTCGCTGAAGTGCTCTGTTTTGTCCAAAAACTCAACCATGTGCTACTTGAAACTCGCAGAATTTCAGTCAGTATATAGCATGTAAACAATATCATTACAACCCACAATCCTCCCATAGCATTTTTGTACCTGAGGAAGCGGCAAATCAGAAGAAACAATCATAAGTATCTAATGCAACATGCATGTTATATCCACACCAATTGGAACAGTAAACATCTTTCCAAGCATTATCTAGCAAATTACGACACACTGTAAAAGTTATAGTACCACAAATCACCTCATTAAAACATTCCAGCTGACAATCCCTGTCTCTCGCTCTTCCTGCTTGATAAGAACTGATCTGCCTTCTTTTGTTTTGCTAGTTGAGTTTGCATCTTTTGGCGCCTCATGTACATCCGTAGCAGAAGAAATTGAAGATGATTCATGAGAAATATTCATCCCATCTCCATTTTCATGTATGTGTTCTTCCATTTTGCCGGCATTTTTCATTAGTGTCTTGAAAAGTGTGCCATTCTTGGAGAGCTCCTCAAAGGTGCCCTCTTCTTTCACCATACCTTCAGAGATCAAAATTATTCTGTCAACCTGGGGAAGAAAATGCAACTGATTCGTGACAAGCACTCTCGTTTTTCCTCCAAGAGCTTCCTTTATACAATTATTGAAAACCTGGATTGAAAATTGTTGCCCAATCAGATTTTTTCTCAAACTATTAAATACAAAAAATTGCAATATGAAGGTAACAAGAACACTTCCACGTAACACAAAGGAAAGTTCATCATACATGTTGAAACAAACAAAACAAATTTAAATGACTCTTCAGATTTAAAGTAGAGATGGTAAACAGATTCTCAATACATAAATGTAAAATCAACGAAATTGGGCCTAATGGTAAAAAATGACATTCCACAATTTTCAAATACAAAGGCATTTTCGCTGCAAGAATAACCAGTTATATCTAGTGGTGTGAACACGGTGCACCCAGCAGAGTCAATTATTCCAAAACTACTATAAAAGATTATTTGAAAGTTCAATTTATTCAAATTGGTTACTCTACTAAGATACCTGTCGAGCAACATGGGCGTCTAGAGCACTTAATGGATCATCAAATATGTAAACATCTGAATCAGAGTACACAGCCCTAGCCATTGAAACTCTTTGCTTTTGTCCTCCACTAATGTTTACTCCTCTTTCACCAATCTCTGTTAGATCGCGACCCTGAAAACAGAAAATAATGAAGTTTGTGTCACAAATATTGTAGAATAACTAATGAACCAGATATGAATAATAATTGAAAACCCATGCACTTAACAGGAAGCACTTCAAGGTCATGGTGCAATGCAGTGACATCTACTGCCTTCCAGTATCTAGCTGGTTCAAAAGTAGAACCAAATAATATATTTTCGCGTACCTGTAAAAGAGACTTCAGGGGTAAATATTTGAACTTACAATATAATTGATCAAAACTTATTTTATCTTCAACCAAATATTTTCTGCATTTTCTAGTATCCAGATCAGGTTGAACAGATTACTCATGGAAGAAACTCTGAGTAAACGCAAAAAAAAAAAAGGGACTTGTGAAGCTTACTGTAGCATTGAAGATCCAAGAGATTTGAGGAACATAAGCAACAGATCCTCTGATTACGACACTTGCATCTCCCAGAGGAGGAAGCTCTCCAAGCATTGCTGAAACTAACGAGGTTTTTCCTTCTCCAGTGCCACCAACAACTGCAATTAAGCTGCCAACTGGGATGTCCAAATTAATATTGGATAATGTGGGTCTTGCAGCCTATAAAAATGGGTGTTTAGATATTTTTAACGTGTTTATATAGTCATGTCAATTGAAAAAAAAAAGCTAACAGTAGGGGATTCATATTAGTAATAAATATTTAAATCCTTGACATAGTAAACAAAGACCAGGTGCTGCAAAAACCTTAGAATCCCAGGAGAAGTATCCATCCTTGATTGAGATGGAAGGAAGCTTAGGTTCAAGAGGTGGATTAGGTATTAAAGTTCTCTCTTCAGCAAGAAATAATTCTTCTAGTCGCTGTAGAGATACATTTGCATTGACAACCTGAAATATAGCCCAGCGTCCAGATGTTAAAGAAAAATGTTACTTTGCTAACATGAAATTTGTTTAAACTAGATTATTCAGATTTATGTTTCATGAATAATGAAGAGTGCCTAATTACAATGTACATAATATATGCAAGAAATCTGGTAATCCTGGCATATATTGATAACAGGGGTGACAAATGAATTTAGGTAAGTTGACAATATTTCGTTCATCTATACATTTCTTAATTCAAACCAAGTCCAGACCCTGTAAGAATTTACACACTAGAAAACTAAGTCAAGTGAGAACAAACCTGAGTAATCAAATTAGGAAGCATATTCAGGGGAAATCGCAGAACAGCAAACAAGGAAAGTGATGTGAAAGCTCTGGAAGGTGTCAAATCTCCACCAAAAATTGTGAACGTCCCAAATGAAATCACTGTGACGAGAACTGGTATGCTGTTTAATATGAAAGTATTACACTGCACAACAACAAACAGAAATGGACACGCCATCAAGTTTGATAAGCTTCAAAATAACAAAACTTATGCTGTTCTGCATGTCTTGAGGTATTACTACACCACTGATATTTTTACTACCAACGACAACATTTAACTATTTCTTATGACATCGTTGATAGGTAAGTGTCCAGTTCATCTGTATTAGCAAAGTGATGTACCAGAGTTGCTTAGAAGCATATCTACGTGGATAAAATAAAGCAACTCATTCAAATATTGCCCAAAATTACACATATAAAAAAAGTAAAGCCAGTTCCTGCAACTTATTGACGCAGAACTAATAATAAATTGTCCGTGAACAAATTGACGGATCCCTGATGCCCACATAAAGGTTCTAAAAATAAATAGCCCTGTGCATTTGCTTGTTAGTATGTTGTTAACAAACAAGCCTTAAACCGGTATTTCTTAATAATCATGAACGTACCGCTGAGAGTAATTGTGCTTTCCTGAACCACGATAGCTCATCATCTCTCATAACCTGAATTTTTGATTTGAAACTCTTTTCCCATGCATAGTATCTGTCCCAAAAAAAAAAGAATTTGAATACGATCAACCTCCTACGATTTTGAATTAGAAAAAAAGGAAGAGCAGGGCTGTCAAATTATTGCATACTTCACTGTATCCATAGCAGCCAAAATTTCGTTCATCAAGCCAACTCTCTTATCAGTACGTAGCAATCCCTCCTTGGATAGTTTTCGCATCCTGCTAATGATAAAAGTCTGTTTGCCAATATAAGTAACTACGCAAATTCTATTATAAGTATTATCTATCTAATAAATGGATTTTTGGAGATATGTTGAAAAATAAAAGGAAAAATGAGAAACAAGATGATAGTAAGAAGAAAACAGTTACCTGGAGAGGGAACATGAGGACTAACATCAGAGAACCAAGAAGTGAAGCTACACCTAGCTGCTGGTAGAGAAGACCCATAGCCATGATAATGCGAAATGGGGCCGACCATAAACCATGAAGTTGTTGGCATATTTGCTGAATGATACAAGAAATTAGTTGAAAAGGTCCATTTTTCGCTACGGGCGGAATTTTTTTTTTTAAAACTTACTGAGACTTAGCATTTGTAAATAAGTACAAGTCAACTGAATTTTTAACATTTGTAAAGATGAAATGTTATACTTCTTTCACTAGCATAAATAGATGCATTTGAGCAATGTAGTTAAAATCGAGATCTAAATCGTAAAATCGTAAGACTTTAAGATTTTAGACACTGAAAAGGAGTAAGATCGCACTAAAATCGCAGGTGCCTTAAAATCGTGTGAAATCGCGTTCAAAATCGTTAAAATCGTTAAAAACGCGATTTTAGTGCGATTTTGGCGATTTTGGTTTTTGTCAATAATTGGGCTGAAATTGTGGATTTTGGCCTCATAAATTCAGTTTTTTAACTTAAATTTTTTAGCCAATTACCAAATAATCCAGAATATATAAAGCCCTGCCCTAAAAAAACAATCTATCACGACGAGAAGAAAATACTTCTCTTCTGCTAAAAAATCATCCAGCGGTTGTGAGTGTCAGTTTCAGTTATCTTATGTTAGACTATGTTTAATTAATGTTGGAATGTTTCATATTTCTTAGGACATTTTATGTATATTATGACTTATTTTATTTGTGTTACGGGTGTTTTCTAAGTAGTAAGTACTAAATATATTTATTTTACAATACATGTAAAATCTTACGATTTTACGATCCGATTTTACGTTTCCGATTTTACTACCCCTCTCCGATTTCACTTAAAATCTCGATTTTGACTACCTTGCATTTGAGTTTAGCTGTGTGAATACCTGAAGTGCATTAGCATCTGTTGTCATCATATTTGTTATTTTTCCAGATGGAAAATGCTTACGGCCTTCATGTGTAAGTCGTAAGGATTTGCGAAATACAGCAGCAACCTATATGTAACATAAATGTTTGTCAATGTATAAAGAAAGATTATGTCAGCAACAAGCTTAAACGAAAATTGTTAACAAGTAAAATATATATATGCCTCAGCAAACCACACCTTGACCTCCATATGCATAAAATAACGTATATTGTTAAAACAAGGATACATTGAGAACAGTGAACTCTAACTATAGATTCCAGTATGATCCATTCTGAAGAAATAAAAGGACTCATCGTCTTGTCTGAAGCATGTATAGTGATATGATAAATGGAAATGATTCACCAAAAAAACAAGACTAAATAAAATAAACTACATATGTGTATACACATTAAACAGTGGAAATTACCAGAGTGGATCTTAGCCTGAAACCAACACGCATGACATTCTGAAAGTACTGGGCCTCACAAAGCACTCCAAGTGACTGAAACCATTGAAAGTTTCACATCAGTAAATAAACCACATTTAAAGATTTCAATTCCTTGGACATTGATACCAAATTTATCAATATAGAGGAAATAGATCTCAGAACTAGGAACCTTACCACGCTGACAAAAATTGATAGTGCATACACATAACCAACCCAAGCTGAATCACCACTTTCCAGAGACTGTAAGCAGGAAAATTCATATAAAATCAGAGTTCAAAATGAAAAATGAACCAGCCTGAAGCTAAAATAGAGAACATTTGGCATTTACTGACACGGGATTGTAGTTTCTGGAATACCTTTAACAGATGGTTAAGTAAAACAGGTCCTGCAAGCTGGGAGAGATCATTACCAATCTGCAAGTTTGTCAAAAAGAGTTCGTTAGTCCGACAATAGTTTAAGAATTCCCTTGTCAGCTGACTCCAAGGGAATTGGAAAAGAGCAAAGCATGTACCCTGTGACAATATTTATGTGAACCGAAGATACTTAATATTAGTACCAGAAGGAATTCAACAAGGACAAATTAAACAATGTAGATTGGATATACAACAAGAAACACATGAAGCTAAGCTAGATCATCAAGAATCCACTATGCTGACTGCCACCCATCAGATAATGGCCTAAGCCACAAGTCCCAGGCTTAGATAAAAAACCAACCTTAGTTTCTACGGAAACTGAAAATAATCAAGAAAATGATCACAGAATAAGATAACTACTACAGAAAGCATTATCGATCCACTCTTATTGGGATGTAAAGTTCTAAAATTTATCTAAGCATCAAATAAGCTAGTTCCAGTAGAGAAATTGTTTTTTCCATATAAATATAGGAGAAGAGAAACAGGAACTGGTCATTACTTTGAAGAAGCCTCCATACCAGAACCTGCAGAAAAAGTATGGATCGGACATGAGATAAAACTGGTTATAAAACAGCTATAAAATCGAGGGATCATGGCATCAAATTCTTTACCTTCCTCCAAGGCTACGATTCAAAGCACGTAAAAGCCATGGTTTTGATCTTTGAGCTTCTTCCTCCCAAGAATTCTGGAATCTATAGAACTTGATATGTTATGATATTATCAAGATACTTTAAAATATGCATGTATGGAGGAATATTATCAAGATACAAATCTAGAGACAAACTTTGTACTCAATGTCTCGGTTTGATCCCATGAGTCCAACTTCCAGACGTCCTTTTCAGTGATGGGCTTTTTAAACCCTTGCTGCATAAGGGGTGTCATCCAATCAAAGTAGATCCCTACGCAAAGAAGAGAATAATATTGATGAGAAAGAAATTTGATAGGGAACATCTATTTTTATTATTGTTAGTACTAATAGTTTTACATTGACATCTATCCTCAGATGGGAAAAATTGTAGGTACAGGCAGATAACCAAATGTTGTGATACAAGAGGAAGCCCATAGGTGATGAAGAATCATACAGTGCGTATGCTCTTAATTTAGAAGCTACATCAGTCATCAAATGTTGAAAAAACAAAATTTGCTAGACTTACTGGATAATATACTGGCATATCTCTCGGGACAAACTTGCTCTCCTAGAGGTTTTTCATTTTTGGTGTCATCAATAGAGTCCAATAACGGAATGTAGCCTGGATATGACTCCAAGTTTGGAACATAAAGAAGAAGAAGTAAACCAAACAGAACCTGCATAAGAACACATATTCATATATGAATGTTCTACTCTTTTAGACTCCATCACCACCTCAACTCGTATGTTTTGAATTTCTGCCAAAGTTAGAGTTGGACATGCTTATTCACATCCAAATGATACACAACAAAAACAATATTTGATTAACATTGACTTGGGTCTTGTCATAAGTGAGTCAAATATCATCTTATATAGTAGAAATTCTAGATGCTTATTACCACAGAAAATTACAACTTGCTCTCAGATTATGTGAGATTTACTATGATTACGGTCTAAGGAAGAAAACAAAACAAGTTGGGAGGAACTCCATGGCAAAGAGATATTAATCTACCTGGAACAAGACTGAAGTGATGCACAAGTACAATGTCGACCTGTCAAAATGGCAAAGTAATTAGTGCATGCAGCTTAGAAACATCATGTACAAACGAGCCATGCCAATTAATTATAGTTTCTAAGAGAGAAGAAACATAATGCCTTTTTCAATTAAGAAACCACAACCATAACTGGGAGACAATTTTCAATTTTCAACCAGTTTACCTTCTTACAACAAATTCCTCCAAAAGAATAAAGCATGTCTAAGTTACAAAAGCTATATATTATAGTGACTGCCATTCCAAAATACAGATTTGCGACGCTATTAACAAATTCAAAGCATATTTGAAAAAAAGTAAGGGTGGAGAGACTAACCTGACATAGAACTCTTTGAGTGGGAGGATAAGATTGAGAAGAACTGCATCTCCTACCAAAACATATATTACTCCAAATCTGATATACCATCTGAACTCTTTGACGTAGATTTTAGTTTCAATAACAAGCATAAGTACCATAGAACACCACGCGATAAATTCAATGCCCAAATGAACCATCTGCATACACAAAAAGCACTTGGTTTGATAACAACATGGCGGCATTTACCAGGAAAAACTCTAGCTGAAATTCATGATTGATATCTGGGTTTCATATTGCATTGCAGCTTGTTTCTATGCATACATATACGCACAAGACTTTTCTTTAACTTTTTGTCCATATAGAGTGTGTATGAAAGATGAACATAAATCCTACAGACGTTGAGTGTGACAGGGAGTACGACTGTACGTGAGTGTAATGAATGCTTGCTTTATATGCGTAATCAAGAAATAATGAAATTATTCAATCTAGAGAGATAAAGCAATAAAGATATATTCAACCAATCTAGACTGCCTGTTAGTCAAATAAACATACACTAATCTTAAGAAAATACTTGCAGTGCAGGACAAAAAAACTGTATGAACTACCAAGCAAAATAATGAGAAGAAGTTGCATACCTCATAAGGAGCAAGACCCGTCTCTTCATCCAAATCGAAAATTGATATACCAATCACAAATTTGAACAAGGGCTCAGCAGCAAAACAAGTGGCTAAAGTGGCCAAAACATAATTGCAGAAATTTGATCTCAAGCAGAAACGTTGGAGTTTAGGGTTAATCTTCATGAGCCATATTCTATATAAGCACAAGCCCAGAAGAACCAAAAAAGAAACATTCCCCACAACGGAGTCAATGGCACAAGGCGTATATGCACCAAATGCGCTATCTGTTTCTCGAGCCCAAACCCCATTTGCCACTGGCCGGCAAAACCAAACTAAGGGTTCAAAACCCATCTTTCTGGTAAGCAACCAATAAATCCTGCCAATCAATTTTGTCGTTTTTTCAGCGAAGATACAACACCTATGCATGATTTCGAGCACACAATGTGTACTCGCATATAGATAAATGTGTCATCCAAGTGACTGCAGAAGTTTCATGAGGTTCATTGCTAACTGAATCGTATTATAGATCATAATCAGACCAGTACAACATAAGCTAACAAATTTCCCTCCAAAATAGCAAGAAACCAATACAACTTAAGCTAATAGTCAAAATTTCGGCCAATGTGAATGCTTAAAAACTTGTAAATACCACATTCACGCTGCCCTAGATAAATTAACTCCAACTAAACCATCAACGACTCCAAAAAAAAAAAAAAAAAAAAAAAAAAGCAGAGAGAGAACAGGAACCAATAAAAACCTGGAAAGTCAGGCTTCAGGGGTTTATGAATTCGTCAAAATGCGTGTTTGCGTCAAGAACTAGCATGTGAAGTCGATGATGTAATTCAGTAGCTCTTCGCAGCGGCCGAACACTCGAATAATACTTATATATAGAAACAAAGTAACTGCTAGAAAACGGGAACTGAATAAAACGACAGAGAAGAAAAAGAAATAGAAAAGGGGACAAGATAGAAGAGGTCCCATATGCATGCGTCATCGCTTACGAATCTATCAATACACACAAAAACAGATACAGAGAGAGAGTGAGGATTTTGGGATTCAGATAATTAGGGGAGAAATTAGGGATTAAACTTTTATTTAATCTGACGAGATTATTTATACAAAGTTTATTTACTCTCCGATTCGAGCATGAAGATTGAATGCTCTAAATTAATTAATGATTTTATTTGTGGACTTTCAGGATTCTATTACGTGTAGCTTGACGATAAAATATTGGACAAATTACGTCCCACTACATGAACTTCCTCAAATATGCTAATTACAATCACTTTTCAATTATTTAAATTTTGTGAAAAGTTTGTGCTTATTGTGTGTAAAAATATAATTTATGATGCACCACACTCTTGATATTTACAAGTTACAAGATGCATCTTATGATCATCTTGTTGAAAAATTTAGAGATCGAATCGGGTCAAATGGGAAAAAACTAAAGAATATTCTACATAATTTAAAAGATTCCACTAAAATACACACTAGAATAGTGGACGTATAAAAATATACATAGTTGAGATGTTGTTGTAATTACCAAACATGAGTGATTCTTTTGAAACTTTGACCTTGATCATAGTTGGACGGTAATTTACTATAAAATATTTTCACCAATAAAAATAAAATAAAAAACTCAGAAAAAATTATCACGACTTAACAAAAAAGTGGAAGTTATTCAATATGATCAAACTTCAGCCTCAGTTGTCTACAAAATAAATAACCTTAAAGAGCTGCAACAAATAAATGGACAAAATCAATTGTCCAAAAATCAGAATTAATTAATTCAGTCTTCTACTACATTTCAACCTGGTCCCAGTCAATCGTTCTATCCTCAAAACTGTCTCCCTGGTTAAGCTTGTTTCTCGCAAGCCTACTCATTACAGCAAGACCTGTTGCGTCCACCAACGAAACATACGAACATAAAGATAAATAAATAAATAATTAAAAAAAATATTTTTAATTAAAAAAGAAAGTGTACCTTCAATCATTTTGTACAGAGCTGACCACCATCTGTCTCCAGAAACCTGGTACTGCTCGAGGTTGTCTTCGATCTCTTTGTTATGTTTCCCCTCCAATACACTCTGGAGAGTAATTACGGCGTCCCTTGTTCTTCTGATAATGCTATTATCTTCATCTCTGATTTCTAATTGGACAAGATCATTTTGTGATGAAGTGAGACTAACTGCAAGTGCAAATTGGGCTGCTGCAGCCCACCGAGAAGATGCAGCCCATTTCCTTTGCCCGTCAATCTGCTTCTCCATCTCTCGTTTGCCGTTATTATCTTCCGCCCCCTTAAGAACTAAGCCTCTCAGATATTCAGCATTTGCAGCGCCTGTGCTCTGAACCATCTTAGAGAATGCACTATTTTCTCTATGCAGCAGTGTTTCTGGACTATCAAATTCCACAACCTGAGAGATATATTCGGCAAAAATAAAAAATGGAATGTCAAATCACCGAGTTCGTTACATGCGACTAAATTAGATATAATAAAGGAGAATTATTCGAATAGGTGCATGATGCATACCTGGCCAGCATCAAGGAGAAGAACTTTGTCACAATCAATGATGGTATTCAAACGGTGAGCAATGATTAACATTGTGCATGATCTGAATTCTTCACGAATGGTCTTTTGGATGAGAGCATCAGTTCTGACGTCAACAGCAGCTGTTGCTTCGTCAAGAACGAGAATCTTTGAACGGCGAAGTAATGCTCGAGAAAGACTCAACAGTTGCCTCTGTCCAACACTGAAATTCTCCCCTGCTTCAGAGACCTTCAGACAGCAAGAACAGTAATGAATACATGTCAAAAAAATCAATTGAAATAATACATAAATGCCAAATACATGATATGTAATTATGTGTCTGTGTATATATATATATATATACCTCCGCATCGAGACCCAAAGAATTCCTTCTGATGACATCTTTTAAATGGGCCCTCTCAAGAGCCTCCCACAGGTCAGCATCATTGTGTTCATTGAAGGGGTCAAGGTTAACCTGACACTTCCTGTTCAGAATAATACAACAAAGGATCGTCAGTCACACAAATTAAGGAAAAAATA